ACACCTAAAAATTAAAATGCATTTTTCTTATCGAAGCTTTGTATGACAAGATAATTTGGGGTTTGGGGCGCATTTTAATTTAAATTTGGTATGAGGATTTACATAGGTATTGTCCACATTCATAAGTCTTGACCTAAAATTAACGTGTACCAGTGGCGGAGATACAGGGGATTAGTGGCATTACTTTTCCAAATAAAAATAACACGCCACTGGGTTTTTTTCGACTTACTCATGTTTTTCCTAGAGCGCATCGTTTTGGTAAAAATAAAAAAAAATAGATAATCAAAGCTGTATTTCAATAAATGTTCAAAAAGACCACCATTCAGAGGGATACAAGTGCGTCATCTTTTTAATAAAGAAAAACGTATTTCCGCAAAATTTCTTGTGACTTGAATTTGATGACACGCATTATCTATTCTTTCTTGTGGACAAGACTGGATATCGGTGATTCTGCCGAACTTTTTCTCCTGAGAATTTCCCGGGGAGCGACTCTTCAATCAGTGTTAAAAAATACAGTTCTGCAAAAGTAATACAAGGCCCATTTTCTGTTAATCATCCTACTCCCTGATTATCAAGAATTAAGCTCCTAAGAGACTTTACAAAGCATGGGTCCGGCATCATCAAGGAGGTCACTTAAGACAGTGGCGGATTTAGGAAACTGTCAAGGTGTTTCATAGGGATCAATCCTAATAGATCGGGAGCTGTGGGCAAAAATGGGGGGGTCATGTGATACAGCAGGAAACCTACTCAGAACGATAGTACTACATGAAAAAATAACTTCTAGCTCTATGCCGTCACTTGAGAGCGGTACATGTAAGTACAGGGGAAAATTGAATTTTCTGTCCAGAAAGGGTCGGAAAAGACTAAATGATTTTTTACGGCTTTCTTTAGTATCACAAATGCCCACAAAATAATCACGATGCACTTAGTGCCGTACGGAAATAATGGTGCCGGATGCCATAAAAAAATTTAATTTTCAGGAAATTTTCTATGCGGAAAAATTAATTAATTAACGTACGGCATTGTTAGTTACCTTTCTGTAATTTTTTCCATTTAAAATTTACCAACGCCCTACATATCTGCTGGTACAGGAGCGAGAAAACTTGGGTCGCAACACCCTACCCTATAGTATAATGGTGGTGAATTGATACACCTTAAAATTAAATAATTTTAATAGTATTTAATAAATTAACGACAATTTTTATAATGCCGTACATTTTTCGTGGAATATATGGCTACACGGGGAAAATAGTTTTTCCCCAAAAATTGTAATTTTATGGTGAAATAATTTTGTACGGCATTAACATAGTTCATTAATACTTGAAATAATCATCAAGAAAAATATATGCCGTATATATATGTACCGCTCTTACATCGCAAAGTTCTATTATCTTGTTGTCAACTTTCAGGCGCACAGCAAGTAACCGAGTCTCCAAATCGCACTCTAACTGCATATTTCTCAGAACTTCACCGTTTTATAAGTAACGTTCCATGTATACTAAGTGACACATAAATCCGAACACCCAGTTTAAATGGTTTTATTTTAATAAAAGTTGGTGAATGTATTTATCTTACTGAAATTAACAAGTGAAATTTTTTTTTTAATTCACTAACGCTCTAAAAATGAATATTTCAGCCGCAGTAAAGAATCAACGTTGGCGGATTTTGGTTCTTGACATCCTTTACGATGGGTTACGATGCCTAGAGTACGGAGACCTGTACGATTTCGTCAACTTAGTGAGTTTGATAGGGGCCGTATAGTGGGACTTCGGGAAGCTGGACTTTCTTTTCGGGCAATTGCAGTTAGAGTGAAGTGTAGACACTGTGGTTAGGTGTTGTCAGGCATGGCTTCGAGAAGGCCGTACGCAAAGAGCAAGGGGCACTGGACGCTGCCGTAGAACAACAGACCGTGAAGATCGCCGCCTAAGATTATTGGCCTTAAGGGACCGTTTCTCCACTACCAGGTCCATTGCAAATGAATGGTTTGCAGAACACGGAAGACCTATTGGCATGCGAAGTGTATACCGACGAATGAGAAATTTTGGCTTGTTTTCATACCGGCCACACTGGGTCCTCCCTTTAACTCGAGAACACCGACGTAATCGCCTTGAGTGGTGCAGACAACGGTCACTCTGGGATCAGGAATGGAACAGTATTGTCTTTAGTGACGAGTCTCGATTTTGTTTAGGCATGCACGATGGTCGTGCTAGGGTTAGAAGGCGACGTGGTGAAAGGAGGAATCCACAGTTTTTGTTGAAAGACGTGTTCATCACACTGTTGGAGTTATGGTTTGGGGTGCTATAGCTTATGGTTCCAGGTCACCTTTAATCTTCATCAGAGGTAACATGAACGCGCAGCGTTATATCCATGAAGTTCTAGAACCCCATCTTTTACCCTATCTTGACACCCTGGCAGATCCAACTTTCCAACAAGATAATGCCCGACCACATGTTGCAAGAGTCACAATAGACTTCTTTTAACATAATGATGTCACATTGTTACCATGGCCACCAAGATCTCCCGACTTATCCCCAATTGAGCACGTGTGGGATATGATGGGTAGGAGATTGCTCAATTTGCAACGTCCTCCTCAGACTCTAGAAGCACTTCGAGAGGAGTTGGTGGTTGCCTGAAATGAGATACCACAGGATGACATTGACCACATGATCAGAAGCATGCCTAGGCGCGTTGGAGGATGCGTAGCACATCAGGGTGCATCCACACATTATTAAAGGTCAAAGGGCTTTAAAGCAGTGCAATCATTTTGAAATTTTTATCATTTACTTATTTTATGCTTCATTAAGTACTTATACAAAATTTTATTAAAATAAAACCATTTAAACTTGGTGTTCGGATTTATATGTCACTTAGTATAAAATGAACGGCATAATAACTTTTCATAATCATTTATAGTTATAAATATAATTTTGTTTATGCCGTACAGTATTTAATAACCATTAGAGACACCTAAAACTTAATCAATATTTTTATGCGCTGCAAAAAAGTTATGTAAATAAAAATATACGGCATATGTTTTTTTTGTTTTTTAATCTTTGATAAACCTAAAATAGCAAGAATAATTTTTAATATCACTTTTGTTATTAATAAATAGTACATTTAAAAATCTTTAAATATTTGAAAATTTATATTTTTTTATTTTAATATATTTTCATGTTGTTCCATTTGTTATAAACGGCTACGTGGTAAAATATATTTAATATAATTTTGTAAAAAAATTGTTTGCCGTATAGTATCTTATGATTTTATTGTAAGAAAATGATATTGCACCCCCAAATTTTGGTAATTATTTATTTATAATTATATGAACTAAATTTTTAAGACGGCATTACTATTTAAGTTATTTTAGATGTTAAACAAGAGATTGAAATTAATGCCGTACATTTTCCGATGACTTTCTAATGCAGGGGTTGCGATCGGAGTTTTCTCACCCCTGTACCAGCAGATATGTACGGCGTTGGTAAATTTTAAATGTAAAAAATTACAGACAGGTAACTGTAACATTGCCGTACGTTAATTAATTAATTTTTCCGCATAGAAAATTTCCTGAAAATTAAAAATTTTTTATGGCTTCTGGCACCGTTATTTCCGTACGGCACTAAGTGCATCGTGATTATTTTGTTGGCATCTGTGATACTAAAGAAAGCCGTAAAAAATCATTTAGACTTTTCCGACCCCTTCTGGACAGAAAATTCAATTTTGCCCTGTACTTACATGTACCGCTCTCAAGTGACGGCATAGTGCTAGAAGTTATTTTTTCATGTAGTACTATCGTTCTGAGTAGGTTTCCTGCTGTATTTCATCAAGCAATAAAACCAAATACAGATATAATCATCGTTTAATGACCTAAGTCTTTAAATGCAATCTCATTTTCTAAAAATTATAAATAATCCATACATTATCTCATCATACGCCATTGGTGGAGTAAAGGAAATACAATAAAAAAATATACATCTTATGTTATCTTCTTAACACTGTGTATTGACCAACTTGGTTTAGGCACAACCATAACTTCATCAAAAATCCAACAGTTTGAATAAACTACAGTACACAAAACATTACATGAATTCAAGTCTAATACTTGTGGATAGTTAGAGCACACAGTCCGTGAGTAACATCATTTTGGCAATCCTCAAGACGTCTATGAATGAACGAATCTAAAAATACAATGAAAGGCAGATTCACACAAATTAAGGAATAACAAATTCTGCTAAAAATTAACTGCACGTTTTTGGTCAAGTTAAATCCGATTTAAAAAAAAGTTAACACTCAAAAAGTTATTTTTCAGATTTATCTTAAAATTACGGTTAACTCTTTTCGCGGTTTTTGGCGCTTACGCCACAAAAATTGTACACTGCACAAGCCGATTCGAATTCCAGCTGGTACTAGCTTTTGCACGCACACACATGACCTGGGTGATAGAGTGGCGTTATTTCCACTCGCTTTCTGAAAATACCTCTAACACACACTGTCGACATTATAATTGTAGGCACTATGTTTTATATCGAACATCAAATCAACATGGGTAAACACAAGCCATACGCCCATGACAAGCCATAATGACAGTGACAAGCATAAATGTGAAAGACGCATACGTTGGCGAGAAAATGTTCATGGTTGTGAGAAGGGAAGCATCGCGTACTACTGTTCACATGCCTATTTCAGCTACTCTTAGATTGTATTTGCACAAAAAAAAGATTGCGCAGCTTGAGCAACTTTTTGTGAGTGAACACTTACAGTTAGTGCATTTATGGTGTGTTTTTAAATAATTGAATCTTGCAACAGCAAGGTATATGATATCCACTGCAGAATTAATCAGCCACAATATTGAGTTAAAAATAGAACCATACCTTAATTTACATTTTTTGAACATTTACCGAAGACATGGAGGGCACAAAGGAAATGAAAAGGCGGATGAGCTAACACGCCAGGGAGAGGTAAAATTGCCTTATAGATCCAGATCCTTTCTATGGCATGACGGGAAGAAAACGTCGCCAGAATGGTGAAATAGTCAATTAGGGCAAAGTAATTTCTATAGTTCTACTGTGACCCGCCAAAAACCTGGAAAAGAACTGTAAAGTTCTTTCCATGGTATTGGTGGTTACGTCATCAATGCGAAATTAGTAAGCAAACCTAACTGAATCATGTGCGAAGCTGAAGCTCCTTTGCACACTGGGCAAACAGATCTCAATTAATACTGAAATAATTCTGTCAAGAACCATCGATATTGAGCATTAGTTGTATTTTCGGGTATTGCTGTCTTTTATTACGAAAATCCATAGATGGCAAACTCAAAATGGTATGCCCATGTCAAGTGGGCTGCCACACTGACAGTGACAAGCATAAATTCGGAATACTCATACGTTGGCGAGAACATTTTCGAGATGGCGAGAGGAAAGTAAAGAACGTATGTCTGAGCTTACATACTCTTCCGTCCTCAGAGGAAGATTGCATATGCATGGGTGTGGGAGATGGATGTAGAAAAACCGGTAGTTTTAGTATGCCCGCCAAAAACCGTGAAAAGACTCTCTATAGTTTAACTGGAAATGTATACAGGGTGATCCTTAATGACATGCTAATATTCAAGAAGGTGATTCTCAAACCCATCCTGAGGAAAAGATTCATATGGACGTATGTCATAAATGTCTTTAACTTTGAGATACAGCTCGATAAAGTTTTCAGAAAAAATACGTATTTCATAATAACTTTGATCTATATAAAATTTGGTACACATCTTCTATGCTTCAAGGTGCATTTTCCGATGAACAAAAAAATTATTATTACCAGTGGCGTCCGCACGGGTTTTGCATTGAACATTTTTGGAGAAAAAAATGGTCGCCACTACTTTCTCTTTGATTGAACTATTTTTGAATTCTTCATTCACTTTTCTTTCGTCCGTTGCTTGGTTTTCTCTTGAAAATTAAAAATCGTTTCACTTCAGGGTCAAATCGCTAAAAATCTGATGCGGTAGCTGATATGTACAAATCGTTTTTTTTTTCTTCCTTTTTTGTTACTGACTTGGTTTAATATCAAAAACCGTAAATCCGATAAGAAAAAATATTTTAAGAAATTCTGATTTTGGCACAGCAGTCGCAGGGACCCGGAAGTAAAACGATTTTTATTTTTTCAAGCAAAAACCATATATCGGGCGAAAGAAAATCTAGAGATCAAATTTATACGGAAATAAATGAAGATTTCAAAAATTTAAAGAAAAAGCAGTAGTAGAAATAATAAAATTGTATGTATATCAAAAAATGCTCCTTGATGCATAGAATATGTATACCAAGTTTCATAATGATATCTATAATTGTATCACAGTTGCAGATTTTTTTTTCTGAAAACATCACCACCCTTTATCTCAAAAGTTTAGGTCATGCGTTCGTATGAATGTTTTTCTTAAAATGGGGCATCACCTCCTTGAATATTAGCATGTCATTAAGGAACACACTGTTTATTCTCGTGTGCATAAAGATTGCCAATATAATAACTTGAAACATTGTGAGGCTTGAGACGAAAAGTTAAAATATGTAATCATTTTTAATAAAAAAAAACGGATACAAGATTAATGATTGGAAGCACATTAAAAAATAAACACGTTGCAACACGTCAATGATGTGATGTCAGATTTCGTAAAATATTCGTTTTTTGTGCACTTCCTTGGAATCACAAGCATCTCTCAGTAAATTATTTGAACCTCAATAAATGCTACACAAATGTATGTACAAGAAACAATATTATTATTGCAGTTAATCAAACTCAGTAAACAAATGGTAAATAAATACACTATAAAAGAAACTATTCTACAGGCATACTCAAGCACGTTATTAAAAAAAAATGTTACTGACCTATTTAATGTCATCAATCTTTATAAAAACAAACCATGTGTAGTTGTTACTGATTAGCAGAGTGTCAGTGACATGAAAATATACAGGGCATCAATTCCAAATAAACATATAATACCGGGTGTTCAAGAAAAATAGATACTCTAGCTTCGTAAGCTTAAGACGTGGAAAAAACATTGGGAAATGCGAATTGCGGCTACGGCAACACTGTGCCTCCATAAACATGTGCCGCAAGTTTCGAAGTAAACGGTAACAGTGTCGTCAGGATATGAGTGAACGGGCTCGTGGTAGGCACGATGGATTTATCTGCAGCAGAACATTTGTTTTGTTCGCGGTGGTATAGATAAACTGGATACAGTCTTCATCTCTTATGAGGCTTCGATGCATTTAGACGGTTATGTCAACGCACAGAATTACCATCTATGGGGAAGTGGAAATTCCTCATGTCTATGTGGAAAAAGTGTCACGCTCCCAGAAAATTGGGATATGGTGCGCGCACGAGTTGTTGGACTCTTCTTCTTCACTGCGTAGCGATATCAACACGTCCTCGAATTGTTTATTGCGTCTTTGGAGCCGGAGGAACGTTATTGCTGGTTTCAGCAAGATGGGGCCACAGCTCCCACCGCTAGTTCGACAATGCGAATTTTTTCGAGACCGCATCATTTCGTCACCACGTAGCCCTGATTTATCGCCTCCAGATTTTTATTCATGGGACTAACTACGTCAAAGACAGAGTTTTTCAGAACCCACCCATCTCAATCCCAGCCCTAAAAGTGCGTATCACAGATGCTATTAACGGAATTATATAGAAAAGTATAGGAGCCTGTCTTCGAGAGGATGGTGGACACTGTGAGCAGATGCTTTATGTTTTATCTTTTTGTTCGTATGTATATTTTTAAGTATTTTTTGTGACTTTATATATACGCGTTAGTAAACAGAGATCTATTTTTCTTAAGCACCCGGGACTTCAAAACATAATAGTACATTAAATATAATTATATAGCATCAAAATAATGTCATACTGGACAGATTTAAATTAACGAAATATAAGTATTTTGCTATTACTCATCTGATTTCACTGATGCTCAAATATAATTGTAACAATAAATTGATGCAAAAATGAGTTAAAAACGAGATGAGATTAGTAAAATACATGGTACGTTCCAAAAGTAATGCGATTGAATTGGTTGGAACGCGATCGGACCTCTTGGACCTTAGTTACTGAAATATTGAAAACGACCTCGTTTTCCACGATTTTTCAGAACGATTTAGATACTTACAGATGTTTTACCGCAAAAGAGCTAGATCCAAAAATATAGCTAAAAAATAATTTCTATGTAGTCTAGGTTGTTTCATTCCCCAATCATCAGTCATACATGTGCATAAACTTTAGCAGTCGGGTACACAAGAGACTTGAGTCCCCTATAATTATGTAAGCACAATCCTTGCTCTACTTTCCATGTATTGGTTTCGGTTAAGGAATAAGGAAACCAAAGCTTGATTATTATTTTTAATTAAATATATTTTTTTAAATTTAATAAAATTAAGATGTCAGGTGATGAGGCTTCAAGTTCAGGGTAAAATTGAAAAATATTCAGAATGGGGAAGAATGGGGAAAGGAGTGTCCAGTATGGTTGCAAAAGAGTTTGAAGAGCGCCAAGTATTAATTGTAATAAAGAAGTTATTTCTTTTATAAGAATTAAAAACTATTTTATTAAAATATACTTTTTTCATGGTAGTCGCTGTGTGACGGAAAGGCCCTTGATCTACAGCTGATTTGCGCCGGAACCTTCTACCGATTTTCGCTACTGGCAATTTGTCATGTTTTTCAGTTTACTCAAAATTTGGAGGGTATACGAGCTGAATCGACTTCAGATTTGTATTCAGCATGTTGAAATACTTCAGAAATATCTCTGATCTAGGTCGAAAAAAATGTTTCGTTTAAGTACAGTTTTTTGCGAGTGTTTGTCCCTTTTTAGCGGTTTTTTACAATTTACTCAAAATTTGATCGGTTGATGGTTCTTTGATTCTGTAATTACTTTGTATCAAAAACAAGATGATAACTAAATCATTAAACTAAATATTTAAAATTTCTATATGTAAAAAATCGCAATAAAAATGGTTAAAGTCAATTGTCTCCATACAATGATTTTGTGACATTTGTGTCTTCAATTGCATTACTTTTGGAACAGAGTAAGTGAAATCAAATTATTCAAAACAAACTGTATATTTTCTAGCATCCTTAAACACTAAATATTACACGCTGGAATCTATTTATCTACACTTCAGTTCAATCGCGTTCTACAAAAATAGCAAAGTATGAAAGATATAATTAGCCTAGATCACTGCATATGTGAGGTGGAAAGGCTGGTAACGTCTCATATCAAAATGCATTTTCATTTCAGGTAAGGATATTTAAAGCTGGCGCTTATTAGACCACAGCGACATCACTAGAAGTTGCCACAAGTTGTGGATGAGATTTGTCATATATTTTGTACGTAAATGAGTTTGTGGAAAAAACGGTCAGTGGCTATGAATACTCAAAACCACCTTCGAAAATATTTTAAAACTGATTCAATCTTGCCAACGTTAAACATTAATTTACGATCTTCAAGCTGCAATATGAGTATTTTTCAATATTACATAGCCTCAATACAATAGTGATAAGTTAACTTGCTGACTGAAAAAATCCTAGAAAATCAAACAAAAAATAATATACAGTGTGAGTATCTAAAAAAAATTAATTACAAAAATTGTAATAGACAGTATGCCATTTATTTGGAAAATATTTTCATCTCTACAGTGTGATTTGTAACTACCCAAATATAATTTTTTTTCAAATGGAAAGACCTTCATTTTATTGCAGATTTTTATAGATCCTCCGGTTTTATTTCCAAATTGTTGAGATATTGGACAATTTATCGAATAAAAGGCCTATATTTGACAACTCGCATCTCCTCAACTGTTCTAGTTAGAGTCCTAAATTTTTCGGCAGATAATTTTGTGATTGCATATTTTCTCCCTATCTACTTGCCTTTCCATTTTTCTTTTTATAGTATAGGGTGTTTCAGAACTAAGGGATCAAACTTCTAGGGGTTATTCACTGTAACAGTAGAAAACGTTTGAGTATAGGGACCCACATCCGGAAAAGTGTGACACTACGGCACTACGGCCCTACGACGCGTTAAAATTTAGAAATACGATGAATTGCCGAAATAGGATTTAATGCATTTAATTTTTGGCTTTTGTACATGATATCATCACAACAATTGTTTAAAATGTCTTCCTCCAACCTGAATACACCGTTCCTGTCGGGACATGTAAAGTCTTTGGTTTACGAAACTCCAGTAGAAACAGAACAAGACTTAACTGGACGAATTGAAATCATTCAAATCATCAAATATTTAGTCAAGTCCGCCGGAAATCATGTGCGACGTTTAAATCGGACATCAAGGAATTGCCTCTAATGATAAGTATTAGTAGTAAGAGGGCACAGGAAAGTTAACGGTTGACCAGATTGATCAATTCTAATACTCGGATAACAAACTCACTCTGGAATCAAAACAAAGAATTGAGGCATTACGCAGCTTTCCAGCACTTTACACCCTGTAACTAAATCTAACATAGTTTTATCGACTGAAGCATCGTAGTCTGAGGATAGTTCACGTTTGCAAAATGTCACTTGATTACCTCAAATCTGGAGGGTGATGAACGCAAAGCAGTCTTCGGAGAGTTGGCACCGGTTATCCTCAACCAATTTCTGGAAGTTGTCGACGATTTGGGAGAGTCAGTGCAGTGACTGGAGTTCAGGGGAGGACTCGGGGAATGAGGGGTCATTTTCTGGTCTTTCAGATTGGGCCATCTGAAAAAAAGGAGTCAAAAAGCTTTCCATCGAAGTAAGCACCTGAGAAAAGCTACGAACATGCGTAAGAAAGAAAAGGATGAATGGATCAAATCAGTCAAACCAGCCCATGCAATAGGCTAGTTTTAATTTTTATTAATGATTAATAGTAGAACAGATTACAGCAGGGTTGCCTCTCCAAGAATACGTTAATAAATGGTAAAACCCAGTAAATTTCATAGTCATCAAGCTCAATCCTATAATGCGCATACATAAAAAATGTTGTATATAAGATACTTACCGCTCCCTCTCTTCCTTGGAATATAAACTAATACTATGGAACCATTTGTAAGTATTTGGGTATTTCTCCTTATCTAACGTTATGTCTGCATAACAGATAGCGTTGAATACATCACAATCCAGCTTTGTAGGGAAATCACTGAAATAGAAAACATATATGGATAGCTTACAGAACAAGACAATCAATGAAAATTTATTAATCTTGCATATTTGTACATTAGAGTTACTTTATTTTTCAAACAAACTTATAATTATCATTATTTCACCTTACATTTATGAATTCTGTTTAATATTATTATTCAATTTAATAAAGTCAAATACTCCCTTTTGAAATACAAATTTACTAGTTATGCTATTTCAATTTTGTAGATGAAAATCTAAATTGCCTCTAGTTTCGTAGTTATAATTCTAAATAACATATATTTGTTTGCATTCAATCACTGTAGTTCTTCTAACATAGACTTAATATTAGCATCTTTTTATTTAAAATAATTCTCATATCTTTATTTTGTAGAATTTGTTGTTTTCATTTGCTGCAAACAAAATGGTTGAACAATATAAAAAATGGGGAAGAATTATAGTTTTATACACAATTTTTTGGAAAACATCCTGAAATAATGATAAACTCTATAAAAGTAATTTATCTTTTTTGATTTTTTCTGAAATAAAGTATTCCCAATGCTCGCGAAACAGCAGTTTACTATCCACATAAAATATATACCCAAATATTTGAATGATTCGACTGCAATATTTTCATCACTAATCATGAGCCTAATTGTGTTGTCACCTAAAAATTTCTCTAATGACATACATTTTGTTTTGTTAGTGTTTAAGTTTATTAACATTTAAACAATTCATAACTTTATAATATCACTATTTAACAGTTCTAAAGCATTGTCCAAATGTGTGTGTTATACATACATATATCAATGTATTGTCTGCAAACATTTAAATTTTGTAGTCATTTATATATTATTAATAGTAACTTCCCTGTGGTGCCGCTACTGATATATTTTGAACGCTTGTCATATCATTAAAATTTTGGTTTTTGATTTATATCTAATTTTGTAATACTTTCATCACTGATCCTTTAAAACCATAGTGATGTAATTTCATTAACAATTTTTCCCTATCTGAAGTCTCAAATGCCCCTTTGAAGTCTAAAAATACTGCTGCAGTACATTCTTTCTCATCTATACTTCTTCTCCAGTCTTCCACCCCCATTTGGATTGCTGTTTTTGTAGAATATTTTTTATAAGTCCAGCTGGTTATTTTGGCAAAATTTTGTTTTCTTCAATGAGTATGAATGTTTATTGTCCTAAATTGATTAATTGATGAATTATGATATACTTGTAATGTAATCCTCTTCACTATTTAATTTATACAGTATATAAAATGTCTTCATTTTTCCGATATATACTAAGTGACATATAAATCCGAACACCCAGTTTAAATGGTTTTGTTTTAATAAAAGTTGGTGAATGTATTTATCTTACTGTAAATAACAAGTGAAAAAATTTTCAGCCTTATCAGTTGGACATTCCGGTTTTTATACTGCTTTTTTTTTAATTCACTAATGCTCTAAAAATGAATATTTCGGCCGCAGTAAAGAATCAACGTTGGCGGATTTTGGTTCTTGACATCCTTTACGATCGGTTACGATGCCTAGAGTACGGAGACCTGTACGATTTCGTCAACTTAGTGAGTTTGATAGGGGCCGTATAGTGGGACTTCGGGAAGCTGGACTTTCTTTTTGGGCAATTGCAGTTAGAGTGCAAAGAAGGGTAGACACTGTGGTTAGGTGTTGTCAGGCATGGCTTCGAGAAGGCCGTACGCAAAGAGCAAGGGGCACTGGACGCCGCCGTAGAACAAACAGACCGTGAAGATCGCCGCCTAAGATTATTGGCTTTAAGGGACCGTTTCTCCACTACCAGGTCCATTGCAAATGAATGGTTTGCAGAACACGGAAGACCTATTGGCATGCGAAGTGTTTACCGACGAATGTGAAGTTTTGGCTTGTTTTCATACCGGCCACACTGGGTCCCCCCTTTAACTCGAGAACACCGACGTAATCGCCTTGAGTGGTGCAGACAACGGTCACTCTGGGATCAGGAATGGAACAGTATTGTCTTTAGTGACGAGTCTAGATTTTGTTTAGGCATGCACGATGGTCGTGCCAGGGTTAGAAGGCGACGTGGTGAAAGGAGGAGTCCACAGTTTTTTGTTGAAAGACATGTTCATCACACTGTTGGAGTTATGGTTTGGGGTGCTATAGCTTATGGTTACATGAACGCGCAGCGTTATATCCACGAAGTTCTAGAACCCCATCTTTTACCCTATCTTGACACCCTGGCAGATCCAACTTTCCAACAAGATAATGCCCGACCACATGTTGCAAGAGTCACAATAGACTTCTTTCAACATAATGATGTCACATTGTTACCATGGCCACCAAGATCTCCCGACTTATCCCCAATTGAGCACGTGTGGGATATGATGGGTAGGAGATTGCTCAATTTGCAACGTCCTCCTCAGACTCTAGAAGCACTTCGAGAGGAGTTGGTGGTTGCCTGGAATGAGATACCACAGGAGGACATTGACCACCTGATCAGAAGCATGCATAGGCGCGTTGGAGAATGCGTAGCACATCAGGGTGCATCCACACATTATTAAAGGTCAAAGGGCTTTAAAGCAGTGCAATCATTTTGAAATTTTATCATTTACTTATTATGCTTCATTAAGTACTTATACAAAATTTTATTAAAATAAAACCATTTAAACTGGGTGTTCGGATTTATATGTCACTTAGTATAATTAGTTTTTATGTTGTTATCTTGACTTTGGTCGATGTGTTACTAGGAGAACCTGCTTATTTTCACATGAACGCAAAAAATGCTAGCTTTAACAACTTATCAAGAGAATAACTCACCTTTCTATGAAACAATCATACTTTGGTAGTTGTGTATCGTTAAACTCATCTTCTGAGTCTGAGCTGTCATCGAAAAAACTAGGACTTGAAGGAGGAGTATAGAATAGATCTAGATCGTCTTCTTCATCACTTTTCTCATCTTCGTCAGAACTTATATCTACATCCTTTACAGTGTTCAGCGACACACTTGGTCCGTTTTTTACTGCAAAAAAATGAACTAAAATGTTGGACTGTTGGGATAAAAAGTGATAAAAGACGACACTTATTTATATAAATACCTTCTAAAGGATGAAAAAATATATATGAAAATTGTTGTTTGCGCTCTAAAACTTACCAATATTTTGATCACAGTCAGTCTCGTCATAATATAGTTTTCTTGCTAATCTGCCATCTACGTCATTTTTCGAAAACGCCCTTGCGCTATTTTTGAAACTTCCGTTTCTGGATAAACTGTTCTTTTTGGATCTTCTCGTGTGGTAAATACACGAACACGCCTCAGCCTCCTCCCACTCTTTATAACAATTCTCAGCTTTGGCGTTCGATTTCACTTCGAGGTTTTGAGAAAGCACACTCAAGACATAGTGTATCAGACAGATCAGTTGCTTCTTATACATCGTCGGTTTCCTAAAATTATAATTTGAAAAAAAATCTTCGAGTCTCATAAATACAGATCCATCCCAGAAGTAAAAGTTGTATATGAAAGTTATAGGATCTGGTATGAAGTTTTTGATGCAATATGTTTTTGTAGGTATCGTGTTTATTTTGTTCAATGGCAAGTACACAGCTAGAATCGTCACCATATAGCAGTCACGTGGTGTCTGGACCTCCAATTCATTGACTGAGATCTATACAGTCCCAACCAGTTGGCTGCGATTCATGGTTTCGCAGTAGTCGATTCAAGAGCTAGATAGCGCTTGAAGCTGTCTCATTTCTAAAGATCACACACTTTGTATAGTTGCTATGCTTTCGTTCTTTCCCAACCCAAGCCTCGACCTTGCTGAGGAGTAGCCAAAAAGCATGAAACAGCTGTCCATGGTGGCTGACTTTGATGGGATGGTTGGAAGCAAAGAATGTTTATTATGATTTGAATTGTTTGACAGGTAGAGAAAAGTCATCTCTGCTAAAACATATACAGAGGATGGTGAGAATAATATACTACTGGATACTTATATTCCTCACATTTGGTCCTCGATACAACATACAACATACTACAAATTCAACCCTTTCGCCATATGTTTTGCGCGGTAAATTGTAATTTACTGAACATACCTATTTTCGGAGCATTCCATGAAATTGTGCCCCTCATCATCCGAAGAGAAGCAATCGACACTCTTTGTGATGACATCGAGCACATTTTCTATTTTGCTACACAGAAACACCCGCGCTTCTTCCTTTATATTGTTGCATAATTTTTGCCCGACCAGGCTGCCAAGACGTGAATGAATTTTTTGGAAGTTCACAGTCGAAAACCTATCATCTTCCATATAGCTCGTTATCAAGTATTCCAATTGTTTTATTTCCACTTCGAGCACTGGCAGAATGTTATCCTCGTTGCACAAGATATGCAGAATGTCATTTGATATCCTAGAGGAGACAAATTACAGATATTTCCCCATAGTGTTATCACTGTTCAATTTTACGTCTGAACATCACCTTGGACATGACCTTGGTTATGAACTTGAAGGTCAAATCAAAACATCGAAAAAAATTGCTCTAGCAAAAATGTTTGAAAGCACAGTTGTGAGGTTTGTGAGAGTCAGCCAAATGTGACCTGTACTAGAAATGGAAAAATTAAGAAATGTCACGTCCTAATTAGACCTCGACCTCACAGTCAAGGTCGTGTAAAGCTTAAATGTTCTTTGAGGTCAAGATCACGTTTCCAGTATAAAAATGAGAGGTTTCCTTTGAAAATATTGACTTGACCTTGAAAGTCGTGGTCAGATTATGTCCACGGTCACCTTTGGGTAGTCCCCACAAACATCACAAAAGTGCTGTTGGACATTTTTGCAAAAGCAATTTTTTCGATGTCTTGATTTGACCTTGGAATGGCCTTTTTTTAACTTTGAGCCACTTTTATCGAAACGAACAAATATTAAAAGTTATTACCTGTTTGCAAACACCTGACAGGCTTTGTCAATATACGTCAATGACTCGTTGTCAACTTTAAGATCCATGCTGTCGTTCAGATTACAAGCCGCCGTAAACGCCGAACACAAATTGGATATAGGACTCAATACATCCGGCTTTTGACAAATTCAGATCGACGTTTGACGATTCCGAGTTACACGAAAGGTTCAGAGCCGAGAACCGTTTGGAAAAGTAGTTTTCTAGTAAGTGAAGGCCTTCGTCTGATGTAATGTCTACAAAACTTCCTGGAAGACAAAAATTTAGGATTGAAAATATCCCAAGTATGGGGTGCAGCATGTGAGGAAATCGCTAAAATCATCTCTGGTACTAACTTTTCCATTTTTCGAAAACAAAAATAATAATGTAATAGCCTAATAATTACTTAAAAAATTGCGACGCTATGGATTTAAAGGATATGTAACCGAATGTCCTCAAAACTTCTTGAATGACAGAAGTCGAAACCAAAATTCTAAATTGGATCTACATTATCAAGGTTCTGTTTACTGCTATTTATGTCATACATTAATGACATTAGTAATACTTTAGATTATTGTAAAATTCTGAAATTTGCATCAACATACATATCGGAAGAAAATATAGATACTGCTTTAAAGATGCTAAATTCTGACTGGACAAAAAACATAAATTGGTTAAATGTAAATAAACTAAAATTGAATGCTTCTAAAACAAAATGTATGCTAATAAAGAAATAAATACGTAGGGTCAAGTGGTGCAAAAATGAGACAGCCGAAATTTCGGTCAAAAACAAGACATTCAATTTTTCCCAATGCAAAAAAACAATAACATTGTAAAAAATACGTTACAAATTACTTCCACATATATACAATTGAAATATGTAATGAATAATAAATAAACGTAAGCACAAACATCGAGAAAAAACTATCGCATCTGAGTGTGCATTTTGCTTAAAAAATCTTTTAAATTGTATTTACAAACTTTTCCTGTTGCGCCGCTGTTGAGGCGCAAAGGATTTAAATTTATTTTTCCGGCCATTGAGGAAAAGTACTTCATCGACAAAAGTGACATAGAAATGAAACTTCCCCAGCCAGAAATAGAAAGTAAGACCTGTCGTATCTCTCAGCAATATTGGTTTCCTATCGACTTTGAAAAATTCGTCGTTCAATAATATGTAGTACAAAATACGTTAGAATAATAAGTTTTATACTTTAGCTCTTAAAATCCTATTGAAAATCTTATTTTACCCTTTTTTTGAATCAGGTATGGTTTATTTAACTTGTTTTTTCGATTTGTTTTCTTTTTAGTTTAATAAACATAGTTTTTTATTTAATTATGTGAGTTTTCTTTAAGAACGTTGTCATAATTTAAAACCTAACTATGTTATTTGACTTACTAAACGCTTTAAAACCCTTGAAGTTTGTCTCGTTTTTATTCCACAGGGTCTCATATTTTGCCACACTGATGTAAAATGACTAAAAGGCCAGAAAATACAGTGTCTTGTTTTTAACCTCTCACTGTCTCATTTTTAGCCTAAATAGTGGTTAAAAACGAGACACGGTTTTTTAACAAAAACGCAGTTCATTATGAATATTATGAACCTTTTTTTAACGTGAGGTTCTACTACATGGCTTTCTGCATACAGGGCAATAAAGCAAAGCCTTAAAGTCCGGTTTTTTGTTGACAAAAAATTAAAAGATTTAAAAATCGTCTCGTTTTTGCAGCACTTGACCCTAAATGAAAATACTATCGCAGTTAGGGTAGATGGTGAAATAATGGAAAAAGTTGAATTAATAAATATTTGGGTATTATATATTGATGGTAAACTAAAGTTTGTGGATCACTATGAATACATTATTTCAAAAATTGCAAAAAAAACAATTACTTTTATAGTCTAGTACATATTTCAACAAATAGTTCACAATAATTATTATTTACCGCATTTACTATATCTTGTTCACTGCCAATGAAGATGTATTCTCAAAATAACAAGTCCTACAAATAAAGCTATGAGAGTAATATTGACTAAAAATAAGTACACCAACATAATATCAATGTTACAAGAATCGCAGTGGTTGAATATAAAAAAATTTATGTCATATTCGATCTCTTGCTATACTATAACTATCTAAAACTGTAATGACTCATCGATGTTCACGTGAACATCACTTAACTAACAGTAGTCGGCTGTTCATAGGCGGGGTATGAATGTTTAACATGGGTGAACTAGATTTGTCACATGCTTAATAAAGAGTGGTTTGAAACATATTGTAAGTCAAAAATTTGGGAATTACCTTTATTCATCGTCGCTTCCACTTACATCTGACAGTAATAAACTGTCGCTATCGCTTTCCTCGTTGAAATTGACTATAACTGGCTCTATGAGGGTGTCGATGTGGTGGTTTAGCTGCCACATTTTTGTTTCTTCCTTCACAACATGCTTCGGGCGTTACTAGCTGTATGGAAGTCTCAAGTAAAACCTTGACGTCTGGTAATTTGAAGGTTGTGTTATGGCGCGCAATATAACCCTTCACTTGAGCCCAGATGAGCTCTATTGGGTTCAGTTCACAGTGGTAGGGCGGTAACCGCAGCACAGTGACACCACATTGACGGGCCATCTCATCAGTCACGTAAGTAATGTTCGCAGGTTTGTGCTGTTTAATTTTTTCATACAATTCCGCTTTCACACATGAATCGTCAAACGGGATTCCTTTTTCGCGCAACCATTGCTGCATGTCACTTTTTCGAGATCCCATAGTCGGTACACGTTCGGCTCGACGACTATGGTAGGAAGCATTATCCATGACGATCACAGAGTTGGGCTCAACTCGCTGAAGCACCCCTTGAAACCAGCTCTCGAAGCAGCTGGCATTCATTTCGTCATGGTAATCACCTCACGATCAATCTTTGACCTTTCCCTAACGGTCCACGAAGACCTGTTGACAAACCTTCAATGCGTGCTTGTCGGTTACTCACTACGTTTTTGTCTATCCAGGTTTTTTTAACTGTGTGACCTGCATTTATCCATGTCTCGTCCAAATAATAGATTTTTCTGCTTTGTCGCCTATATTCAATCATTTCGCGTAGGTATTTTCGACGCCAGGCGACTATTTCAGGTATCTCTATCAATACTGACTTCCGATTACGCGTTTCGCAACGAAAATTAATTTCGTGCAGGGATTTCCTCATTACCTCGACGCTCATTTGGGGTATAATTTCATTTTCCTTGATCGCTGCATGTACAGCCTTGAGGGTTGGTATCTCATTCCTAAAGAAGAATGAATGTACGGTTCGCCTTAACGCCATTTTGCTATCGTCATGCAATTTAACGGCCTTTCGTCCCTTCAAATTAAACTTTGGATCAGTAGTAGCTCCAGTTTTCTTCTTTTCATGCACCACCCTGCGAATGGTCCACTCTGGAACGCCTGTCATATTTCACAACGCGCGAGTGCATCTCCCTGCGACATAGTTCTGTTCAGATAATTGAACACGTTGAGCACGATTTCTTTCGCGTCCCTCTTCAGTGCTTTACGAAGCCGTCTACTTGTTCCCTGGCTTTCAGTACTTCCACTCGTGCCATTTGTACTCTCCATGGTTAAGTATAACCAAAACAGTAACCACAGAAGCCACAACAATAACAATCACACAACAATTCTTAAAAAAAACACACAATATTCGATCGCTCAACGAAACACGTTCCAATGCGTTGCCGACGCCTATGAGTCTGCCGGTCGAGGCGCGTCTTTGATTTCATTGGTTCTACCGGCGGAGAACAATCAGCCATTATTTCCATCTCTGTCTGTGCTGTTGACCACTGCAAAGCCATAGAAACGACATAAGTCGTACGCTATACAGCTGTACTGGAAGGAAGCCGGGATCGAGCTCTGATCACGTGTTGATCACGCGTATGAGTCATTACAGTTTTAAATAGTTGTAGTATACAACATTTTGGACATTATATAGAATAGAATAAGCATTACCACAATTATTATACAAGAGGAAATATAGATTTCCATTTAAAAAATTGCGAAAGTAGTATAATTAGCAATTAGCAAAAATATTTGAATGTAATAAACTATATAATGATAAAAAGACTACTTGTAATTTAAAGATGTTTAAAAGGAAATTGAAGGGAACATTTCATGGCCAGTGAACATTCTTAGAAATGCAAGTTTTATTTTTATTAACATTTGCACGTTATGCAATTGTTGTAGTATTTAAAAAAAGTAGCAATTAAACAACAACAGCATAACCAGTTATAACTATGTTAAAATCACGAAAAATTTCGAAAAGGTATCATGTTTTTTGGAAGTTACATGATATGTACAAACCGAAATAACCACTCAAATCCTTTACGTCTGTCTGTTGATCTGTGTATCCGCTATTCCTTGACCCCTGTATAACCCCGAAAGTGCTTGACGCCATTTTTTCAACATCTTATAATAGAAAATTAGCTGAACTTACCGAGAAATGACCAGTACTCTTTCCAGCTAACATCATAGTCTTTGGCCAACCTCTTGCCTATCCTTTCGAGACCTTTGTCAGGATCCTTATACCTCAATGAAGTGACACTGACATTTTCATTTGGTTTCCTGCTAGGCGAATTAAAATTCAAAGTACGCGGCGGTGTTTTCCACACTCTTCTGAATTCCTGAGCTTCTTTTTTATCCATTGGCCCCGCATAGGCATGAATTTCCAGCCTAGGGCTGAGGGGATCTTTGTTAAGTACCTACAAAAAATGTTATCAAACATAATTTTATTTGCAATATATCATCAAAATGAAGTAGTGCTTCAGAAAATATCTTCCTTGAATTTTCGGTTTGAAAAAACCCTGTAACACTATGAAAAGTTAGTGAAAACATACTGTAACACCCTCGCAACGATGAGACGCCCTCGCAATATCGACGCTTAGGCAACCAGAGTTACGCTGCCGTATATCAAGAGCGTTTGACACCCGTCGAAAAGCATTTACCGCCACGAAGAAGCATCGATCGACATCTAGATAGCTTTGATAAAGCGCTGGAAGGCTCTGGATTGGCCAATTTGAACATAAATATCCTGCACCGGTGGCGAAAAGGCAAAAGTGCGTCAACATAATCTGGTCGACATGGTTATAGTTTTGTTGCAAGTATTGTTATAAATTAGTGTGAGAGTAATAAATTAGACTTTGGAACAGTAAAGACGTGTCTGTTTTCGTTACAATACTTACAGGTGGTGTAGTGGGAGAAAAAGGTTCGCCAACTGTTGGAGGTAGACTATTGTCTTCAGCTCTTAGAACAGGTACATAATAACTATCCTGAAGTAATAACTGAATTTTATTTTTCACAGCTTGTATATTGTTACCGTCTGCGCGTTCGCAAATAATCTGCAATATCAACGAATTAATTAAACATCATAAAGCTGCATGGCTCTTAACTGTAGCAACATAACTGTTACAAACTGAAAACAACAATTGAACACAAAATATTAAAACTCATGTTTGATCATCGTACAAAGTAATTGTATCCTGAACCTATAATGGACATTTCATAGAAGAAAAAGTATTTCTCAGAAATCACAGGTCAGCCAAACCTTCAATACCAAGTCAAATTTTTGGCTTTAGAATAAATGATAGTTTTAGAAATGCATATAACGAAAATGCACGTCAAACTTTGCATTAACATTTTAGAAACTATGAATTTGCATACGATAATGTTCGTACCGTAAACAGTAATTAAAACATAATTATGTCGTTTGTCAAAATATGACAGAACAAAGTGCCATCTATTACCAGAATCGACCCCTGCGAAAGTGAAATTGGAACTGCAACCCAGTTCGCATTGTCAGCCGGGTCACCACTGTGGCCGCAAGATGCTGCCCATTCTGGTGCTATAGTAGATACGGTTTACACGCCATTGAACAAACTAGTAATAAATGGCACTGTGTGCTGTATTATTTCGATAAGCCTTATACTCTGAATAGACTTGCTCAGCATGCATTTGTTGACCATTGACAGCAAGCCTACACCATGCTGAGGAGTTGCCAAAGTGGACGAAATGAGGGACACTAGAAAAGCCATGAAAAAAACAAATGAAACGAACAAACATAATATAGACAGTTGGTTTCCAAGTTTTAAGGTGAATTGTGAGGAAAAATGAGTAACATAAAATTACAGGATCACAGTGTCATAAAAGTTCTGATAGAAGAGGGCCATCAGCTGAAAACAATTCTTGAGAGAATGGTTGCCGTCCATGAGGACGATATACCTTATATTACACAATAAAATGTTGGTCGGAATAGTTTGGATGCGAGTGTGAATCCATAGAAGGCAATCCCAGACATGGAAGACCCAAGACAGCAATATGTATATGATGAAATATCATGGTTCTCGAAGATGTTAAGGTCTCTACCGGAACCCAGAGTAATAACCATCTTGCACGACAATTTTAAGGTTTCAGCCAGGTGGATTCCAAAACTGTTGCGCAGGTTGTAAATTTCAAAAACTCATTTGGAAACTTTGACCAACAATACTGTCTTTTTGGCACAAATTGCGACTGGAGGCGAAGCTTGGATGCATCATTGGGATACTGAGTAAAAAAGAATACAAGCAGTGGGTTCATAAAGCGTCTCCACCCCCCAAAAAGGCCCATACACAACTTCTGCTGGAAAATTGATGGCAATAGTTTTCTGCGACATCCGGGGCATCCTTCTCATTAAAATATATGCCAAAAGGGTCAATAATAAATGCGGACATTTAGACGAACACGCTGAAAAATGTACGTAAGCCAATCAACTATAAAAGACACGATTTTTCCAATCGAAAAATGTTTCTGCTGCATGATAATGCGACGGTGGAAAAGACTGCCAAAATCAGAGCAATTTTGCAGCAATACAGCTTCGTTGAGATAGACCATCCCCCTATAGTCCGGTCTTTACTGCCTCTGACCTTTATTCTTTGAATTACTAGTTTTGACTCAGATGATGGTCTATGATCAGCAGTCAACAACTTTTTCTATAGTCTAGACCACAAATGTTTTTTAAGAGTATAAGCTCATTGGAGGAGAAATGGCACAAGTTCATACATCTGGGAGGATTATATTGAAAAATAAGATTATCAAAAAAATCATACGTCTTTTATTTCATGCATATATATATATATTTCTTTTCTACTATCCCTCGTATATTATTAACATGTGGTTTGATTTAGCAGCTACACAAGGGAATCCAACTTGAAACCCACAGGATACATTACAGATGTCTCATTCTATATTATTTTTGAGCAAAAATACATCTACATACATCATAATTTTTTGAATTGTTCTCACCTCTGCAGCTGACTTATGGAATTTATTTCTGGTACTTTTATCACACTGTGGATATGAAACAAGCAGCTCCACGACTTCCGCAGCACCATGTTTCGCGGCAAAATGAAGTGGAGTCTCGTTCAAGCCCTTGTTTGGAGTATTGAGGTACAAATCCAACAAAACGGCAGTTCTATCTTCGGCATTCTGCTGGTTATCGTCACCATACAACAGCTTTATGAATTCAGTGTTTGAAATGGTGGATAGTATCAGTTCCGCTATTTCAGCGTTTTTTGATTTTGCTGCCACATGGAGTGCATTATACCTAGGTCCCTCCTAAAAAATACTGATTTATGACGGCTAATCCTTTATAAAGGTGCCTTTCCACGCTGCTATAGTGACAGGAGACAAGTGCCTTCTACTTATAACCTAGGCTAGAACTAGGGAATTGAAAAGTGCAAACCTAAGCATCTCTATACATGACGTTTCTTAATGATATGCGAATATTTAACGGTGTGAATCTACATGAATAATTAATGTTAGTTTGCTTCATAAACTATGGTCCAAAAATGTTTCCTTACAAAAACTCGGGGTGTTGAATTTTTAGGAAAAATATAGAAAATAATTAATGTTTTCAGAACCGCTTCAGATATTTCACTGATATTTAGTACGTAGTGAAAGTTAATAAAGTTGCATATTTTTCAATGCAAAAATAATTTGTAGCTTTAACAGTGGCGTGCGTACGGGTATTGACTTCGATATTTTTTAAGAAAGAAATAGTACGCCAATAGTTTTTTGACGGATGAAAATTGTTTTTGAATGCCCCGTTCAATTTAAAACAAATGATCTGTCTTGAATTGTTTTCCTTCGATGCGCCATTTTTGAGTAAAAAAATTATTTTTGCATTGAAAATTATGCAACTTTATTAACTTTCACTACGTACTAAATATCAGTGAAATATCTGAAGCGGTTCTGAAAATATTAATTCATTTCCATTTTTTTCCTAAAACTTCAACACCCCGAGTTTTTGTAAGGAAACATTTTTGGACCATAGTTTATAAAGCAAACTAACATTAATTTTTCATGTAGATTCACACCCTTAAATATTCGCATATCATTAAGGAACACCCTGTATATGAGACCATCATCACAGCAGTACCAAAATTCGTACACAGTGACATAACAGAGTACTTAATGTAAATAACGACATAATTCAAATTTTGGGTAAGTTGCACTTGATAATATTTTTATCACTGTGACTGTGAAATATTTAAATTTAGACTTCAGAATATGCATTATGAACTTTTGAAGCTGTTTTTCTTTGAGTAATGGTGAAACTGAATTGTGATCTTATTATGTCCAATGACACTGTCAACTAAGAACTTTCTTAACAGTAATTAGTTGATAGGAAACACTAAAGACAAACACTTTTTGATATAACACCATCTTCTGTAACTTATGTAGCTTAGAATGGCACTTTAATAGAGCAATAGGTTTCAAGTTAGAATAAACTAAAATTTTAATAGGACAAAATTGAAGGAGCCAATAAGTGTATGTTTTATACATTTTGGTCATAAAAAAGTGCATGCAAAACTTGTATTTTATATCATTTACCTGTAGAATTGATGGTGTATCTCCATTACTAACCAAATACCTAGGATTCTGCCAAATTGTCTCTTTGACAAACTTATAGTTGCCTGACTCTATTGCTTTCCTAAGTTCAACCAGCTCTTGAGGTTTAGGTCCTTTGAAAGGACTGGATTTTTCACCTATTGTCTGTGTAGTCTCTGATAGCTTAGAAGTGAATAATCCTGTTATTGTATGGTTGTTATTAGGACATTCTGAGCCATTCATTGCAAATTCTGCAGCTTCATGATAGAACTGAAAGTAGCAAGACAAGAAAATAGATAATAATTCTAATAATAAATGATTAGAAATTATAAAAGCTAAATATTAAACATTATTCTTAAAAGGTCAATAGAATGATCCTCTATGCTTGTCTGCCCACTAAATGAAACTACATAAGCTTGAAATACTGTTTACTGATGACAATGTTTGCAAATTTTCAGTTCAACAAAAAAAAACAAAATACATATATTGTCATCAGTATTGTCAATTGCACTTGAAAAAGAATGATCTGGTGGCCAAAATGTCTTCATCACTGGACAGTATTTTAAGCATATCTGGTTTCATTTAATAGCCAGACAAATATGGAAGATTATCAGCATAAAAACCACAAGACAAGTTGCAGATGTTACGAGGGTGGTCCCAGAAGTACCCGACCCAAAGAAAAAAACACAAAATTTTTGTAAAAAAATGTATTTTTCAACATAATCTCCTTTGAGTGCTATACACTTTTCCCAGCGATGTTCAATAAGTTCGATACCCTATTTATAATAAGAACTGTCTTACTCCTCAAAATAGCCATTAGCTGCTGATATCACTTCTTCATTGTTGGAAAATCTTTGACCACTGAGCCATTTTTTCAAGTTTGGAAACAGAAAATAATCCGAGGGGGCTAAATTTGGTAAATAGGGTGCATGAGGTAGCAATTCAAACTTTAATTCGTTAATTTTGGCCACTGCAATAACGGATTTGTGAGCTGCTGCATTGTCTTGATGAAACAACACTTTCTTCTTAACCAAATGCGGACATTTTTGCTCGATTTCATTGCTCAAACATTGCAATAAGTTCGCATAATACTTGCCCTTGATAGTGTTACCTTTTTCAAGATAGTCAATGAAAATTATCCCACGCGCATCCCAAAAAACCGACGCCATAACCTTGCCTGTAGATGAAACAGTCATCGCCTTCTTTGGAGCCAGTTGTCCCTTTTGAGTCCATTGTTTTGAGTGTTCTTTTGTCGCAGGTGTGAAGTGATAGACCCATGTTTCATCCATGGTTATGAAACGACGCAAAAATTCTGCTTTGTTGCTGTGAAACTTCGCTAAACACTCAACTGAATCATCTTCACGACACTGTTTTTACTAGATTGTGAGCAATCGCGGCACCCATCTTGCACACAGCTTTCTCGTGTCCATATTTTCAGATAATACGCGATCAACCGCACTTTTTGAAATGCCTACTATGTCTGCTAGCTCGCGCACTTTCAGTCAACGATCATTCAGTACCACTTTGTGAATTTTCTTCACCATTTCTGGAGTGATCACCTCATTTGATTGACCACTGTGATGCTCGTCTTGGTAGCTCATACGACCTTGTTTAAACTCTGCTACCCAATATTTTACTGTTGCAAACAAAGGAGCAGACTGACCCAGAGTAGAATCCAGTTCAGCTTTTATATTGGTTGGGCTGAGGCCTTTGAAATAAAAGTATTGTACCACATAATGATGACCAATTTTCTCCATTTTCACAAATTCACTGTAAACGTTCAGTATTGATGGCTGCCAAAGAAATACTTTATAGGTTGCATACTTTCTAATACAATGATATTTTTCAAACAACTATCGCCATCACTAGGTCAGGCCAGGTACTTCTGGGACCACCCTTGTACATTACCCAATAGAATGATTTGATCAAATTTGAAGATAGATATGAAATAATAAGGCTTAGTCCTCTTTAAATATGAAGGACTGAAAAGGCAATTATTCACAAAACTGGGATCTTTAAGAAAAAGAAATTCAGATACTGCAATCTGACTTTATTTTGTCAGTTCTAACAAAAAGTTTCTGACTATCATGGAAGAACTCAATATTTACACCATAAGCAGTCAAAAAGTGATAGCGCTTGTTGTAATTGGGCACACAGCATCACAGAACAAGAGTGTTCCGTGGCTAGCTATGGTACAGAAGTGATATGGGGCACTAAAGATAAAGTCTGACAGAATCTCCCAAAAGCATTGTTTCCAGAAAATAACAAAACAGACTAAACTTAAATGGTAGCTACTTTTTCATACATATCCTTGAAGTAGACATAGTGTCGTGTGATACAGTTTTTATTAGATTTTTGAGAATGCCTATATCTTTCAATGGACTGTTTCTGTCTTGCTTGAAGTATTGCATATGGATTCAAAGAAAACTGATTGAAGCATAAGTTATGCAATGCTGCATTAGTATTATAATCATTTTGTTTACATTGAAAATTTTTGTTTTGGAATTACTGTTTACTGATGTTTTGGATACAATCCAAAGTACTGTGGCAGCTGAAAAGTCAGTAAAAGGTAATTCAAACATGTGGTTAGTTAGCCAGACAATCAAGGAGTCCTGTCAACATGAAAACCAAAGGAAATTTCATGTTTCCTCAAATTCAAACTTACTTGGAAGGCTTTGAACCGCGCCTTTTTATTCCTCTTTGCCAATTTCAAAGCTTCAACTTTATCTTGGAAGACATAGGGTCCTTCACTGTAGTCCTTAGCATCAATAGGCACATACACGCCATAGTAAATGGTATTAGAACAATTTATACCGTTGGATATCACCGAATTATTTGTCGGTGAGTGCATATCTGCTGATCTAGATGAGCATAGATGGAATTTCGCTGAAAGATATTGCCAAATACAAGCGGGTATCTAACCAGACACCTTCTGGGTGAAGCTGCGACACAATTTAATCGCAAATATTGCACACACAGAAACAGAAACAGCTAAAGATAGTACAGTTTTGGCATTTCTTCCCACTTTAAAACTTATTTCTACACGTTTGCGTTTACTTTTTCCACTTTTGTGTTTACAAATCCACACGACACAGAACAAATGAAAAGAATGGCGTTGTTTGTCAGTCTGACATGGGGTAAATGACATGTCATTTGAGCAATGATATGGCGGGAAATTTGATTATGGGGTAACCAAGAACCCAAGTTCCCATGATCAAAATTGCTTAGCTTGATGATAACATTCATCGTTCTGTGAATGTTACAAAAATGCACGAAAAAAAAACAAATACCAACCTACTTTTTGTAGAACATCTACATTCCAAAACAAAAAACTACATCCACAATAAATATAGCTCTCAGGCTGAGTATTCATAATTATAATGTAAGGAACGTACGTTTTTTCTGGCTTCTAAAAAATATTCAAATGGGAAAATCGGTGGAGAAAACAACCGGAAGTGCAGTGGCGTAGCTGTGATGCTGAACGGTTTCAACAAACAAACAAAAACAATCGAGTCATTTAAGTTGTAAAACCATTACAGGTAAAGTTGATTTCATGACCTACACAGGTTTATACAAATAAGTGATTTTTGTTGTGTCATTGGCGTTGGTAGTTTACAATGAGAAATGAGGTGGAAGCCTAGCTCCATAACAACATACATGCGACACGCCTCTGTATTTTGTGTCTTGTGCAGATGTTACAATCAACCATACTCAGCGGCGTATCAAAATTTTTTTGCTGATGTACGACAAGGTATGGAATATATTAATTAATGGTATGTATAATAGGGTTGCTGAGGATTCCTCTTCCGCTTCCTCATAATGCGGAAGTTCCGCAATATTTTGGGTTCCTCAACCGTTACCGCATCCTCATAATAAAAATGAAAATAATCCTCTTCCGCTATCGCTTCCTCAAAATTTAAGAGGAATTTATGAGGAATTTCACTGCGCATGCGCGTCGCGTATCCATGGTAACTCACACGCCGCAGCGCGATGCCGGGCGGAACGGGCGAGCGAGACCTCCCCTCCCGCCACCCGTGCTTTTCTTTGCTTGTTTCAACTTGTTTTAATTTTATTGAAATAGCAAATAGCAAGCGTTGTTTTGTTTACGCGCGTATGCAACTATACACGCAGTGCAAATAATATAATCTAATAATTTGATTTCTTTTATCAAAAATCGAAATGAGACCGAAGTGTAGTGCTATATGGACGTACTTCAATGAAGTAGACGATCAGACTGTGCGTTGTAACTTGTGCAATCAAACATATTCAAGAAAAGGGCGCGGGACTTCTGGGCTACGGAGTCATCTCCAGTCACGTCATAAAACGGAATATACGGAGTATGAAAAATGCGATGCGGCTTCGAAAAAGGCTGAAGTGGAAAAGAAACGTAAGTGCACAGAAGAAACTTCTCTTCAGTTGGTCAAGAGGCAAGTTACTTTACAAGAGTCATTAATGAAACACCAGTGCTGGGATTCATCACATGAAAAAAGTCGTGAGCTAGATAAATTAATCTGCGAAATGATTGCATTGCAAGATTTGCCTTTCAATTTCATTGAAGGTATTGGTTTTAGACGTTTTGTCCAAGCCGCACAGCCTAAATATGATCTAAAAAAACGTCAGTATTATACTTCGCATTTGTGTAATTACGTTTATCCTAAACTTTATGAAAAGATTAAAAACTTGATAAAAGATTTGGAATACGTGTCTTTCACTACTGACATATGGACAGAGCCTGGAGCTGGTGTTTCTCTGCTTAGTTTTACGGTCCACGGCATTAATGATGATTTCAAAAGAGTGTCTTTAGTTCTTAAATGTGTCACTCTCGAAGAACGACACACGGGCGATCTGGTAGCTCAAAAACTCGACGAAATACTAGAGGAATGGGACATTCCTCGGCAAAAGCTACATGCAATGGTCCGTGACGGTGGATCTAATATGAAACGAGCTGCCCGTATCTCACAAATCGACGATATAGATTGCACCTTACATCAATTACAATTGTGTGTACGTTCAGCTTTGGCGTCTAATGAACATTTCTCAACGCTGTTGGCTAAATGTAAGCAGATTGCGACGCACTTCAATCACTCTATAACTGGACAAAAGGAATTGAACGACTTTCAAGAACGCCTAGGTTTACCTCAGCTGTCAGTTATCCAAGAATGTGCTACTCGGTGGAACAGCATGTTTTATATGATTGAGCGACTTATTAAGATAAAGGATGCTATCATATTATATACATCGCAACACCCAAATTTGCCGCAACTTGTACCAAGTGATTGGGTAAAACTTGAAACCTGTACGAGGATTCTGAAACCCTTTGAAGAGGTAACTAAATCTTTGAGCAGCACTGAGGCATGTATATCCTCTGTTATACCACTGATTCATGTCTTAGTATGTGCAATGCAAAATTTTTTGAGAGAAGATAACATTGGTAATGACCAAGATTGCAAAAATGTCATCCAAAAACTGATAGAAGAGATTAACAACCGCTTCGGTGAGCTTCATAATAATAATCTCTACGCCATCTCTACATATTTGGATCCAAAATACAAAACGAAATTTTTTTATGAAATAACTAAAGAACGTATTGAATTAGCGCTACTAACAGTACTAACATCAACCAGCCAACGCCCAATAGACAATGTCGTCATGGATGTCCACAATCAACCATCCACTAGTTCTGGGGCTGTAGTAGACAGTGTAGACACATCCTGCCCCACAGCCAGCACTTCCACGGGAAAAATTGTAGATTCAATGTTAGCCGAAATGTTAGCCTCTGAGCTAAATAGTGACGATGAAATTGAAAGTTTACCAATAGAAGATAGATCCGTGGTACTGAAGTTACTATTAAATAACTACATTAGAGAAAAACGAATTAATATGCATGAAGACAGTCTTCTATGGTGGAAAAATAATCCGAAATATTCGGAGGTTTACGGAGCTGTACGGCAATACCTATCTTCTCCTCCATCAAGTGTCCCAAGCGAACGACTTTTTAGCAATGCTGGATTGGTATATGATGAGCTAAGAAACCGGTTGTCAGGGGAAACAGCGTCCAAATTAATTTTTATAAAAATTAACCTCCCTATAATTAAGTTTGATTATTAGTATTCAGTTCTTTTATTTTGACAGTTAATATTCGACTTAAGCAATTAATAAAGAAATAAAGACTGCATATTTATTTTCATTTCAATTCCTAAATAAAATTGTATCATTCACTCATCTTTTTTTGTGTACGTGTGTTGTGTATGTTACCGAACTCCTCCTAAACTGCTGGACCGATTTTGATGATTCTTTATTGCGTGTCTTTTGAGAATGGTTTAGATTCATAGTTTGGTCCACTGAAAAATGCCCTTTTAATTAATTTTGTGTATGTACATATGTACCTAGTTATGTACAGACAGAACAGCGGCTTTTGGGTTGGGTCCGCTAATATTTATAATTTCCTCTTCCTCATCCGCTTCCTCTTCCTCAAAAAATATCCTCTTCCTCATCCGCATCCTCTAAATTTGCGCGTGACAATTCCTCTTCCTCCTCCTCTTCCTCATAATCACTTCCTCAACAACCCTAATGTATAACTACTATAACACCCTAAATATTTAACCGTATCGCAATTTTTGATGTTAGTATATTAATAAACTTCCAACTCCGGTTATTCTACGCACCTAATAGACATATTGCACACACACTTCATCTACATTTGCCCTTAAAACTTTAAAAATGATTTCCAGCAGACAAATCGTCTATCGGTCGCATATGCCGTGCGCCACGGGGTTATTAATAGATATTACATATTTGGTAACTCCATCAGCAAATTAACCTGAATGGTTTAGCAAATTTCGACGACCTTGAGAGCTCAATACACGCTCTGAGATGCTGCCATGCTCAACTGCGTCGCGTAGTTAACGCTTCATTAGTTCATTCTCCTCGCTGGGGTGTGCGTGTTCCGTATCCTAATGGACATAGTGAAGTGGGATGGACTTATCCGTATCTGAAAATAGAAAGTTCAGAAATCAGTTTTTACGTATGTATATACAGCCTGTTTTATCTAAGTCTAATAAGACGGAGAATTAAAAAAATCAAGGCCTGACTCAGCTTTTTTCACTTTCCTGTTTTTTTTCTAAATCTTCTGCTTTTGAGCTGAAAATTGAAATGTTTGACTGTGTACAAAAAAAAGCCCATGAATGATATTAATAAGCTGGCGAAATAGATTGATGGCGCCTCTTTTAGTTTTTTAGTTACACATTTATATTTATTCAAATATCTTTTATCGGCTAATGTGCCAGAGCGAAATTTTAAGGCTTATCAACTTGGTTTCATCAAGATTTCACAAAATAATGCTTAAAAGTGAACTGGATATGTTTTGAGAACTAAAAATTCCAGGGTCGGAATCAGTTTTTTATTTCTTTGTATTTTATTGCACCCTGTGAGTTATACTCACTATAATTTACTATTTCGCAGAAAAAAGAGCAACACATGATATGTTACAACATAAACCCTGATTTAGGAAATCGACATGTATGAAAATGGACTGTACCAATTCAAAATTGTTACGAAAACGTAAAAAAAACTTAGTATACAAGTCCAAACTCAGCATAGTTAGTTAGTGAAATCGCGCATTTGTTTAATGATGAGCATTATTTTGTAAAATAATGATGAAACCAAGTTTACAACCCTTGAAAGTTTGAGCTTTGTGTCACATAAACAGCTAAAATTAAGATATATTTGAATAAATAATTAAGTTTAACCCAAAAACTAAAAGAGGTGCAATCATTTTAATTAACACCATTCATTGGGTTTTTCTGTAGATAGTCGATTTTGATAAACATTAAAGTGAAGAAATCGAGTCCGACCCCCGTCTGTATAGTTTTAAATGACTCCTAGGTAACTCTGTTGTTGTACAAAATGTCAACAAAACCAGTTCAATAGTGCCCTAGATATGCGATATTAAAGATTTGGCGTGTTTAGATAAATTACCGTGTTTATCCGTAAATAACGAATTTAAACTTTTTTTATTTTCTGATACGGAAGGTTCTCGATCCATACTACCTATCTTTCACTTGTCCATGTAAAGAACACTCAACTGTATGTTGCACTAGTGCCCCATGAAAAATATATCCTGTAACGCCACTGACAGAAATACCGTTTGAACCTTTGAAGAGCGTGGACTGAAATAGACCAAAGAGAAGGGCAATGGTAGAGAAGAGACCTCTAGTGACCTCTAGTTCTAAAATCAAGGCCTAACTGGAACTGAAGTTTTTTTATCCGTGTTTTTCCTCTCACCACGCGTCGCGTAGTTTCTGGCGTTTAACGTTTATTGTTGTATTAGTCAAAAAGTTAAAGATACCAGTGATATTTTCTCCCCAGAAAAGAGTGTTTCGTTTTTTTGTTTGAAAAAGGTAAAATTAGAATTAAATATTTATCCAGTCATGTAAACACTCGCGCCGATTTGTTGTCTGTCTGCCCGCCAGGAAAATCAATATAGGCGGCATTGAAATTCAGCGGCTGTTAGGCTGTTACAACACAAACAACTGAATGCATTTTTTATAATTCAAGCTGAAAATGAGTGAAGCCAAAAGTGAAGATAAAAAGGATATTGAAGTGGAGGAGCGGGAAAAAATGCTGAACGCGGAGAACAAAGCGCAGGATGAGGTAAGAGAATCCGAGGGGGTTCAAGCTGACAGTGAAGCCGAGGACAAGAAAATCACAAAAGATATCAAGGAGGGTATGGAGGTGAAACCCAAAAAAATCCCTATTGGAGGTATTCAGATGCCAGGATTCTTCACAAGAAGTAAATCAAAGGAGAGGTGTAAGGTGGGTAGTTGTTTAATTTGATTAGATTTGTATCTCATAGACAGCCCTCATTCAGTACATCTATTATGTTTCAATTTAAATAATAAAGAAGCAGGGTATCTGATTCAATCTCAATGAATGTGTCAGGCCTTGTTGTTTTATTGTTTCATGCTGGGGTCCCCAAGATAGTCAAATATTTATCTAAATCATGGGAAAAGTAGCATGCTGCTGGTAAATGTATTATTCATTACATATTTAACAATACATTTTTCATAGACTGAAATCTTAGAAAATTATAATAGTGCTTGTAATTATAGAATGTTTAATATAAAGTGTATCATTTCTCAGTTCTATTCAAAATGTATAAAAAGGGTGGAGCATCCCAAATTATCAAGAAAATGTTAAAAGTATGAATATATAGTTACTAAATCAGAAACCAATAAATAAAATCTGATTTTTTATAAAACTATTTTAAGGTCTATTCAGATATACTATAAAATAAAAATGTTCTGTGCTTCAGCAATGATGAATATACAGGGTGTTGTTAACACTTTCACTGCTAGCTTGTATGATGTAGAATAACCCAGAGGCAGCAATGTTTTTTTCCAAAATTTTAATTTTTTAGGCTTTATCATTGTCTAAGTAGTAAACTGAAGCCTATATATTGCATGTTTGTTATTATATTTTTTCTGTTGGAAAGGTTGTATCAAGAAAATTTTATTAAAAAACAGTAAAAAAAGACATTTTATTATAAGGCCAAATTTATAAAAAAAAATGTCAGATATATGCAAGTGTGTCAACTGGCAAAAAACTTAATGTCATGCAAGCGTGACATCAGCAGTGAAAGTGTATAAATCTAGAGTTTTTTTGAGACAGTTTTTAGTGAACTGTGTTCATTTTATCTTAGGATGATGGAGACCAAAATGAGACTGAAGGAACTGAGCTTCTAGAAAAAAACAACGAGAAAAATGAATCTGCTACATCACAGACAAGGATCAAGTTACCCATCCCATTCAGAAAATCAAAAGGAGAGGAAGATGGTATTTATTTTGGATTTACATGTTCCTTGATTTTTTAGTTAAAAATATTTAGTTTAGGCAATTGCAGTTAGCTATATTTTTTCTCAAGGATTATGGGGTTTGGGCACACTTTGGTATGATTTTTATTTTTACTTTTTGAGTAATATTGCCCGTGTAAGCACAGAGCAAGTATCTGCTACTATATTAACATGAAACTGAGACAATGTGTCTAAAGTTTCTATCTCTGAATTTTTGTTAACCAAAGGACCAGAAATGATTATTTCATAGTTGAATTTTGTGAACACATAAGTTCATCCTGCTTAATTAAGTAGATCCCACTATTTAAAAATAGTAACTGATGTAACATCTGCAACTTATCCTGTTGTTTTCAACTCGATAATCCCCATATCTCTCTGACCAATAAAAAAAATTAAATCTCAAATCAAAGACTTAACTTTCCATCTACAGTAGTGGACAAAAGTTTGGAAGCATTCTTAATAACTTTTAAAAAGTGTCTAATTGTTTATTCTTTATTATTGACTATTTTTTTTCTCATATATTTTGCTTACAGTCTTGAGGATACAAATACCTTCATATTATTTTATGACCAAAAATGGGATGACAAAAGTATGGAATCATTTTTTTATTACAAAATTAGATACAATAACCTTACAAAAAGATTCCAAAAATACTTTTTACAGATGTCTGTTGGGATATTTTGCCAAATATTTCTCACATAATCAAATAAATGCTTCGTATTTTTAGAAGTTTTGCTTGTCAGTTGTCTTTAAACACACTCCCAGAGATGTACTATAGGGTTTAGGTCTGGGGATTGCAGTGCCATGTAAGAACATTAACATTTTTCAGTCTTAACCAGTCCTTTATGAGTATGAGGTATGCTTGGGGTCATTACCTTGCTGGAATATCCATCGTAAAGGCATTTCTTCTTCAACAAAATGGAGCATCTGTTTAGTAAGAATATCTTTGTAAAGTTTTTGATCCATTTTCCCAGCAATTGAACCCGTTCCAGAACTAGAAAAACAGCCCAAACCATGCTGTTGCCTCCACTGTGCTTAACTGTTGGCAACTGATACTTTTTTCGAATCTTTTTCGTAGTGGACGTCTCACATATGCCGTACCGTCAGATACAAGCAAGTTAAATTTGCCTTCATCACTCCATAAAACTGTATTCCATTGTTGTGATGTCCAAGTTAGATGAGTTTTAGCAGGCTTTTGCACTGGACGCCTACCAACAAGCCCAAAATCCACCAAGCGTCTCCGCACTGGTCTGACAGAAAGATTCTCGGCACCCTCTTCTACGATTCTTTTAAAAATCTGTGTAGCTGGCATTCGAGGATCTTCATGAGACAAACGTTTCATCTAGCGATCCAAAACATAATCGGTTTTTTTTTCGTCTTCTCCACCTGGGCCGCGTTCCTGTTGATCCGAATTCTTGATATTTACTAATAATTTTCGAATCCGTCCCTTTGTTTATTTTCAATCTGAGAAATGTCAAAATTTCGGACACCACTCCTAAATAATTCAATCACTTTTTCATTTAAATCTTTTGATAATGCCTTTACTTTGCTATTCTCACTGATGTTCATATTTACCGCACGCAATATCAGAGTATCGCAGAAGGGATAAGTACGGCAAAACTGAAATGTTTCCATACTTTTGTCGTTACAAAAACTTGAAAAATTTGAAAAAAAACGCGTGTTTTTTGTTTTCATTTGAATATTGATAAGATAAAGCTTGTATTAGTACGGGAGATAAAGGTAGACTTTAATATTTATATTGTCTGTTCCCTCACAGTTTCAATGTTAATATTTGTTTCCAAACTTTTGTCCGCTACGTATATCCTCAAGACAGCTGCCAACCAAAACTAATAGACTCTATATACAATCCCTAGGAGTTTTATAAAAAAAATATTAAGAAAACTATCTTCAAAACAACTAACACACTTTTACCAAACAAACAAAAAATCAACTTATAAAATAGCCTGTGACTGTGGTAAATACATGGGTGAAACAGCAGGAACTGTTAAATGTAGAACTAAAGAACACAAAGATTTTTCGTGTTTTTTTTTTTTGAGGGCTTTTGGAGTTTTCGGGACGGTGGACGAGGATGACGTACCTGGTACATTTATAAAAAAAAATACAGACAAGCTCACTCTCGCTTGTTGCGACCTGTGCCATCCAAATCCGCCAATGACCTTGATAGAACAATTTGAATTTTGAAATACCTACTGCTTGTTTTTAATACAGGTAACAAATCCGGAGAACCTAAGGAAAAGAAGACTCTTATAGACAGCATCAGATTACCTTTGGTTTCTGTTTTTCCAAAGAGAAAGAAAGATGATAGCTTGCAAAGTCAAACTGCACAGGTAAGAGAGAAACATGATGAGTTTTTCAGAATACAGAATGCTAATTTAATTTTTATAGGCTGAGTTAGCATCAATGGAAACCTTGGATGAAAAAAGTACTGATGACAAGGGTGCAGAAGAGAAAAATCATGAAATGAAGACAGTCTCATTGGATGAGAAACATCCTGATGAAGAAATACAGCAACCTATTGATGAGGATTGGATTGATTTAATAAGAGCACACAGAAAAGCCATTGGTGAGATTTCATAATCATAGTAATAAAAAAACAGAAAAGTGTAATCTAAATTTTATTGATGAGACTCGAGACATGATCCAACTGGAACAAAAATCTTACAGGATTTCTAAAAAATAAAAAATTAAAGGGTCAAAAATGTTCCCGAATTTTTAGTGATTTTTCATACATTTTGAAGCTACAAAGTTTCTAGTTTTAAAATCTTTTGGCAAACAACTTTTCATAGCTACATGTTCCACGCAATTGCGTGAGAAAAAAAAATGCGATCTTTTTCTTTTTTTTTTTTCAAGTCCACGGAAATATTCTTGGTTATTCAGCTTCAATCTGCATTTGTAAAAAAACTTCGGTACGACCTTTTTTAGCTGAGATATTTAACTTTGAATCAAAAAGGACCCTTTTGTTTTTAATTCGTGATATCTCAACAACCAAGTGTCGCACAGAAAATCTAAGGACAGTTCTGAAACCTGAAATAAAGCTCCTGCAAGAATCTGCTTTTTTATCCTTGTCATGGAGAAAAATCAAGAGGAAGAGTAATTTATGGTTTTTCTGAACATCAAGGGCTAAATTTCATATCATGAAGTTACTAATATTCAGTGTGCCTTTTAGTTGAATTATAACTATTTCCTTGTTGCAAACGGTCAAATTTTTAACCCTTAACAGGAAACGTGAATTTTTGGAACACAAAAGGAAACATGCCGTCTCTCAGACTGCGAACTTCAAGATGTTCAAAAAATTAGAGTAAGGCGAAAAGCAAGCAATAACTTCGCTGAAACTGATACTGGATGTTTATTTTATGTGTTTAATACGTAAAATGCTCATTTCAAAATGATACAAGAACATAAAAGAAACATTTTTATTAACTATGCTAAAACCATACAAAAATAACGCTGTTGTTGCAACATTCAGAAACTAAATTAAAACTATGGAAAAGTCTCAATATTTTTCTATTTTCTAGTTAAGTAATGAACAAGGAAAGTATATTATAGTCAATAAATACAAAAAGAACACAATCAAAATTCACTGCAAGTCTCAAACATTGCCTATATTTATGCAGCTAATACATTTGGGTTTGGAGCATTGAAGACATACAGGCTTCCTACATTGTACACACAAAAATTTGGTCATCCGATGGGTCGTTCGGTGAGATAAAAAGCAGGCTTTCCTTTTTTCCAAAACCAAATTTTCAGCTTCTGTTGCTGGATGTTTACATTTGCCAAGGATGCGATTTATCGTAAGTCGCAAATCCCGAGGTAAACGGGGACTCTCTAGTCGCTTTTCCATATGCTCACGGACGAAGTTAGCGGCCAACATCTTAGCAAATACCGATTTTTCCTTCTGCAATTCATTTTTCTTATAGCACTGGTGTAAAATATACGAGTTCACTACCGATATATCCAATAGTCGGTAGAAAATAACCAGTGGCCACCTACGCGAACGGCGACTTGAGGTACTCTTCGAACATTTTTCATCAAGAGAATCAACTCCACCTTTATTAGCATTGTAATAGGCTATTATTTCCGGTTTCTGTGTTTCCGGATCACAATATTTTCTGTGGTGCATAGAAGATATGAGTATTGTGGCTTTATTTTTTTTTGCTTACATGAGACACAATAGTGGAATCTTCTCGAAATCCGTACATTGTTGATCCGACTTCTCTTGATTTGTTGGGTAAAAATGCCGGAGGAATTTCTCTTTTATTTTTCTTCGTTGTACCCACATAGGTCAGTTTGTTCTTCAATAGGACATCCATTAATTCTATTGACGTAAACCAGTTGTCCGCTGTAATGTTGCGATTAGTTCCAAACAGAGGCTTCGCGAGACGTAGAACTGATTGTGTGGGTTTGGAATACCGCTTGTGTTCCTCAGGAAGTTCGAAACTATCGGAATCTTTACCGCAGTATATATATGCGTTATAGAGGTAGCTATTCCTTGCATCCGTCAATGCCATAATTTTTATGCCATATTTGCAAGGTTTCGCGGGCATATACATTTTAAATCGACATCTTCCTCTGAAACTCACGAGCATTTCATCGACAGTGACAGACTGGCCAACTCCGTACACATCTTGACAGTTCTTTATAAAACTATTAAAAATGAAAGATATTGGTGCTACTGGATCTAGCTTCTTTCTTTCATTCCTGTCATCTGGGTTATCAAACCTTAAGGCTGACAGGAGAATACCAAATCGTTTTATGTTCATGACAGCTCTGAATATATCTCTTCCAGAGCCATCGGTGGCAAAAAGTGTTTCAATGTTCTCGTGGTTGCTGTTGAACACCGATGTATATACTAAGAGACCCAATAGTGCCTTTATTTCGACTAAATCAGTGTCGTTTAGGTTGCTGGTTTGATTTTTGTATCTCTTTCGCATTTCTTTGAGCTTGTGATTGGTCCACTTAACGATATGTACCAACATGTCGTCAGTGAACAAAAGCTGCCAAACCGTCAACGGAGCTGCTTCTTCTCCATATTCATGAGCTTTTCCTCTTAGAGTTGGTACTTTAATGACTATATTGTGCTTCCTTGTACGTGATGATGGTACAACTTCCGAAATATTCCACCTATGACGATTTTTTCCATAGAAATAATTCTGAGCTGGTAAATCCTCTTCATTTCCTTCGGCTCCGTCTTCTGATAACTCACTATCACTTGTATGATCTGATTCCATGTATTCGTCTTCTGAGGCACTGTCTATATCACTAAAGTCACTTCCTTCATTCTCAAACCATTTTAGAACGGTTTCTTCGAACTCCGGATCATCGTATCGTACACGTTTAGAAGGTCCCGCCATACTCGCAAACGCACCTATGCAACACAAATAGCAAACGGGAACGGAAACGTGCCGTCTGACAGACTGCAACAAACTAAAATTGGTCCATATTTTAAGGCACGTTTTGGCTAGACTCGTGTGAATGGGGGTGGGCGATGGTCACTAATAGCTTATGGATTAGATGGGTTTTTACGTCTGTTAGAGGTGCAATAAAAAAAGATACGCTCAGGTATAGAAACGCCGCAGTCTCACAGACGGCACCTTTCGGGTTAAGGGTTAAAACAATTAAAGGGTTTTGTTTTTGAGCATAATCGTTTCTTTACAGTGTAACCTCCACATGGTGCGCTTTGGGTCACGCTAATACTGATGGTAGTGAACTCAAAAAATAAAACTTTGCAATTTTGAAAAAACAACTTTTTTGAAAAATTTGTTTGAAAAAAATTGTTTTGGTAAATTTCAACGATATTTGCGGGAAAATGGAGGACAACCTCGATTTTTTTATTTTAAACATAATTAGGACATGTTTATGCTCAAAACGTCACCCTTCGATTTTTTCAAACACCATTTCCAACAGGAATCGGTTCGTTAGCATGGTTTTTGAGGGTATACGCACACACAACATTAGTCATTTCGTGAGGATCTGAATATATACTAAGTGCCATATAAATCCGAACACCCAGTTTAAATGGTTTTATTTTAATAGAAGTTGGTGAATGTATTTATCTTACTGTAAATAACAAGTGAAAAGATTTTCAGCCTTATCAGTTGGACATTCCGGTTTTTATACTGCTTTTTTTTAATTCACTAACGCTCTAAAAATGAATATTTCAGCCGCAGTAAAGAATCAACGTTGGCGGATTTTGGTTCTTGACATCCTTTACGATCGGTTACGATGCCTAGAGTACGGAGACCTGTTCGATTTCGTTAACATAGTGAGTTTGATAGGGGCCGTATAGTGGGACTTCGGGAAGCTGGACTTTCTTTTCGGGCAATTGCAGTTAGAGTGCAAAGAAGTGTAGACACTGTGGTTAGGTGTTGTCAGGCATGGCTTCGAGAAGGCCGTACGCAAAGAGCAAGGGGCACTGGACGCCGCCGTAGAACAACAGACCGTGAAGATCGCCGCCTAAGATTATTGGCCTTAAGGGACCGTTTCTCCACTACCAGGTCCATTGCAAATGAATGGTTTGCAGAACACGGAAGACCTATTGGCATGCGAAGTGTTTACCGACGAATGAGAAGTTTTGGCTTGTTTTCATACCGGCCACACTGGGTCCTCCCTTTAACTCGAGAACACCGACGTAATCGCCTTGAGTGGTGCAGACAACGGTCACTCTGGGATCAGGAATGCTATAGCTTATGGTTCCAGGTCACCTTTAATCTTCATCAGAGGTAACATGAACGCTCAGCGTTATATCCACGAAGTTCTAGAACCCCATCTTTTACCCTATCTTGACACCCTGGCAGATCCAACTTTCCAACAAGATAATGCCCGACCACATGTTGCAAGAGTCACAATAGACTTCTTTCAACATAATGATGTCACATTGTTACCATGGCCACCAAGATCTCCCGACTTATCCCCAATTGAGCACGTGTGGGATATGATGCTCAAGTTGCAACGTCCTCCTCAGACTCTAGAAGCACTTCGAGAGGAGTTGGTGGTTGCCTGGAATGAGATACCACAGGAGGACATTGACCACCTGATCAGAAGCATGCCTAGGCGCGTTGGAGAATGCGTAGCACATCAGGGTGCATCCACACATTATTAAAGGTCAAAGGGCTTTAAAGCAGTGCAATGATTTTGAAATTTTTATCATTTACTTATTATGCTTCATTAAGTACTTATACAAAATTTTATTAAAATAAAACCATTTAAACTGGGTGTTAGGATTTATATGTCACTTAGTATACATAAATTATAATTTTGTTTAGTTTTTTTTCAAATTCATGACAATGATAAAAAAATATTCTTTGAGGTCGCGGCAGATTCTCCGTTTATTCCAGTTTTCAGATTTGTCATCAGATTTTCTGTGTGACCATTGGTTGTTGAGATATCATCAATCAAAGCTAAAGGGGTCCTTTTTTTATTTAACCTTCGATCTCAGCTAAAGCAGATCGTGCAAATTGACGCTGAATAAACAAGCTATCCAGTCCATACCATGGTTTAGTTGGAATAATTTTTTCGTAGACTTGAAAAAAGTACGAGAACCTTGTATTTTTTTTCTCACGTTATTGAAATTGAATGGGACATTTAGATTTGAAATTTTTTGTCATTAGATCTTAAAACCATGAACTTGGAGCCTCCAAATGCTTTTTCAAAACCTCGATAAGATCATTTTTCGCTGAGATCAGCATTCTGGAAAATGACTAGAAAGTCAGACAATTTTTTGGCCCTTCAATTTTTTCCATTATTTCATATACTTTCCACAAAGGGAGGTTTTTCTTAGCATATTTGGTAAATAATTTCAATTTATTGTTTTCAGGTGCCATCATATTATTTATCATAGTTACGGCTATTATAGCAGCCATTTCATTTGGTGGTGGCCAGAAAGTTTATTCTTTGCCTGTCAAAGATGGAAAGTATGTGGTGACTGTGACTAGCTGTGGCAAAGTGGAAGGGTGAGTGTATGATGAAACATGATTTTCTTTCTAAATAAGACGAAGGGCCATCATTACCAAAATCGACCTAAATATCTAAAAATGTTACTCAAAGCTAATCGAAAATTTAGCTGAGCTGCGGGACAAAATAATGGTAGCAGCTGAATTTGTGAATAACGGAAGATTCGCCCGTCCGATCATTTTTAAGATGTCAAGTTTGCATTGCTGATGAAAGATGGCAGTTGGAACATTTATTGTGAATTTAATAAATACATTCACGAAGTGATAAAAGTGGCGTTACTATCTGTCTTGCTGTCGCTACATAGATGACACTGTCCGTTACTCCCTCTAAGTAAAAATTGAAATTTGTAGTAATGAGAACTAAACGATCATCACAGGGTGTAGAGTTTTTTAAGGCCTATAATTTGAAAAGTACTCGACTTAGATTTTTTATATTTTTCTGATAACTATTATGACTTGGAATATGTCCCGATTCCGGCTTCACGTCGACTTCTGGGACGCCCTTTCCACGTCGGAAAATTTGAATGTTCTATTGTTTGAAGCCACATAATTTTTTATATTTGCCCAAATCATTTCAATGGGATTTAATCCGCAGTGATAAGGGGGTTTTTAGCCATTTCGTCAATAACATTAAGATTATATTTGTGCTGCCTGACTAGATTGATAAGTTCTGCTTTGACCATATTTTCATTGAAACTAATGCCTTTTGATAGCAGCTATTGTTGAATTTCTCCCTTTCTTGCGGGCATTTTGGACATTTTTTCTAGTTTTCTAGTGTGGTATGCAGCATACAATGACGGCATTGCCATCAAGCTTTGGGAGCGTTCCTTCAAACCATCGTTCAAATGAACTTCCGTCCATTTCTTCATTGTAGTCGGTCGTTTTCTTTGTAATGCGCATAGGGGCAGTGGGCACAAAGCTGCCAATGTGACATAACAAAGCGTTTTCCTTTTCCTGGAAATGATTACTTCATATAGTATTCAAGAAAACTAATAATAATACAAGCAGAGTCTAACAGGAGTTGATTCCAAATCTACCAGATATAGCTAAGTTTTCAGCGTGGGCTCATAGATTCAGTCTTCTTGATATTTTTACAAAACAAATGACGAATTGGTTAGATACACGTACCTGACGGATAATTTAGGCCAGTGGTTAGTCCGTCTAAGAAGGCTTGTCTTTGCTGATTTAATTGTAGAGTCAGCCCATACTTCGTATGTCCTGCATTTATCCAGGTTTCATCCAAGTAATAAATCTTCCTGCCCTGGTCGCAGTATTTCTTTATTGATTTTAGATAATTTCTTCTCCATAAAATAATCTCTTGGCTGTCCATCAAAATACTATTTCTGCCCCGTTTTCTGAGTAAACTACAGGGTGTTTCAGAACTATGGGGTCAAACTTGTAGGGGTTATTATTCAGTGTAACAGTAGAAAACCGGCACTTGTGTGTTGTTATCTTTAAAAACGATAACAGAGATTGTTTTTTGTAGCTGCATTCCATATCGCCTTAGTCGTGCTATCGTATTTGTGAAGTTTGCAAGAATTTAACAAAAATTAATTGGCGGATATGCATCTGGCATACGGAGCAACAAGCTGCAATGCACGAGCAGCAGCGCGGTTGTATCAAGAACGTTATGCCGAACGACAGCATCCGGGATACAAACAGTTTGTTGCTATTCATCGGCGGCTCTCCGAGACAGGCATGCTTAAAACCAACATGCATGATACTGGTGTTGCTCGAACCGTAAGAACGGTCGAATTTGAAGAAGAGGTCCTTCAGCGAGTTGCCGACGAACCATCAAGTAGCACACGTCACATTGCTGAAGATATGAATACGAGTAACGCTTCCGTCTGGCGGGAGCTACATGAGCAACAACTTTATCCTTACCACTTCCAGAAAGTTCAAGGATTGACTGCAGCCGATTATTATCCTAGAGTTCAATTTTGTCAATGGCTTCTTCATCAAATCGCTGCACAACCAAATTTTTTACGCTATGTTTTATGGACCGATGAAGCCTCAGGCATTGTTGATAGATAGATAGATACATTTATTGTCTTGTAGATCATAAAAAATGACATAAGACTCGTCATAAGAGGGAGGTACATAGTACACATAATTAAAAATAAAAACGAAACAAACATAAGTAGTTACAAAGTACAAACAGGGACAACTTAAGGCGTACAGACATTCACATATAAAAAAAGTTTAAAAAAATATATCACAGTGCTAGGTATTCAGACAAAGAGTAGAAACATTTTTCAACTAATAATTTTCGTAGTTTACATTTAAAACTAGCAATACTACTGACATTCCTGAGGTTAGCTGAAAGTTTGTTATATATTCTGATGCAGGTGTATTCCGGTGACTTTTCGAACAAAGTCAGTGTGTGTTTTGGAATACTCAGACTCTCACCTGCCCTTGTATTATAATGTGTGTTGATGTTTTTGTTCTGTATAAATTTTGTTTTGTTTGTATGTGTGAAAAGGGCGCACTTATAAATATGAATGCTTGGTAGAGTCATGATGTTTTCACTTCTGAAGATATCTCTGCAGGATTCTCTTCTACGAATGTTGAATATTAATCTGATTATTCTCTTCTGTTGAACAAATGCTCTAGAAATTGAAGTTGCTTGTCCCCAAATTATGATGTTTCTTGATAAATGTGAGTGGACGAGAGCATAATATACATCTAGTAAAGCTGACTGATAAGCAAAACTTGAGCTTAAGAATCGCATAATATGATTGGTTCAACTTTTTACACACACTGTCCATGTGTTGTTGCCAACTGAGCTTTGCATCCATTTCTATTCCCAAGGATGTCGTAGTTTTCGATGTCTCATGATTTGCCAGAATAGGGGCGTTTGTATAAAAATGTACAACATCTGACTTTTCGAGGTTTAAAATCAAACGATTTGCTTGGCACCACCCTTTCATTTCACCTTTTACTTCATTTATTTTTGCAATAATGTCATTGCGTGTAGTTCCACTTACAAGAACTGACGTATCATCCGCATAATTTGTTACAAATCCAGAGAGATGCAAATCACTTATATATAGAATGAATACAAGGGGTGCTAAAACTGAGCCTTGCGCTGCTCCAATGTCGATACTGTACGTTGCGGATGTAATTCCGTTAACTTTTGTTTTGAACTTCCTGACAGACAGGAAAGACACTACCCAATCTAATATAAAACCTCTTAAACCTAAATAAAATAATTTTTCCTCGAGAAGGCCAATGTCAATAATTGTATCGAAAGCTTTCAATAGGTCAAAATTTATTCATATCGAGCTGTTTATATATCTGACATACAAACTCAAGTAGCTATCTCTATTGAATGAAGTTTCCTAAATCCATGCTGCGAGCAGCTTGGGATAAGGTTGAATTTTTCAGCATATCCCAAAATTCTTGAATAAATCGCTCTTTCGATTATTTTAGAAAAGTTTGACAACAATGATATGGGGCGGTAATTATCAACTTGAGTAGGATCTCCCTTTTTTGGAACGGGAACTATTATCGCAAGCTTCAGGGATTTAGGAAATTTGCCTTGATAGACAGACATGTTAATTAGAGTAGTGAGAGGACCTGCAATTTCATTTAAAACACTTTTAATAACCCGAGTAGTTACACCGTCACTACCACACGATTGTTTGTTTGGAAGGTTGGATATGATTAATTTCACTTCTTCATCGGTGACCTCAGTGTAGAACATTGAATGCACTACTTGAGTTTTAGCTTATGCTGCTGGTAGTGGGGAGACTCCTTTGAAGTGGTGTTGGAGCTTACTTACTACTGTGCTTGAAAAATGTTTCCCAAAAGCGTCAGGCACACTAATCTGTCCCATATCTCCACCGTTGTTATTTTTAAGTGAAATTACTCCAGAGCTTTTTTTACGTCCAAGCTCCTGGTTGACCTTTTCCCAGATCTTTTTGTCTTATTATCAGCTATTTTAATTTCGTTGCAGTTATATTGCTGCTTGGCTATTGAGATCAGTTTGCGATGTTGCTTTTTTCTTTCAATATACGTTTGCTTCAGATTTATATCTGGCTCGTTCTCTCTTGTAAGTTTGTACAAATTTCGTAGATTGTGCACGTAATAACTTTCTGAGGACATGTCCTATCGAAAAGCCACAGAAAGGTGTTGAGGAATTTTTCGAAAGCATCATCTATATCGGGCTCTTCAATATTCCAAGATTCTTGTGAGAGACTTAATCGCAGTTCTTCGAGATTACAATCATCACTTTTCCTCACAGTATAAGATTGGACGGGAGACTTGTTGTTGGATGCGATAAGTTAAGATAGCGTTAAGATTTGCGCCGCATGGTCGGATATTTGAGGATCTTCTATGGCACATTTCAGATTTTCTGAGTTGATGTTCGTGGTCATGTAATCGATTGAAGTTTCGGACAGACCAGTGGTTTTATTTGATGCTATGCGGGTTGGTCCGTAACAGTAGTTTGTTAGACCGAAGCACTGTACGATGTCACTGAGTAGTAGACTATTTATTGACCGTTTACTGTAATCGATATTAAGATCTCCACAAAGAACTATGTTATTACTTGTGGTAGCTATTCGATTTAAGAGTGAAGTCAAGTTCTCCTGGAAAATTGTTATGTCTCCTGAGGGAGGCCGATAGACACATATCACTACGAGTTTGTCATTAGACGGTCCAAAACTAACCTGCAAGCCACAGCATTCAATGTGCGTGACGAACAAATATGGCACATCCACCATGTTTATATTGATTTCTGCAGAAGCTGCTTACAAGTTTGTGCTTCTGAATGTTAGCGACATGATGATTATTGATTGGGCCTAACCTTCTACCGGAACAGTTAACAGGACCTATTTACCGGCGTTTCTTGGAGGAAGTTCTTCCAGAACTTCTTGAAAATGTTCCATTGAACGTTCGACGGCATATGTGGTTTCAGCATGATGGAGCGCCGGCTCACTTTGCTGTACAAGTACGTGAGTATTTGGCTCAGCGGTTTGGGCAACGTTGGATTGCCTGAGGTGGAGCAGTTTCTTGACCTCCTAGGTCACCCGATTTAACGTCGCTAGTTTTTTTCCTGTGGGGACATGTAAAGTCTTTGGTTTACGAAACTCCAGTAGAAACAGAGCAAGACTTAATTGGACGAATTACAGCACCATCTGAAATCATTCAAAACGAGTATCAAATTTGTAGTCAAGTCTGGTGAAATCATGTGCGACATTTAAATCTGTGTATTCGGGTTGGAGGAAGACATTTTGAACAATTTGTGCGATGATATCATGTACAAAAGGCAATTCATCGTCTTTCTAAATTTTAACGCGTCTTAGGCCGAAGAGACACTTTTCCGGATATGGGTCCCCTACTGTTACACACTGAATAACCCTTAGAAGTTTGATCCCTCAGTTCTGAAACACCCTATATAGAATGTGGTCCTTTTGAAAGTAGGTAAGTCTTCATCACTATCAACCTCCTGTAATACTTTGTCTATGGTGGGAAGTTCCTGCCTTTCAAAAAATTGATGGACTTTGAGTCGGATGGCATTCCAATCAAAGTTATCAACTGTATCCAACAGCTTCATGTATTACAGCCACTTGTGTGGTGGAGACAATTTTTTTTTATATTCTGTAACAATGTTGAAAGTTGTCTTAGGACATAAGCCTGTTTTGTTCACCACACGTCTTTCAGTATCATGAATTTTCATTTCAGGATGATCTAAAATTTCGCTCTTATAAACGTTAAAGACAATTTCTTTTACCTGAATATTCAAGTGTCCCTTTTTATCACTGAAGAGGAAGCATTGGGAGAAATATTCTCAGTTCCATCTACTGTATCCGTGGATGACATGCTAACGTATAAACAAACGCTATGTATGCACCGAATATAAACTGCAACCGTCGGCGTGCCGGTGATATCCCGAGCCGAGTTCTATCCTGTCGAATCCACTTGTTCGTAGTTTTATGACCGACCAATAGCTATAGTATAGTATAGAATAAAAATCGTCAATGACCTGCTGAAGTTGTCGAGATCTTCACGGTATACGGGTGGTACAACGGCAGATTGTTGATGACGCATAACACTTTCATAAATTCGCGGTACAGGGTGCGCCATCTTTTATGTCTGTATGTAAACATGAAATAACTTTGAAAACGAAAAACTGATTTCTACAGGGTGTTTCAGTTTATTATTGCATAACTTTAAGATTCGATAGAACTTTTAAAACTAATGCATAAAGTCTATATAAACATGGGTCGAAAAATGCGTGGCTTCCGAAATACAGGGTGTTTAAATTTACTTTCTAAAATAGTTTTTTTTAAATATTTCGAACAATATTTGATGTATAACAGTGAAAATTGGTATACAAGGGTTTTTGGTACGACAAAACGAACCATGGGCATATTTTTACTGTAGCCGCTAGAGGGCGCTCTCTACTGTACCTGTAGTGTATTAAAATGACCGAAAATTTTTTCTTAGTGCAATTTTTTGCTTTTTGAATAAAAAAACTGATTCTTCGCACTTTTCAACATAAAAAACCTCTCTTGTGAATTTTCGTTATAGTTAGCCGTTATTGAAATATTTCGATTTTTAAGGTTCGATGCATTTTTAATTAATTATGGGAAAATAATACATTTTCGATTTGGGCATTACAAGTAATTAAGATGATCGTTTAGATTGTGTTTTTAAACACAGCAATAATTCCTAACTCCAAATAAACACAAAAAAAAAACAGAATATTAATTTGTTTAATTTTAAAATATTATTTTTAACAAATTAAATTAATTATTTACAACTAAAACGCTATTAGATAGTTAGGACAAACATACAAAATCTAAAGTAGTTGCTCGAAGTGTAAACCCAATTGTTCAATACACAATTCACATCTACGAATGATCGAACGTGGTATAGCATTATTCAAATAAGGCCTTATTTCATCACATGCATTCCTGATTCTGTCTATTAGCATATCTCTTGTGGTTACGGGAGTCTGGTACACTTTTTCTTTTAGAAATCCCCACACAAAGAAATCTAATGGATTTAGCTCAGGGGATCGTGGAGGCCAGGCAACTGGTCCTCCACGGCCGATCCATCTTTCTGGATAATTTTCGTCCAGCCAGTTTCTAACTATTCTCGAATAATGAGCTGGACAATCATCAAGCTGGAACCAGGCCAATCTTCTTAAATCTAACATAACATCATCCCACATATTTGCATGTTCAGCCTTTAAAAAGTCCAAGAAGGTCGCAGCATTTAACCTTGCAGGCAAAAGGTAGGGTCCAAATAGTCGATTACGGTAGATACCAATCCACACGTTCACACTAAATTCATGCTGAAAATTTCTTTCCCGAACTGCGTGCGGATTTTCATGCGACCAAATATGTTGATTATGAAAATTTACCACTCCACGTCTAGTGAAGCATGACTCATCAGTCCATAAAACGTTACTTAAAAACTCCCTGTTATTATCAGTTCTACCAAGAATCCACTGACAAAATGTCATTCTTCGTTCCCTGGCTGTAGTCCTTGCAAATGGTAGGGACGTTTATCGTCATTTCTAAGAACAAGGTGAACATGGCTTGCTGAAATTCCCAAGGCACCCGAAACTCTCCTAACACTTGTGGTCGGATCTCTATCAAACTCACCCAGAATCATACGGGTAAATCTGCGCTGACGAACATTTATGTTTTGATCCCTTTGGAGATTTCCAAAACCATTTTCAATTATTTGGCGATGCACTCTTACAAATACTGAGCGAGTTGGATGTCGTCTGTTTGGAAATCTTCGTGCGTATTCTCTGGCTGCGTCTGCTGCGTTTCCATTTACAAAGCCATACACAAAATGAATATCCGCTAACTCTTGATTGGAGAATAAAAATGGCATTTTTATAAAACTTACAAAAAAAAAACAGGTAAACGAAACTAAATTTCGTGCATTTACAATTGCAAAAAACTAAGTGTCAACTAATTGAAATTTAACCTTATTCTGCTTTCAATTTCAAAAATATTTGCAGGCACAGCCTACTTCTAAAAATTATCCAGATACTGACTTTTTAACGTTATTTTATCATAAATAATCAAAAATGCATCGAACCTTAAAAATCGAAATATCTCAAAAACGGCTAACTATAACGAAAACACACAAGAGAGCTTTTTATGTTGAAAAGTGCGAAGAATCAGTTTTTTTATTCAAAAAGCAAAAAATTGCACTAAGAAAATTTTTTCGGTCATTTTAATACACTACAGGTACAGTAGAGAGCGCCCTCTAGCGGCTACACTAAAACTATGCCCATGGTTCGCTTTATCGTACCAAAAAACCCTTGTATACCAATTTTCACTGTTATACATCAAATATTGTTCGAAATAGTTAAAAAAACTATTTTAGAAAGTATTTCGGAAGCCACGCATTTTTCGACCCATGTTTATATAGACTTTATGCATTAGTTTTAAAAGTTCTATCGAATCTTAAAGTTATGCAACAATAAACTGAAACACCCTGTATATATAGGGTATTTTTATTACATATAGTCCTTTACAATTTAATAGGACTAGTTTTTGAACCCAACATCTATCAAGTGGCCACCTTTATTGACCAAAACAAAATGTTTGCCTTGAGTTCTTCAGTGGTCTAGGTCTTGCTGACGTATACTTGACTTTTCAAATAACCCCACAAGAAGAAGTCCGGTGGGGTCAGATCTGGAGACCTGGATGGCCAGTCAGTGTCACCTCTTTTTGACATCAGGCATCCAGGGAATTTTCGTTGCAGAAAGTGGATTGTTTCATTTACAGTGTGGCATAGCGCACCGTCTTGTTGAAACCTGTAACCATCAAGACCTTTTTCACGCATTTGTGGGCAGACATAATGAGCCAACATCCACCGATATCGATTTCCATCGACTGTTTCGTTTCCGTTGAAGAAAAATGGCCCAATGCTGGTTTTGGCGCCTGCCCAAACAGTCACTTCCTGGTCATGCAACGGCATTTCGTGGGTCTCATGTGGATTTTCCATTCCCCAAATGCGACAGTTTTGTTTATTAACGCCGCCAGAGAGCGTGAAATGGGCCTCGACGATCATCACAATTTGCTTCCAAAAATCAGGTTCAGTATCAACCATGCGAGCGACTGTTTGGGCGTATTCCAAGCGACGTGGACGGTCAGTTGGCAATATTTTTGTGTTAACTGCACCTTGTAAGGAAACAAATGCAAATCATTCTTCAAAATGCGCCGCAACGTGGTTCCACTGATGCCAAAATGCTGAGAGCGGTGACGATACGACACTTTTGGGTTCTGGGCAACGTTGTCTCTGACCGCTTCAACCAATTCATTGGAACGACTTGGTCGTTGATGAACGGCGTGTTGACGATCTCCCACTGTCCCGTACTCAAAAAAATTCGAAACCAAACGACGGATAGTGTTGTCAGATATTTTCGACGATATGCGTTAACACAACTGAACGACGATTTTCAAGGTACATTGTGACTATTTCGCCGCGTTGTTTCGGTGTAAAGCGATTCATGACTAAAATTGTAGTAAATTGACGTTACCGAAACACGTATAACCAAATCACTCGGTTGGTAAATATCAAGTCATTCGATGTTTCAATACCGACATAAAAGATGGCGCACCCGGTATAGTATATGATTAACTTTTCTTACCTGTCCATAGGATATTGGACGACGGCGGTATAGTTTTCCGAGGAATACCCTATGCTCGCCCGCCCATAGGAGACTTGCGTTTCCGGTATGCGCAACCCCTAGACAACCTCGATTATTGTTGGAATGGCACTCTATTAGCCCATAACAGCACTCCAGTCTGTCTTCAGCTAACAGGAGATGGACAGACTGTGGGCGAAGAGAACTGTCTAACAATGGACGTGGTGACACCGTACGTCAGATACGATAACCCGTTACCTGTTATCGTACTTATAGGGGCTGATAGTTTCGTTGGAGGATCTCCAGGAAAGGTAATGATTAATTTTTTGCATGCACTCTGTGTCAAAATAAATACGGGTTTTCGATTATCAAATCGTCGCGCTACTAATGGCCATTTGCCAATATGAGTGCAAGACTCGCGCGATCAACTAGCTGGTTCTCAAACTTTCAAGCAAACAATAATTATTTATAAGTATAAGCAGGGCTGTCCGACATACATACAAATGCACAAAAAACATAACACTGCTTTTGAGACAGTCGAGTAAGAAGTGCATACGAGGGATGTCTTTTAACTTTTTCATATGGAAATAAAACAACACGGTAGGTAGTTTTAAATGACTTTATTGTTTTTCGAAGTATTTTCCACGAAGATTAATACACATCAGCATGCGCTCGAAGCACTTATTCCACTCGTTTGCTGGCAGATCCAAAACGGCATTTTTGAATGCGTCAACTGCTTCTTCTGGTGACTGGAACCTTTGACCACGCAGTCTGTTTTTAATTTTCGGGAAAGTAAAGAAATCGTTAGGACTTAGATCGGGACTATATGGAGGATGGTCCAATAATTCCACGTTTTCTTCCGTTAAATACTGCCTTGTTTTTTGGGCTGTGTCCGAGTTTGCATTGTCTTGGTGGAGGATAATTCTTCCTTCGGGGTTGATTTTTCGAAGCTCGGTGATGACTTTTGGCGAACAAATGGTGGTAACAGTTCTTTAAGAGGAATTGTTGCAATATGACCCGCTTTTGACACAAATGTCGCGACCATCTTTTTCGAAACACTTCGAGAACGGATGACTTTTGTTGGCTTTTCTTCACCTCGGAACACCCAAACAGCCGACTGTCGTTTATTCCTGGTTCATAACAGTAAATCCACGGTTCATCACCACTAACAATGCTGTACACATTTTTTTAGTTTCCAGTCAAGCGTTTTTTGACACCAATTAACCCTGGCTGCTTCCTGCTGTTCAGTCAACAGGTGGGGTATCCAACGAGAAACTAATTTTCTTACTCTTAATTCTTCATGTAAAATTTTTTGAACTGAGGTCTTCGAGATCTTCAAGGACGCCTCAATCTCGCGATATGTCACATGTCTATCTTCAATGATGAGTTTGCGCACAGCATCGACGTTAACCTGGGTGACTGCCGTTTGTTGGTGCACCCAGCGTGGGATCGTCGCTAAGACTCACCCGTCCACGTTGAATTCTCCATACCAACGGGAAATTGTCGACTGATGTGGCGCTTCGTTGCCGAAAACAGACAGTAACTCAGCAAGGCATTCTTGTTGCGATAATTGTCTCTGAAAGTTGTAATAAATTATGGCGCGAAAATGTTCTCGGTTGAGTTCCATTTTTCTAATGACTTGGTGACACTTAAAATTCACTGTAGTGAGAACACTGCACGTATTGTTGTGAAGCTTTGAATTTAAGTTTACTAAAGAGTGAGGTTAAGATTCAGTACTGACGTTCGATCAGCGCGGCCTACTATGTTTCTATATGCAAAACTTAAAGGACATCCCTCGTATAAACATAGGTCTGGGAAGCTTCATTTCTATAACTTCATAATATGGGGTGTTTGAATGTCTGCCTTTGATGATTCACCTTACATTTTTCAGTCATAGAAACGGGGAATTTCCGGACGTTGTATGATGTAAATAGCGATCTTGACGTCTCTTCCTAATTGGCAAAAAATATGGTTTCCGTCGGGTCGTGGGAATGAACTTAGAAAATTCCATTTTCTATAAATTCTTGGAGTTAAGATTCTTCTGATTAAGCACAGTGTTCAAGTTCAAGTTTCTTGTACTTAATTGGATCTTGAGTGTAAAGAAACGCAGTTTCCTCTTATAAAATTGCCGACGTTTCGGAAAAATTAATTTCCTCCTTCAGGGCTCTACATAATTTGTTTTAAACATTAAATAATGTATTAACCAAAATACAGTGCAACCCGCTTATAATGAACTCGGCGGGACTGTGACATATAGTCCATTATAGGCGGATGACCATGACCAAGAAACACTGTTTTTAATGAAAAAAGCATCAGAAAAATGTTTTTGTTTAACATGTATTACATAAATAAGGATACATACAAAAAAGTATTACGTAATTTTGAAATTTGCATTTTTTTCAGAATCTGATATACATATTACAGGCATTCGTACTGTGTAGGTATGTGTAAAAACCGTAAATTATTTGGTAAAAAAGTTAGTAATTTTCATTTGAACATATTGTTTTTTTGTATAATTATTTTAGAACAGCTAGTTGAATTCTATTTAATTTGGTAAGTGTGGCTGTACTGTCTACTTCTTGCTGAAAATAACGTTGCAACTTTTTCACGCAGTCTAATGTCTCCTTAGTTGTCACTTTAAGCTCTTCTTCATCGTTGTTTTCTAGTTCGTTTTCCTGTTCGTTATCAACGGATCCTTAAATTTGTCTATATTAAGTAAACTATTAATTTTCAGTAAATCACTTATTATGAAGTGAAATATTTGGATGCGCGGTGCAGTTATCAACTAGGAGCAAAATTTTACGATTTTCTTAACAAGTTCAGCGTCCTACTTTTTTAAATATTCTTCAAAAATTTATGAAGTCATCCAAGCTTTATTATTTCCAACATAATCGACGGGAATTGTTTTAACATTTTTGAAACACCTGGGATTCTTAAATTTCCCTGAAAAAAAAATGTCATAAATTCTTTGCAGCACTGCCATTGAATATCAAAAAAAATTAGAACATGAATTTCTTTTCATTCCCTTACCTATTATCAGTAGTTTCAGTTTTTCAGTACCCGAAGCATTAGCACTATCATAACACTTATTCGCTCTTTTGATAGTTTTCCTCTATTGCAAATTTTATCTGGTAACATTTTATAAAATATCCCGGTTTCATCTGCATTGAATATGTTATCGTCTGAATAATCACTGGATATTACGGGAAAAACTTGAGAAATCCCGTCAATGGTAACGGTTCTTGTCAACTGAAGCTGACTCACCACACATTTTTCCAAAAACAATGTTATGTCTTTTCCTAAACATGTCTAGCCAACCGGAACTACATTTGAAGTAATCTCCAATCAATTTCCCAAATTCTTCAGCCTTTATTTGTAGCATAGGTCTACTTATTGGAAAATAATTAGCACGCTTTTGTTGAAACCACTTTAAATAGCATATCATCATCGACTTGGCGATGCTGCGATAGCCGCATATTTTTTCTTTTGACTATTTGATTTCCAGTCATTTTTAATTTTGTCACGGTTTTTCCAAATATTTGACACAGAGGATTTTTTTATAGCCATACGAGCACATATATTTGCTTGAGATGAACCCTGCTCAAGCTCTCCAATTATTGTGAACTTTTCGTGTAAAGTGAATGCACGTTTCGCACTTTTCGACATGTTTATAACTCTAATAAATACAGTATAACACTGGTGGCCAATTTTAAACGAGTCTATATTATCCGAGGATTTTACATGCAGTTACTTATAGGACCTTAAATTGTGTACATTATACAGGGTTATCCAAATTAAGTGTCCACCATTAGTAACTTTGTTATTAGTGAAAATACAAAGTTGTTTGAATTAGCAAACTAGTAGCATTTTTAACGCTGGTAAAAATGAGAAATAAAAAAAAACAATTGAGAGTCGTTATTTTGATTTTTTTCAGTAAAATAACATTTTTTTAAATGGAAACCCCTGTATATTATATTTTTTTCTGTTAAAGCATCAAATTTTAAACAAAAAAGCTTACAATAACTTTTCTCCTAGGTTACAAATTGTTGAAGTTGTGGCCTCCAATCTGAAACAATTAAATTGTATCGACAAACTTTATTTTCAACATCAACTTATAATCTTACAAAATACAATAACAATTTTTTTTAAAGAAGATGCTCGAAAACACCACCTTGTTCTTCAATACATTTTTGGGCACGTTTTTCAACTGCTCGAACTGTCTTAAGTATGGTCCTACCATCTATCTGGGTTATCTTTTCCCTAACTGCAGTCTATAACGCGTCAAGGTTATCGTACCTTCGCTTGTAAATTTGGTTCTTTAAGTAACCCCACAAGAAGTAATCAAGTGGGTTTAGATCTGGTGATCTGGGAGGCCACTGTATTGGGCCATTTGTTCCTATCCACTGATCATTAAAAGTAGTACTTAGAAAATGATAAGTACCTCTGGAGTTGTGGGCAGGTGCGCCATCTTGCTGAAAATGCAGATGATGTCTACTTATAAGATCCAATTCGTCTAAGAAATTAGTCAGAATTTCTGACATAAATTCCACATATCTTTCACCAGTTAGGGTTCCCTCATAAAAGAACGGGCCAACAATTTTTGAACCAATTATACCGCACCAAACGTTGAAACTGAAACGGACTTGTGGGCCTCTTGGATGTACTAACAAAAGATTTTCTCTTGACCAATAATGGTGGTTTTTTCTATTAAACATTCCAGAATTTGAAAAATTTGATTCATCTGCCCATAAAAGGTAACGAAAGTTATTTACATTTTGGCGACAGAAGCTAAGATACCAATGGCAAAAAACAAGTCTTCTCTCTGGATCCCCTGCCAAAAGCGTTTGAACTGGTCGGTACTTATACGGAATAAATTTGTATTTTTTTAAAATCCTTTGAACAGTACCATAACTGAAATTAGAGTCCTTGAGAATATCTGCTATTGAATTCTCACGATAAGCTTCAAATATCCAATAACTGCAATTTCCGTGGCCTCGCTTATTATGAATTCTTTTTTGCCCTTGTTTTAGCAAAAACATTTTCGTTGCCCCTAAATTTTCGATGAAGTCTCAGAAAATATCGTTCATACGGTTGAATGCGAGCGGGATATAATTCACTGTAGTATTCTCTTGCTCTCAAGGAGGATTTTCTGCACACTAAATAGCATTCTAACATATCACACTTTTCTTCATGGGAGAACATTTTTCTTTAAATTAATGACACAATAAAGCTTATAAACAAGTATTTACACTAATGTTTGACATTATTTGATTTATCATTGTTTTCCAAAGCCTTCTAGTTGCGAGTATGTCCAGTTTAACAATTTGTCGCTTATCTTAATGCTGTCAAATCGCGAACGCCATGTTGTTTTCATAGCCGTCTTAATATTATAATACTGCAAATAATTAAAAATATTTATCGTTATTTTGACTTTATTTTTGACTTTAGCGGAAAAGTCATTATGAACTTTTTTGTTTAAAATTTGATGCTTTAACAGAAAAAAATATAATATACAGGGGTTTCCATTTAAAAAAATGTTATTTTACTGAAAAAATCAAAATAACGACTCTCAATTGTTTTTTTTTTATTTCTCATTTTTACCAGCGTTAAAAATGCTACTAGTTTGCTAATTCAAACAACTTTGTATTTTCACTAATAACAAAGTTACTAATGGTGGACACTTAATTTGGATAACCCTGTATACGGGTTTCCATTATAAGCAAGTTCATTATAAGTGGATTCCACTGTATGTATCTTTTACTTTGTGATATTCAAACTGTTAATGTAAGTAAAGCTAGTGTTATAAAAATATTCTTTGTAGAGCCCTGAAGAAGGAAATGGATTTTTCCTAAGCGTCGGCCACTTTATGACATAAAATTGTGTTTACTTACAAATCCAATTAATTACAAAAATTTATATGAAAAGGATCATTAAGAAGAATTTTTTAATTCCCTTGTTCACTATGATTGTGAAGTTATAGGTAACGTGGTTGTGATGAAATTTTCACAACTACTCATTTCTCAGTTTCGATAATTAATATCGAACCATTTGATAGATGCGGCCTTCACCACGTTACTCTCGATCCAAAGATGTAGTTTTTGTGAGACCCAACTTCAGAATGGGAGCGTTGGGATTTCTGGCTCTTGAAGCACTATCTGAAAGTGACTATCCTCACAGTTCAGGTAAGCAGTAATATAAAACAATGGCATCAAGTAGATTAACTCTATACTTCCCACGCCGTCGATATACAGTAGTGGACAAAAGTATATAGACAAATATGAATATTTACCTAAATACCTTTAGAAAACGAATTCATACCTCATTGCTCCATAAACAAATGCATTATAAATAATACAAGTCTGAATATAAGCACTTTTTTATGAGGGACAAAAATATGTAGAAAAATTCTTTTCAACATTAGTTTAGTACAGTTTCGTGTCAGAAGAGGATTAGTTTGTGTTCATCAAGTATTGTGGAATAAGTTGAGTGATTTTAAGACCATGCCGCGTGGTCCAGAAATTTCTTTCGATGTGAAAAGAAGGTCATCGTCAAGTCGACGTTGCTAAAAATTTGAAGCTGAAGCGTAAAGCAGTTTGGGCAATATTGAACAAATATAATCAAAAAGGTATCTTGGAAGCCTCTAAGAGAAGAGGTCCGCCAAGAAAACTAAATGCTATCAGTTAGATTAATAAAAGTAATTTCGTCCTAAGATCCGTTTAAAACCCCAAGACAAATAAAAGCTGAAATCGAGACAAAAGGAATTGCCAGTGTTTCTACGAAAACTATAAGTAGAAGATTAAACGATTTGAAGTTATTTGTACGTTGCCCGAGTAAGAAGCCGCTAATCTCGAGGAAAAACCGTAAGGACCGGTTACAATTTGCACGGTTGCATCTTGATTGGAGCATCTGTGACTGGAAGAGGGTATGTTTCACTGACGAATCCAAGTTCAATATGTTTGGATCAGATGGTGTTCATTACGTTAGATGGAAGAAAATATGCCTTTAAAATCAATCTTCCAGCAAGATAATGACCCGAAGCACACTTGAAATATCGCAAAGAAATTCTTTCTGGACGACAAAATAGCAGTTCTCAAATGGCCTTCACAGTTTCCCGATACAAACTCCATTGAAAATCTATGGGAAACTTAGATAAGCAAATACGAGATAAAAATTATTCAAACAAGGATGAACTTTTTGCCGCTTCAGAGCAAAAGTGGAGACAGATTGATGAATCTTATATCAAGAAACTTCTACAATCTAAGCCGAGACGATGCCAGGCGGTGATTGATAATAATGGTTATGCTACAAAATATTAACACAAACATGGTTGGTTTTCTATAATTCAATGAACTTTGCTTCTTTTTTCTATAATTGTTTTGCTTTGTCTAGATATCTTTGTCCTTCATAGTTCTAGTTTTTTTCAATTAATTTTTTATTGAACGGAGTCTAATCAATTTATTTATGTATAAGTGAGTATAATGCTAAAGCGAAATATCTATACAGGTTGGTGTATTAATAAAGCAAGTTAAAAAAGAAATACAGCACAATATTAATTTGTCTATATACTTTTGTCCATCACTGTATATCTGTTAGGTACGTAGTATTGCTGTGGTTGGAGGTGTATTAATATACTGTACGGGTAACGAGAGCTATTGCAGAGAACATTGAAGATTGGAGGCACACACATGAAAGTATATTTATCCGTTGCCTTCAGCAGTATCTTGGGATGTTATGGACATTTCAATTTATTACAGGAAACTACGCCATATCTGACATATTAACAGCCTTGAAGTGGGTGAAGTTGAATATAGTGCACTTCGGCGGCGATCCATTGTCAATCACTGTACTTGGTCACAAAGCTGGAGGTACTTTAGTCACTGCTATATCCACATTACATGATGCTAAAGAATACTTCACAAGGTAAGGAATGACATACAATTTTTTTTTTCATGTATTATGTATTCTACACCACTGTAACTGTCTATTTTGAACTTATGATCAAAGTTAGTGGTTGCTGTTTTCCTCAAATAATCTTTATTTTAAATGTCAAAATATGGTATTTAGCATTTTAATAAGTTACGTATTTTCATTTCGATGAAATTTCAGGATATGACATCCTTTTTCCATGTTTATGAAAAAAACGCGCCTTTGCATATTTTTACTTCCTACGCGAATGGGCGAGGAGGTTTTATAATCCCAAACAATTTCGAAAATGAGATATGTTTTTTGGATGTTATACAACATGTATATCACGAAAAACTATGTCACTTATTTCCATTGATCCATACCGTTCGATTTTGACGAAATTTTCACACAAGGCTGCTGATGTGCCAAGGACGAAAAAACATAAATCGACTTCCGTTTTTTGTCGTTTCAGAAGATCCTGATTATGTTCAGGAAATTTTTGCTGGGGTTAAAAATTTGATGTTTGGCGTTGTAGGGTGTGGGGGAGAATATATCAACTTTTTGTTGTTAGCAATTTATTTGTTATTTTTATTCATTTACAAAAGAATCAAACAGTACTTAAATTCTATAATTCAAGTTGTCGGCTTAAACCAACCGGAACAAAAATTAAAAAGTGTCCAAAATCAACTATGTTCTTGGAGATTACAGTAATCAATGTTATACAGGGTGCTCGGAAGGTCGATACCATCCTTCGAGGGGTGATAGTACACCTCGTTGGAGACACACGGAGCAACCAACGATAGTACAAAGTCGAACCATTTTTGGGTTTGACGCAATTTTGTGAAATCGGAAAAAAGTCAAAATAATTCGAATAATGTTCAATAATGAAGAGCAACTGCTTTGTTCTTATTTTAATTATTTACCTTGATGTTTAGTCTCCAAATTATCGAAAGATTACATACACGTTTACTGAATGGTCTGATTTTCCAGTAGTTCGTGGCTTCTGCTCTTACTTATGGTATGTCATACAAAGCTGTACAACCATGATTTATTCCTCAAAAACCCAAAATAGTAGTTCAAGCTGGAAGTTACAAAAAAAACATAAAACCCACTTTATGTGAGAAGAAGCACTTGATATTGACAAAATCATCAATTCGATAACAAAAACGCAAATTGTTATTTCTTACGCATTTTCGTGTCATTGTGTCGTAGTCCTGCAGCAGTAATCAGTTTACTAAGAGTGATTCGGTTTCACAGTACCGTGTAGTTTTTCTGAAAGGTCACTGAAAAGATATGGTAACTGCGCAGATTCAAAATATTGCAAAAACAAATTTAGTACACAGAAATATAACTAACACTTTCAAGAACATTACAAAATTTCAAATGACAGGCCCCAGAAATACAAAACCGTGAAACATTCATTTTTGCATAAGTGGAGATAATTATGATTTAAACATATATTGTTTTTATATGTTTTTTTTTTCATAAATTCATTCGAAAAGCCACGAAGCTCTGGAACATCCAACCATTCAATAAACCAACTTTATTTTTTGTTCTAAACTCGTTGTTTGGGGGCACTATACATTATGATAAATAATAAAAATAAGAGAACAAGGGAGTTGATCGATGATAGTTTATGGCACAATTTTGGCTCCCTTCTTTCACAAAATTGCGCGTAACTGAGGAAGAAACAAGTGTTTAACAAATCTTAGGAACGAAAAGAAAAAATATTATGAAAACAAAATCGATAGCAATAAAAATAACAGTAAGATGATGTGGAAGACACTAAAAAAATATTGTATCTCCCAGTATGAAGAATGAATTATCAAGAATGTGCTTCGAAGACGGTATAGTAACACAAAAAATATTGATTACAGAACGAATGAAGGCTTATTTTATAGAAAATATAAATGAGATAGTAGAATCAATCGACGATGGGGATCCAAATCTATGTCACATGCAAGTTACTTATAATTCTTCTATGAGACAATTCTAAACAATAAATATCAGCCATCTTTCAAAAATGGTGATGAAGGAATGTTTCAACATTATTGGAGAGAAGTTATTATTGTAAATCACTCTTTAGTGTATGGCGAATTTCCTTCAAAATTAAAATGTTCTACAATTACTGCTGTTCCAAAAGTGCAAAATTCTGAGTTATATACAAACACGCGGTCAATTAATGTACTGCCAGATGTCGGGAAGCTCTTAGAAGGAATCATTTATGAACAAGTCATTGAATATATTGAAGAAAATAAGATATTGACAAAATTTCAAGCAGGATACAGAAAAAAGTATTCTACTGAAACAGCAATTCAAATGGTAGTAGAAGAATGGAGGCGAAATATGGATGAAAAAAAAGTTTACAGTAATATTGTTCTTAGGTTTCAAAAGAGCATTTGGGACTATTGTTAACGAAATTGCATTGCTATGGATTTCAAGGTTCAGTATTCAACTTATTACAAAATTATTTAGTCAATAGAAGTCAAAGAACTAAAATTGGGAATACATTATCAAACATTAAAAACATTTCGGTAGGTGTGCCACAGGGTAGCAAATTAGGTCCATTACTATTTATTTTATATATTAACGATATTCCTGATATTTTACAACGCTGCAAATTCAACTATTTGCTGATGATACATTAATATATATATATATATATACAGGGTTATCCAAATTAAGTGTCCACCATTAGTAACTTTGTTATTAGTGAAAATACAAAGTTGTTTGAATTAGCAAACTAGTAGCATTTTTAACGCTGGTAAAAATGAGAAATAAAAAAAAACAATTGAGAGTCGTTATTTTGATTTTTTTCAGTAAAATAACATTTTTTTAAATGGAAACCCCTGTATATTATATTTTTTCTGTTAAAGCATCAAATTTTAAACAAAAAGCTTACAATAACTTTTCTCCTAGGTTACAAATTGTTGAAGTTATGGCCTCCAATCTGAAACAATTAAATTGTATCGACAAACTTTATTTTCAACATCAACTTATAATCTTACAAAATACAATAACAATTTTTTTAAAGAGGATGCTCGAAAACACCACCTTGTTCTTCAATACATTTTTGGGCACGTTTTTCAACTGCTCGAACTGTCTTAAGTATGGTCCTACCATCTATCTGGGTTATCTTTTCCCTAACTGCAGTCTTTAACGCGTCAAGGTTATCGTACCTTCGCTTGTAAATTTGGTTCTTTAAGTAACCCCACAAGAAGTAATCAAGTGGGTTTAGATCTGGTGATCTGGGAGGCCACTGTATTGGGCCATTTGTTCCTATCCACTGATCATTAAAAGTAGTACTTAGAAAATGATAAGTACCTCTGGAGTTGTGGGCAGGTGCGCCATCTTGCTGAAAATGCAGATGATGTCTACTTATAAGATCCAATTCGTCTAAGAAATTAGTCAGAATTTCTGACATAAATTTCACATATCTTTCACCAGTTAGGGTTCCCTCATAAAAGAACGGGCCAACAATTTTTGAACCAATTATACCGCACCAAACGTTGAAACTGAAACGGACTTGTGGGCCTCTTGGATGTACTAACAAAAGATTTTCTCTTGACCAATAATGGTGGTTTTTTCTATTAAACATTCCAGAATTTGAAAAATTTGATTCATCTGTCCATAAAAGGTAACGAAAGTTATTTACATTTTGGCGACAGAAGCTAAGATACCAATGGCAAAAAACAAGTCTTCTCTCTGGATCCCCTGCCAAAAGCGTTTGAACTGGTCGGTACTTATACGGAATAAATTTGTATTTTTTTAAAATCCTTTGAACAGTACCATAACTGAAATTAGAGTCCTTGAGAATATCTGCTATTGAATTCTCACGATAAGCTTCAAAATATCCAATAACTGTAATTTCCGTGGCCTCGCTTATTATGAATTCTTTTTTTGCCCTTGTTTTAGCAAAAACATTTTCGTTGCCCCTAAATTTTCGATAAAGTCTCAGAAAATATCGTTCATACGGTTGAATGCGAGCGGGATATAATTCACTGTAGTATTCTCTTGCCCTCAAGGAGGATTTTCTGCACACTAAATAGCATTCTAACATATCACACTTTTCTTCATGGGAGAACATTTTTCTTTAAATTAATGACACAATAAAGCTTATAAACAAGTATTTACACTGTTTGACATTATTTGATTTTATCATTGTTTTCCAAAGCCTTCTAGTTGCGAGTATGTCCAGTTTAACAATTTGTCGCTTATCTTAATGCTGTCAAATCGCGAACGCCATGTTGTTTTCATAGCCGTCTTAATATTATAATACTGCAAATAATTAAAAATATTTATCGTTATTTTGACTTTATTTTTGACTTTAGCGGAAAAGTCATTATGAACTTTTTTGTTTAAAATTTGATGCTTTAACAGAAAAAAATATAATATACAGGGGTTTCCATTTAAAAAAATGTTATTTTACTGAAAAAAATCAAAATAACGACTCTCAATTGTTTTTTTTTTTTATTTCTCATTTTTACCAGCGTTAAAAATGCTACTAGTTTGCTAATTCAAACAACTTTGTATTTTCACTAATAACAAAGTTACTAATGGTGGACACTTAATTTGGATAACCCTGTATATATATATATATATATATAATAAAGGCAATGAAACAACATAAACAAAACAAAATATAAGCTAATAGGAAAATCTTTAGATCAAAATACGATAAATATTACAAATAATCATGAAAAAATTGTGTCAATGGTATCATTTAAATATTTTGGCATATACGTAGACAGTAAATTAAAATTTGAAGGGCACTATGAATATGTTATTTCAAATATCCAAGAAAATAAATTAGTTTTATAGAATTTCGCATAGCCTAAGCGTTTATTAAAAAAAAATGTGTACAACACTATCATTCTTCCGCATTTGTTATATTGTTCGACTATTTTGTTCACTGCAAATGAAACTGTATTTTCAAAATTACAAATATTACAAAATAAAGCTATGAGAATAATCTTAAATGAAAATAAATATACTAGAATAAATGTTATGCTGAAAGAACTACAATGGCTAAATATCAAAAATTTCATAGCCTACTTGGTTTTCATTTTCATATTCAAGTTACAAAATCATCTTCTACCAAATCACTTAGAAAATTTCATTGTATTGAACAATGAGTGCCACAACTATTTTACTAGAGGAAGTATAGAATTTCATTTAGAAAACTTCAGTAGCAATATAACGAGCAAGTCAGTAATTCAAAAAGGATTGTATGAATTTAATAAACTAAGTAATGATATCAAGATGTGTGTCAGTTTGAAAATGTTCAAAGGCATAGTGAAAAAACATCTCATGGAAAACCAGAATTCATAGTAGTGAAATTTTGTATAAAAATATGTAGTCTTGAAGACATAATATATTTTGTGGTATACTATGTAATATGGATATTGTAGATATTGAAGCATTAATGCTAAATAAATCTGAACAAATAAACAAACAAACTCAAAAACAGTTTGACTTTGTGCTAAGGTATAGATATGTGGTTTAATGGTATATTATTACCCCTTAAAAGGATGGTATCTGCCTTCCGAACACCCTGTATAATTTATCTAACTAATCAGAGCTTGGGCGACATCTGGAGGATCGGTGTTCCCTACGAAAAGTCTGCAAGAGTCTGAAATGGATAACAAAGGCTTCATGGACGCTGTCCAATGTCAGAATACGGATTGTTTGAGGAAAATGGACGCTAGGAAGTTGATCAATGCTGTTGAAGATACGTGGAGAAAGCCAACGCTGGACCTACCTGAAAAAGGAGAGCAACCTAGCTCGATGAAACATCAGTGGTTGGTAAGTGCGATCAAAAGTAGGAGACAAATAGGCGAAGAGCAACATTTCTAAATAAACCCTCAATTGAACGCTTCGTTTCTTTTTATCAGGTAATAGATGGTAGGATTATCAGAGAGGCACCCGAGAAGGTATTGACAAGAGAAGATGGCCTGAAAGTCGACCTTGTCATTGGTAGCACAACTCATACAGCAGCTTCGCCAAAACTGCTCCTGAAATATGTTGAGTGGACGCCAGAGATTTATAAAGATCATGTCAATAAGTCTCTTTTGGGAGAGAGAGGCCTTTGGTTTGAAGCATGCCAGATGTTTCCTAATCAATATCAGGGTAAGCAGAATAGTTAAATTCACTTTAAAGTATTGACAACCAATAGTCTTTTGCCCATGATTTTTGCTACAATTTCCAGCCAAAACAGCGTACATAAATGGTAATCGTAACTCAAAACTGGCAGTGGTTCAAACAGATATATACCGGGCGTTTCAAATTCGACTCTCATCTTTGAGATCTCGGAAACGGTAAGAGATACGAAATCGACTAAGTGGGAGGGTAAAGTTGCCCGTTTAGTCATTGTACTCAAGTTTAGCATTTTAGAATATAGCGGATGATTTTTTAAGAGGTATAGGATTTGAATTTCAAAAAAAAACAAAAAATTTGAAAAAACGATTAAATCTTTATTTGAGTCGATAGAACGGTCGATATAATTTAATGTTTAAAGATTATTTCATGTAAATGTTGGCCGCGGCTCCGCTTTAGATGCCCATGCGCAAGTTCCAATTCTGGCACTCTATCCAACATATCGGCCGGTATCTCACGAATAAATGCTTCAATATTGGCTTCCAGTACGTCAATCGTTGCTGGTTTATCCCTGTAGACATTAGCCTTAACATGGCCCCACAAGAAATAGTCCAACGGCGTTAAATCACACGATCTAGGCGGCCAATTGACGGGCCCCAAACGTGAGATAAACTGTTCACCGTATTCGCCTCTCAATAGGACCATTGTTTCGTGTGCGGTGTGGCATGTGGCACCGTTTTGTTGAAACCACATGTCGGCCAAGTCCAGCTCTTCCATTTTGGACAAAAAAAAGTTTGTTATCATCGCACGGTAGCGCTCGCCATTCACAGTTACGTTCCGGCCATTGTCGTCTTTGAAGAAGTACGGCCCGATGATGCCATCGGCCCATAACCCACACCAAACAGTGATTTTTTCGGGATGCATTGGTAGCTCTTGCAATGCTTCTGGCTGGTCTTCACTCCAAATGAGGCAATTTTGCTTGTTAACGTACCCATTCAACCAGAAATGAGCTTCGTCGCTGAACACAATTTTTCGATAAAAATGTGGATCTTCCTCCAACTTTGCCAGCGCCCATTCACCGCTTCAATTCTTGCACCAGCTGTATCTTATAAGGTTTTACACCCAAATCCTGTCGCAAAATTTTCCACGTAGTGGAGTAACAGAGGCCCAATTGCTGCGAACAGCGGCGAAACGACATTTCACGGTCATCACTAACACTGGCGGATACAGCCGCAATATTTTCTTCAGTCCTCACTCTACGTCTGCATGTTGGTGGTTTGATGTCCAATAATGTAAACTGGGTTCGAAATTTAGTCACAAGCTTCCGAATAGCTCCCTCAGTAGGCCGACCAAATTGCCCATAAATTGGAAGCAGTGCTCGATGCACTCTCTTAACCGAGCATGAATTTTGATAGTAAAATTCAATAATTTGCAAGCGTTGTTCGTTCGTAAGTCGATTCATGGTTAAATTATAGCCCAAACTGAACAAGTTTGACAATGACACAAGACACAATTCACGCGTCATCTGTCAAAAACAGTGTTGCCAAAAAGATACTAGCAAAAAAATCACCCATTATAAATGACAAAAATAGATTCTTCCCTAAATTGTTTTCATTTTCTCCCGATTTTATTCGAGGCGGGATCTGAAAATATTTTTTACACAGGTGAATATAAAAAATAAATGTATACCACATTATCGAGGAGAAGTGGCAATGTTAATGTGCAATTTATCTTGAAGCTCCACCTCTTATAAGATCAATAGAAAATAAAAACGATATATTTAACAGATCTTTCACATTTAACGCAATTACGCCATACAACTCAATTCTGGAATACCTAAAACCATTGTCTTCAAATAGATTTAAATATCATTTGAAGTATCGTCTGTTGCATGAATGGCTGTATTTTTCATTTATGTACTTGAAGATTTAATTTCAAATTTAAATAGCTTTACAAAATTTTGTTCGTAGCTATTCTTTTTTATATATATATTATATACAGGGTGTTTCAGTTTATTGTTGCATAACTTTAAGATCCGATAGAACTTTTAAAATTAATGCATAAAGTCTATATAAACATGGGTCGAAAAATGCGTGGTTTCCGAAATACAGGGTGTTTAAATTTACTTTCTAAAATAGTTTTTTTTAAATATTTCGAACAATATTTGATGTATAACAGTGAAAATTGGTATACAAGGGTTTTTTGGTACGACAAAATGAACCATGGGCATAGTTTTACTGTAGCCGCTAGAAGGCGCTCTCTACTGTACCTATAGTGTATTAAAATGACCGAAAAATTTTTCTTAGTGCAATTTTTTACCTTTATATAAAAAAACTGATTCTTCGCACTTTTCAACATAAAAAAGCTCTCCTGTGAGTTTTCGTTATAGTTAGCCGTTTTTGAGATATTTCGATTTTTAAGGTTCGATGCATTTTTAATTATTTATTGGAAAATAATATTTTTTTACATTTTCGATTTGGGCATTACAAGTAATTAAGATGATCTTTTAGATTGTGTTTTTAAACACAGCAATAATTCCTAACTCCAAATAAACACAAAAAACAGAATATTAATTTGTTTAATTTTCCAATATTATTTTTAACAAATTAAATTAATTATTTACAGCTAAAATGCTATTGGATAGTTAGGACAAACATACAAAATCTAAAGTAGTTGCTCGAAATGTAAACCCAATTCTTCAATACACAATTCACATCTACGAATGATCGAACGTGGTATAGCATTATTCAAATAAGGCCTTATTTCATCACATGCATTCCTGATTCTGTCTATTAGCATATCTCTTGTGGTTACGGGAGTCTGGTACACTTTTTCTTTTAGAAATCCCCACACAAAGAAATCTAATGGATTTAGGTCAGGGGATCGTGGAGGCCAGGCGACTGGTCCTCCACGGCCGATCCATCTTTCTGGATAATTTTCGTCCAGCTAGTTCCTAACTATTCTCGAATAATGAGCTGGACAACCATCAAGCTGGAACCAGGCCAATCTTCTTAAATCTAACATAACATCATCCCACATATTTGCATGTTCAGCCTTTAAAAATTCCAAGAAGGTCACAGCATTTAACCTTGCAGGCAAAAGGTAGGGTCCAAATAGTCGATTACGGTAGATACCAATCCACACGTTCACACTAAATTCATGCTGAAAATTTCTTTCCCGAACTGCATGCGGATTTTCATGCGACCAAATATGTTGATTATGAAAATTTACCACTCCACGTCTAGTGAAGCATGACTCATCGGTCCATAAAACGTTACTTAAAAACTCCCTATTATTATCAGTTCTATCAAGAATCCACTGACAAAATGTGATTCTTCGTTCTCCGTCCCCTGGCTGTAGTCCTTGCACATGTTGCAAATGGTAAGGACGTCTATGGTCATTTGTAAGAACACGGTGAACATGGCTTGCTGAAATTCCCAAGGCGCCAGAAAGTCTCCTAACACTTGTGGTCGGATCACTATCAAACTCACGCAGAATCATACAGGTAAATCTGCGCTGACGAACATTTATGTTTTAATCCCTTTGGAGATTTCCAAAACCATTTTCAATTATTTGGCGATGCACTCTTACAAATACTGAGCGAGTTGGATGACGTCTGTTTGGAAATCTTCGTGCGTATTCTCTGGCTGCTTCTGCTGCGTTTCCATTTACAAAGCCATACACTAAATGAATATCCGCTAACTCTTGATTGGAGAATAAAATTGGTATTTTTATAAAACTTACAAAAAAAAAACAGGTAAAAGAAACTAAATTTCGTGCATTCACAATTGCAAAAAAACGTTTCAGGTTTCAACAGACAACAAAACTAACTGTCAACTAATTGACGTTTAACCTTATTCTGCTTTCAATTTCAAAAATATTTGCAGGCACAGCCTACTTCTAAAAATTATCGAGATACTGACTTTTTAACGTTATTTTATCATAAATAATTAAAAATGCATTGAGCCTTAAAAATCGAAATATCTCAAAAACGGCTAACTATAACGAAAACTCACAGTAGATCTTTTTTATGTTGAAAAGTGCGAAGAATCAGTTTTTTTATTCAAAAAGCAAAAAATTGCACTAAAAAAAATTTTTCGGTCATTTTAATACACTACAGGTACAGTAGAGAGCGCCCTCTAGCGGTTACAGTAAAACTATGCCCATGGTTCGTTTTGTCGAACCAAAAAACCCTTGTATACCAATTTTCACTGTTATACATCAAATATTGTTCGAAATATTTAAAAAAAACTATTTTAGAAAGTAAATTTAAACACCCTGTATTTCGGAAGCCACGCATTTTTCGACCCATGTTTATATAAACTTTATGCATTGATTTTAAAGGTTCTATCGAATCTTAAAGTTATGCAACATTAAACTGAAACACCCTGTATATATATATATATATATATACAGGGTGACTTCGAAGTTGAGTCATTTATTTTAACAGTGTGTAGATCTGATCAAAAGAAATGTTTTTTTCCTTTACCATTTTTCTGGTAAAATTAAAGTAACAAAGTTATAGCCCTTTGGAAGTTTGAGTACCGCCCTGTCTCAATAATATCATGTGTTCGTGTTTGGCAACAACGGTTCATCGCATCGGAAACAAAAAAGCGAAAGAATTTGGAACGATGTTTTTACGATTACAATTCAGTTCAGTTATACATACAGTCAGTTTCAGTCGCGTGTGTCTGTTGCGTGGCTCAAACGAAATAAAAAATGGCACATGTTTATGCGGATCGGTTTCCCAATCGAGTGCAACCAACCCCTCGTGCCTTTGTTAATGTAGTACAACGGGCTCGTGAATCAGGTGACTTAAGACCTCACAGGGGACCTCACGATCAAATGCAGGTCCGCACTGAAATACTTGTCGGGAGGATACTTTATAAAACAAGGTAAATTTTTTTTTTAATTTTTTTTTTATTTTTACACACATATTTTGGTTTATCTTCCTTCTACAATCATTATCTGAAAATTAATGACTCAACTTCAAAGTCACCCTGTATATATATTTGTGTTAAGAATAGCGAGGAACTATTGTAATCGCGATAAATTTCGAAAATGAAATTTTATGATTATTGAAGTTATACCTCTACAGTAGCGGACAAAAGTTTGGAAACAATCTTAGTAATTTTTAAAAAGTGCGTTAATTTTTATTCTATTACTATATTTTTTTTCTCATACAGTTTGCTTACGGTCTTGAGGATACAAATGACAATTTGTGTTTGTTGTGGTACTAAAGACTAGCATTAAAATACCTTCATATTATTTTATGACCAAAATGAGACGACAAAAAATGCAATAACTCTACAAAAAGATTTAAAAAATACTCTTTAGCTAATATTTGGTTGCATAGCATTAAACACTGCCTGACATCTGTTGCTCATAGAAGACCAATTTTTTAGAGACGTCTGTTGGGATATTTTATTTTGATTTTTTGACATAAATAAATCGTTCTTATTTTTTTTAAGTTTTTCTTGTCAGTTGATTTTTAACATACTCCCAGAGATGTTCTATAGGGTTTAGGTCTGGGGATTGCGAAGGCCATGTAAGAACATTAACATTTTTTAGTCTTAACCAGTCCTTTACGAATTTTGAGGTATCTTACAGGAATGTCCATCGTAAAGCCATTTCTTCTTCAGCAAAAGGGAGCATGTGTTCACTAAGAATATCTTTGTAAAGTTTTTGATCCATTTTCCCAACAATTTTAAAAATTGAGGCTTTTGCACTGGACGCCTACCAAAAAGCCCAAAATCCACCAAGCGTTTCTGCACTGTTCTGACAGAAAAATTCTCGGCACCCTCTTCTACGATTTTTTTGAATATCTGTGTGGATGGCATTCGAGGATCTTCATGGGACAAACGTTTAATGTAGCGATCCAAAACCATCAGCGTAGCTGTTGATCCGTATACTTGATATTTACTAATAATTTTCGAAATAGTCACTTTGTTCATTTTAATCTTTGAGAAATGTCAACATTTCTGACGCCACTTCTAAATAATTCAATTGCTTTGTCTCTTAAATCTTTTGAAAATTCTTTCTCTTTTGCCATTCTCATTGATTGCAGAACAGTATAGCAGAACGAATAAATACGGCAAAACTGAAATATTTCCATACTTTTGTCGGTACAAAAACGCGTGTTATTATTTTCAGAGAATTTGAATATTGATAACATAAACCTTGTATTCGTACGGGAGACAAAGGTAGACTTTAATATTCATATTATCTGTTCCGTCACAATTTTAATTGAGGTATATGAAATAGTGCATAATAATGTTATTTGTTTCCAAACTTTTGACCGCTACTGAATATGGCATGTAAATCACGAAAAATCATGTCACTCATTTCCGTCTGTCTGTCCACTAATCTTTGGACCGCCTATAACTTGGGAAGTACAGGTCCGATTTGGATGAAATTTTCACAAGGTCTCTACTATGCCAAAGACGAGAAAGTTTTGTAGTTTTTGAAAATCGGCCCAGAGGAGGCGGAACTAGGAGCAAAAACATGAGACAAATAAAAATCTTTCAAACTCCGTGTTTTGACGTTTCAGAGACTCCTGATCATTTTCAGGAAAATTGTTGCATGCGTTGATATTAGACATATTTCGCATAAAACACATACACGAAAAGAACGATAACTCGCTGCACCGGGTATAACGTTTCCAGATGGACAATAATCTCCGTAGGAAAAGGAAAGAGTGTCGTGGACTAATTTTGTGGGCCTATTTGACTAACTTGATCCGTTTAGTTTCTCAGAGGATTTGAACTGCGCTGAACTTCCTTCACATATGAGGTGCAGAGTCAACCTACTTGACGTAGTTTTTATAAATAAAGACGATTGTTATCACTGTTTCGAAAAAAATCTGTTTTTCTCCGGAAATCATTTGAATTGAGAATCTTTCTACATGCAATCTTCTTACTTACCAACAGTTGTAACTTTAAGTCGAACTTGAAACACCCTGTAAACATTATTTATTCTGCTTACTAAAAAAAAACCTGACCTTATCTTACTATCTAGGTATAAGCCAATTAGTTTCCGAGGTCCGTGTAACTTGTCCGCTGTACCTGCTGACGTCACAGATGCGTAACGTGCCCTTCTACATAGTGGACCAAAGACGTGCTGACACGAGTCTGGCGGACGCAGATTCGGACATCGAAGCCTTTTTCGGACGATACGATCCTCTCATAGCTCAACAAAGAAGATATTCGTCTTCTATGCAGGTAAGGGCAAGCAAAATGTTCAATTTTAAATTATGTATCAAAATAATAATACCGGCCTTATGAGGCTTGTGCGGCTCTTTGCAAATTATGTAAGAAAAATAAGAAATCAATGACTGAACTGCCAAAAAATTGACTTACAGTAATGGACAAAAGTATATAGACAAATTAATATTGTGCTGTATTTCTTTTTTAACTTGTTTTATTAATACACCAATCTATATAGATAATTCGTTATAGCATAATACTCTCTTATACATAAATAAAGTCATTGGAATTCCTTTAATAAAAAAATAATTGAAAAAAACTGGAACTATGAAGGACAAAAATATATAGACAAAGCAAAACAATTATAGAAAAAAGAAGCAAAGTTCATTGAATTATAGAAAACCAACCATGTTTGTGTTAATATACTAAGTGACATATAAATCCGAACACCCAGTTTGAATGGTTTTATTTTAATAAAAGTTGGTGAATGTATTTATCTTACTGTAAATAACAAGTGAACAAATTTTCAGCCTTATCAGTTGGACATTCCGGTTTTTAAACTGCTTTATTTTTAATTCACTATCGCTCTAAAAATGAATATTTCAGCCGCAGTAAAGAATCAACGTTGGCGGATTTTGGTTCTTGACATCCTTTACGATCGGTTACGATGCCTAGAGTACGGAGACCTGTACGATATCGTCAACTTAGTGAGTTTGATAGGGGCCGTATAGTGGGACTTCGGGAAGCTGAACTTTCTTTTCGGGCAATTGCAGTTAGAGTGCAAAGAAGTGTAGACACTGTGGTTAGGTGTTGTCAGGCATGGCTTCGAGAAGGCCGTATGCAAACAGCAAGGGGCACTGGACGCCGCCGTAGAACAACAGACCGTGAAGATCGCCGCCTAAGATTATTGGCCTTAAGGGACCGTTTCTCCACTACCAGGTCCATTGCAAATGAATGGTTTGCAGAACACGGAAGACCTATTGGCATGCGAAGTGTTTACCGACGAATGAGAAGTTTTGGCTTGTTTTCATACCAGCCACACTGAGTCCTCCCTTTAACTCCAGAACACCGACGTAATCGCCTTGAGTGGTGCAGACAACGGTCACTCTGGGATCAGGAATGGAACAGTATTGTCTTTAGTGACGAGTCTCGATTTTGTTTAGGCATGCACGATGGTCGTGCTAGGGTTAGAAGGCGACGTGGTGAAAGGAGGAATCCACAGATTTTTTTTTGTTGAAAGACATGTTCATCACACTGTTGGAGTTATGGTTTGGGGTGCTATAGCTTATGGTTCCAGGTCACCTTTAATCTTCATCAGAGGTAACATGAACGCGCAGCGTTATATCCACGAAGTTATAGAACCCCATCTTTTACCCTATCTTGACACCCTGGCAGATCCAACTTTCCAACAAGATAATGCCCGACCAAATGTTGCAAGAGTCACAATAGACTTCTTTCAACATAATGATGTCACATTGTTACCATGGCCACCAAGATCTCCCGACTTATCCCCAATTGAGCACGTGTGGGATATGATGGGTAGGAGATTGCTCAATTTGCAACGTCCTCCTCAGACTCTAGAAGCACTTCGAGAGGAGTTGGTGTTCGGTGTTCGGATTTATATGTCACTTAGTATAACTTCAAATCATTTAATCTTCTACTTATAGTTTTCGTAGAAGCACTGACAATTCCTTTTGTCTCGATTTCGAGTTTTATTTGTTTTGGGCTTTCAAACGGATCTTTGGACGAAATTACTTTCACTAATCTAACTGATCTAGCATTTAGTTTTCTAGGCCGACCTCTTCTCTTAGAGGCTTCCAAGATACCTTTTTGTTTATATTTGTTCAATATTGCCCAAACTGCTTTACGCTTCAGCTTCAAATGTTTGGCAATGTCGACTTGACGTTGACCATCTTTGTCTAACTCAATGATCTTAGTTTTCACATCGAAAGAAATTTCTGGACCACGCGGCATGGTCTTAAATTCAATCAACTTATTCCACAATACTTGATGAACACAAACTAATCCTCTTCTGACACGAAACTGTACTAAACTAATGTTGAAAAGAATTTGTCTACATATTTTTGTCCCTCATAAAAAAGTGCTTATATTCAGACTTCTATTGTGTTCACTGCAGATAATGTAAAAACAATGAATTTAGTTTTTCTACTAATAACGCATTTGTTTATGGAGCAATGAAGTATGAATTCGTTTTCTAAAGGTATTTAGGTAAATATCCATATTTGTCTATATACTTTTGTCCATTACTGTAAATATATGGCAGAAGATAGCAGACCACACAGCATTAGAGTTTGCTGGATATCAGATAAATGCACCTTAACTGCCTATCAGCATTAAAGATTGTATGGCAAGGCAATAAAAATGTATTCGCAGTATGTATTATACTTAAAATAAAACAAAACACCAAGCAAATATAAATCAAGACAATCGCGCTAAGAAAACGAATGCGAAATGCGGTAAATGCACGATACAAATGCCCTATGTATACAGGGTGATTCACAACTCGTGACCAAAAATGAAACATCATACACAGGACCGCATTTTAAGGGGAGTCTTCTATGTAACATTTTTTCTCGAAGGCTTCATTAAAAAGATGCAGGGTGTTGAAGTTTAAAAGTATTTTTTTTTTCATATCTTCAAGACCGTCAACTGGAATGAACTAAAATTTGACACGTGGATTTACCTAAGTATTGTCCACATTCAAAAGTCTTTACTTAAAATTAACGTGCACTAGTGACGGAGATACAGGGGTTCAAATCAAGAGACCTCGCAAGCCAACGAACGCGTCTGTTTCTGCCAATCCATCGTTGTCTAAAATCATTATTTAACCATGCGGTTATGTCGCGAGGAACATGCGGTGGGGCACCGTCGTGTTGATACTACATTGGTACTCTCGTTGCTAACACACATTTTCTGTGTAATTTTCTAGAAACGCCAAGTATGAGTTTGCATGTAAACGTTGTGGCAATACGTGCATAAGCAGTTGGCGACTGAAAATGCCGCACCAGACATTTCTAGAAAATCTGTGTTGAAACGAGTGGATCCTTACAGTACCGAGATTTTCTACTCCTCGTAAAAAGCGATTCGTCTGACCACAAAACCAAATCAATAAAATCTGCATTTTGATTATGCATTTGCAGTGACCATTCACAAAAATTTCGCGGTTGCACTTCGTCGCCGGGTTGCAGACATTGCACATTTTGCTGATGATAAGGATGTAAAACTTCCCGATTTAAAATTCTCCACGCAAGACTTTGGGAACTTGGTAACTGGGCTGCAATCTGCCTAATCCTTGTACTAGAATCATCCAACGCCAAATTTTGTGTATTTCTCGATAAGGACCCTCAAGAATATAATTTCGCTGTAAAACTGTTTATTATAATAATAATAATAATAATAAAATGTCTTTATTAGGCACATTATATAAACTACAACATAATGTGACCTCTACGTAGGCGAAGTCTAGCTCTTGGCTACTCTACTTAACCTACAAAAATAATAAATTGAAACACTTAATCAAAGGAAACTTTGACAAGCAGCAAAAGACGCTTCAAAACAACGAGCTTGATAGCTTCCTAACATACATATTATACACACATATATTACGTAAAATAAAATAAAATGTAAGAATTAAAAACTAACTTTTCCATAATTACTACAATGACAAATAAATCTGTTTCACATGCTTACGAAATCTGTTTACTGGCCAATCCTTTATATTGTCATCTAATTCGTTATAAATCAGGATATGATTGTAAGTGTATGAACTACGAAATAAAGTTGTTTTATACATAGGGATCTCTAGTCTTTTTTTGTGTCTGAAATCAATGTCTGAATTATTTCGTCTGAAAACAAATTTCTCATAAAGATACAAGGGGGATCTAGAAGATATGATCTTATGTGTAAACACTGCTATATGGTACTTGCAAGCATTTTCTATACACATCCAACCAAGCTGAATTCTCTTTAAGGAAACATGATCATACTTCTTGAGATTAAATACAAATCGACAACAAGTATTTTGGAGTTTTTGGAGTCTTGCTTTTGTGATAGAATCAAGACAATGATAGAACACAGTGCTACAGTAAAATAAATTTGGAAATATAATAGCCTCACATAACTTTTTTCTAACTTTAAAATTCAAAATAGAGCGATTGACATAAAAACACTTCAAAGTTGCATAACATTTTTTTAAGATAGACTAAACATGTTCCTTAAACCGTAAAGTATAATCAATAATCAACCCCAAATTTTTTGTAGTATTTACGACAGCTAGACGCTCCTTGTCAATTTTTACATCAAGAGAATACAATATAGTGTTACGTTTGACAGCAGGACAAAAAAGCATCACTGAGCACTTATCCTTATTGAGCTTAAGGTTGTTACCATTTGAGTATCCTACTATTGCCTCCAAATCATCATTAAGCTCATTGATTGAAGTATGCAAAGTGTTACTATTAAAGCTCTTATATATCTGTGTATCATCGGCATAGCACATCACAGAAGAGTTTTTCACAGAGCTACCCAAGTCTATAGTATAAATTAAGTACAACAAGGGCCCTAAAACTGAACCCTGAGGGACACCTGATGTTATATCAATCGGACTAGATATAGTGTTGTCTATCTCTACTACTTGTTTACGATTTGAAAGATATGTTATAAAAAACATTAGAGCTATGTCTGAAAAACCAAAAAACTTCAATTTAGCACATAAAAGCTCATGATTTATTTTATCGAACGCCTTAGAATAATCTAATGATGTCATCTAAAACCCTTGCTAAAGCTGTAGTTGTACTAAAACCACTGCGGAAACCAGATTGACACTTGGGAAAGAAATCATTATTAGAGAAATAATGATAAACCTGATGTTTAATCAATTTCTCCAATATCTTCGATACAACAGGAATCAAAGTTATAGGTCTTAAGTCTGAGAGACATTTTGGATTTTTACATTTAGGCAAGGGCTTGACAAGAGATAGTTTCCAAGCATCAGGGAAATACCGAGCCTCCAGGCAACAGTTCAATAAATGCGTCAGGGGTAGTAATACTCGAGGCAAGCAAAGCTTCAGCATTGAGACTGTTATACCATCCGAACCTGCTGCATTAGATTTTAGGGACAGAATAATGTCTAGCACATTTTGTGGGGTAGCAAAACTAAATTCAAATCTAGCACTTTCATTAATTTTGGTACTATTAAATTTATCAACTAGATCCTTGCAATTGCCCGAAGGCGTGAAAACGGAAGAAAAATAATTGTTTACTTCATCCGCGTTTTTCAACTGCGTAGGTAAAGATCTATCTAGATTAGTTTTGAGTTTCAATGAATGTACCGCTTTCCAGAGATGCTTGTTACTATTTAGTTGTTCATTAAAGCTTAGATATGCTGCTTTCTCCCGCCTAATAGCGGAAATGACATCATTTCTTAATTTCTGGTAATATTCGAGACTAGCTGGACTTTTTAAAATCTGATATTTTCTAAAGGCTTTATTTCTCTCAGAGATCAAAAATTTTATGCCACCTGTGAGCCATGGAGCATAAGGTTTAGTAATACGTGCTGAAACAACAGGAGCATGGACATCAAACAAATCCAAAATATGATTAGAAAAAAACGTAGCTTTATCCTCTAAGTTACTGATGTAATATATATCGTCCCATGGGATTTTATACAAATCCACCAAAGACTGATCTTTACAACAATGTTTAAAGTATCTATATTTGACAGTCTTTTGAAAATTCTTAGGTCGTGTGATGTTGAAGTCACATCTGACTACATTATGATCTGACAAATTCGGATCAGGTGCAGAGCTAGTTGAAATTAATGATTCAGCTAAGTTATTTGTTGTACAAATGACATCTATGGAGGTTGCCGTGGTTAAAGTTATCCTAGTTGGTTGGGTGATGTGAGATACCATATCGTAGCATGTAATGCAATCTAGAAAAGAATGGTCAGTAAGTTGATCAACGTTTATATCACCCAGCAAGCATATATTGTCATACTGAGGAGACACAAATGAGAGAAAGTTGTATATATGATCAATAAAACTTGATAATCTGCTCGAAGGAGCTCTGTAGATAACACAAACCAAAATGTTTAGATTAGATGTAAAACTTCCCGATTTAAAATTCTCCACGCAAGACTTTGGGAACTTGGTAACTGGGCTGCAATCTGCCTAATCCTTGTACTAGAATCATCCAACGCCAAATTAATCACTTCCAGTTCCTCATCACAGTATTTCGGCTTCTAACACCGGGAAATTTGGCGATTCCATATTGCCGAAGCCTTAGGAATGAACGCGTAAAAACCTTTTGTGCAGGTTCGCGTTGATACTCCCGACAAGCTGCTGAAGCATTACCATTACAGAATCCGTACACAAAAATAATATTGAAGTACTCATTATTGCTAAAGTCCATTTCACAACACCCAAAAATGGAAAAAAGAAACTGTTGACTTGACTTTTACAACAAAAATAAATGGCGATAGTAACGGTAACAACGGTATGACACATAACTTTGACAAAGTATCAAGGCCTCCTATTTTATTTTGAAACTAATTGTATCTCGGCTCTTTATGAATGATCTTATTTGGTTTTATTTTTATTTTTACGAAAACAGTGCACTCTAGGAAAAAACAAGATTACATAATTATTTGTAGCAAATTGAAGGTGAAATTCGAAAAATTGCGCGTAACTCCGCCACTGCCCAACTAGCAAAGTAATGCTCAAAGCTTTTGGTAAAAGAACCGTTCAGCCATAAAAGCTCTCTATTGTTGTTGCCTGAACACCAAAATGCTGGCTTAATGTTGTGTGGAATGCAAGTTTGCTTTCTGCAACATATTTGCTTTAAAATGAGGTGTTTAAAATATTCTTATAGCATAGTTACACAACACCATATAGGACAAATTTTTAACTGTTGCATAAACGTTTGTACAACTATTTTATCCGGCTTATTTGCAGGTTAGTCAAAATGGTTGTGTTGTGACATCCATGGTAACGTTTATAAAACAAACCCGAGCCTTCTTGTTTTGCTGTGCAAATTTACTACTTTAGCCAACAAATTGCTCCCAAAGGAAGCACTTATACAACTGTTGTTTAGTAACTGTTAAAGGCTGTACATATGCTAAATATGTTGGTATACAACTTCACCATAACCTAACTTTCTGCTGTCATATTTTTGTTAAAATGCCATAAGCAATGTTTTAAGACAAACAACGCATGCATATTGGTTAAAAAGGTTTTATCAACTGTTCAAACAGAAGATATAGATCTGGTACAAATTCTAGGTAAATCATTCGACTCTGTTGGTATTTCATTTCTGACATTTGTCAAATTGTTGTATAACACCTGCAGGCAATACCAAAATATTCTAGTAAACTAAAGACAACATGAACGATGCCATGATTATACACAACCACCCGCCATATTTGGCAAACATTTATTCCTCTATTTGATATTAAATAATTATGTTTCAGTTCGAAATTACAGATATAAAGTGATAAACATTAGTGTAATTGTGTCTAAATATAGGATTTGTGGAAGATTTAACGCAGATAAGTTCAGTTTTCCATCTTAAAAATCTAGACATACTTTTGATCATTATCAAAATATGAATCAAATACGAAACCCGTAGAAATTGCGTAACTACTTTGCACGATAATCACAATAAAATTTGCTGCGCAAGTAATTCAATAGCCCTATATCAGTGTAGAAGTTTATCATATACCTGTGTATGAAATTCACAATGGCCGATATGTAAGTAAACAAGATGACTGTATTGTGTTAGATATATATTCTTCCACCTCGTCTATACAATACATAAGAAATAGTTTGGTTGCAATAAAGTAGAATCACGTAACAGAATAGTTGTATAGTTGACAAAAACTGAATCTTGCACTGATGCAAATGTCCTATAGCGGCTGCAACAGGCTTACACTTTTGTTGTATAACTGTTACCTGCAGTCCTTATACAACCTCTTAAATGACTGAAGTGTCCTATTAGATGTGCCCATTCCGCTTGTATAGCTGATCTAAGAGGGTTTTGCCAATGTTCTTACAGTATACAATGCTGTGTAAGGAATACTGTATAATCATTCTTGCATCTCTAATAGGCGTGATAATTGTTAGTTGGGTGGTGCACGATAATTTTAAATATATGCTTTTGAATGTGGACAATACTTAGGTAAATCTTACAAATGTTACATAGAAGACCCCCCTTAAAATGCGGTCCTGTGTATGATGTTTTATTTTTGTAGCCCGCGAAATAAATATTTCGAAGTTATTTCCCTGGATAAAACGTAGCCTATGTGCGATTGCAGACTATGATCTACCTCTGTACCATATTTCATCCAGATCCGATCGTTCTTATTGCTGTTTTTTTTTTCTTTCCAGGGCTTTTTCTATAACTTTGTATGGCATGGCAAACTTCCAGACATGAGCGAAGGAAAGGTGTTTATAATAAGACAAGATTTGCAACCAAAGAAAGATTTGGACCACTGTGACTTCTTTAAAGAGCAAAAAATTGTACCTCAATATGCCGCTTTAGACTAATTTTCAGACTAGTACTGTCAACGAGATGTTAGAAATTTTGGGTTATTACCTTCACATGCAAATTGGCTCAATTTATGTATTCAGAAAGCTAAAACTGTCCATGGCGCTTCAACTGTTGCTTACACAGTCTAATTTGTAGCGAGAAAATTAATATGTCATGCGCATATCAATTTAGCTGGTAATATGTCTAGTTACAGACTAAATGATAGTGTTAAATGTAAATGTCGGGATTAGTAGGAGATTTCGCTGTAAATTTACCAATCTGAATCCAAAAATTGAGTGCCTCCTCTTGATAAAGTCTATAATACTCCAACGTCATTAGGACGAGCTTAGACAGATGATATACTCGAAGACTGTTAAACATCAATGGGATGAAAAAAGCACGAAGAATTTTCATTCTCAACTCAATGATAGGAGAAAATATGGCGGAAACGCCTGTACATGGGATATCTAGAACATGTCTTGGTTTTGGTAAATACACAGCGAGATTTCCAGTCCGTTCTGAAAGTAACACTTGATCGAAATGTGGCCTATTCAACTTGGAATCTAGACGAAACGTCTTATAGTGCTCCTTAAGACTGGACCAAAATGAATCTGCAACCAAATTTGTAGGAGTAAAATTCCTGAGTAAGTATTTATGCTATATGTTCTAAACAATTTTTTATGCGTGGTACCATCATTTCTTTATATAAATTAGTCATATGATGGACGCGTTCAACACTTAAATGCTGTTTAATTAGTGTGATATTCACAAAAATACTCCATTGTAACGAATGTATCTCATATTTGTAAGTTATGAAACGTATTTGCTCTCTAAGTTTATTTTAAGTTCTATATCTCTAAAAACGCCAGATTAGACCAGGATATCTAGAATTTGTGAAAAAATTGCAATAAGCTGCTGTACAAAGGAATCATACTCTTTTGGGTATACGGAAAGTCCCTCGATAAGAGATACAAAAAAATTGTTGGCTACACTACAAATTTTGTTGAACCACTACACCAATAATTCATAACTATTTGAATATAAGCGTAAAAGTAATTTTTCCAACTTTGACGTTTAATAAAAAAGAAAACAAGTAAAATTTTGTGTATTTCTCGATAAGGACGCCCAAGAATATAATTTCGCTGTAAAACCGTTTATTACAATTTTTTTCTCAAACAGGGTCGATTTTTGGCCAGTCATCATGGTCTATAATAGCTTTTCATTTTAAAATACATAAAGCGTTTGTGCACATTGAGGAAAGAACATTCATTTATTTTTGTAAGTATGCTTAGGTTAGGACATTAGGTTCATTACTTTACTCCATCTGCTACCTTTTTGTAGTTAAACGTCTGTATACAAATGCCAAAAACTCACAGGTTTATCAGCTTTCGTGTATATATTTACGTTACATAGTACTTACTAAGAAAGACTGACGCTTCTGGATACTTTTTTGAAGTTCTCGCAGATTAAAATTCGAAAATATTTGACGTTTCCGGGATATTTCAGAATATGTGGGCAGGCTCGCGGTTCACAAGAAAAATGATCTCACAGATTTTATATAACAATTCTTTAAGGATAAGTGTGTCCCTAAAAGATGCTGCCGAAAATACAATTTCTTTAAAATATCCGTTGAATATGGTCGGAATATATCGTCCTAAAGTTATTCATAAAAATACAATTTTCAGCGACGTCCTTGTAGCGATATTTTTTATAGGGACTTTCAAGAGTTTTTTCGCATATTCTGGGATCTTCCTTACAAAACTAAAAATTCATGTAATATTCTATCTTTGTGCCAACAAACTGGTAAACCGTTCGAAAAATTGGACCAATTATGCTCTACCACAGTGAATTTTCTCAAAGGGTTCTGTGAAAAAGTGATACTCGGCTATTACTCGGTTAGAATAACATAAAACTAATTCTATTTCCAAAGATTAACTTATTTTGTATATCGTACATTTGTTTTTATGTCAAAGATTCAAAGTATTAATCTGTGACTGTTGATGGTCGGCAGGAATTTTGATCTCTAATCTGTCTCTCTGTTTTGTATTTTAAGTATTTGTATATAATTTTGTAGGTATATGTTTTATACTCCGAAGTAGCTTTATATAATTATAGAAAATGTAAGCTAAACATATACAAGGCTAATAATTGCATTTTGTATCCATGTATTCAGATAGGTTTTATGCAGCTTTGTATGTCCATAATCATACAGTGTAATGTGAGTGAAATGGTTTTCCATGAATTTGTAATAAATTTTTATTTGTAACGTATATGATGTTTTATTGGTCCATGCATTGATGGAAGCACCCCATTTTTCTATTCCAGAAAAACTTCAAGGCAGGTCTGTAAATTAAGTGATGAGTCTAGCTACGTAGCGTTCGATCTGGCAACGCTGGAGGCGCTGGGCTTGGAGGGGAGACAGGGCAACATGCGATCTGCCTTCAGTACAAGTTTTAAACCGCTCGAGTCATTTTTGGTTGTCTGTAGCGATTTTTTTTTGTCAATCAGATTTTTCTATTGTGTTCTGTATATGAGTGGCATCAGCTTCGAGCAGCGGTGTGCTATGAAGTTTTACTTCAGACTTGGACACAGCGCAATGGAAACTGTTGCTAAACTTTCGCAGACCTATGGAGTTGTGTTTTGACAAGAGCCCAGGTTTTTCGGGGGTTTAAGGCATTTTCGGAAGGGAGATAGTCGATTGAAGATGAACCTCGAAGCGGAGCGCCTTCACCTCCAGGCACCAATGAAAATATCGAGTCCGGGATCTTACGCGTTCAGATCGTCGGTTGACGGACAGCATGATCGGAGAAGAGTTAAATTTGACCCACACCACTGTCACGGAGCAATGTCAATAAACGGGATTTTGGCCAGTAAAAACATTCTCCTGACTTGAGTCCTTGTTACTTTTTTGTTCCCGAAGTTGAAAAATCACATCAAGGGACAGTCGAAAACGTTCAAACGGTTGTAACCGACTAGCTGCAGTAACGGAGTTCCAGCACTGCTGTGGGGAGTGGAAGAACCGTCTCCAGCGCTGTATAGCTTCAGAAGGAAGTTATTTTGAGGGTGAAAATGTAAACTTGTAATTATATACTAAGTGACATATAAATCCGAACACCCAGTTTAAATGGTTTTATTTTAATAAAAGTTGGTGAATGTATTTATCTTACTGTAAATAACAAGTGAAAAATTTTTCAGCCGTATCAGTTTTTATACTGCTTTTTTTCAATTCACTAACGCTCTAAAAATGAATATTTCAGCCGCAGTAAAGAATCAACGTTGGCGGATTTTGGTTCTTGACATCCTTTACGATAGGTTACGATGCCTAGAGTACGGAGACCTGTACGATTTCGTCAACTTAGTGAGTTTGATAGGGGCCGTATAGTGGGACTTCGGGAAGCTGGGCTTTCTTTTCGGGCAATTGCAGTTAGAGTGCAAAGAAGTGTAGTCACTGTGGTTAAGTGCTGTCAGGCATGGCTTCGAGAAGGCCGTACGCAAAGAGCAAGGGGCACTGGACGCCGCCGTAGAACAACAGACCGTGAAGATCGCCGCCTAAGATTATTGGCCTTAAGGGACCGTTTCTCCACTACCAGGTCCATTGCAAATGAATGGTTTGCAGAACACGGAAGACCTATTGGCCTGCGAAGTGTTTACCGACGAATGAGAAGTTTTGGCTTGTTTTCATACCGGCCACACTGGGTCCTCCCTTTAACTCGAGAACACCGACGTAATCGCCTTGAGTGGTGCAGACAACGGTCACTCTGGGATCAGGAATGGAACAGTATTGTCTTTAGTGACGAGTCTTGATTTTGTTTAGGCATGCACGATGGTTGTGCCAGGGTTAGAAGGCGACGTGGTGAAAGGAAGAATCCACAGTTTTTTGTTGAAAGACATGTTCATCACACTCTTGGAGTTATGGTTTGGGGTGCTATAGCTTATGGTTCCAGGTCACCCTTAATCGTCATCAGAGGTAACATGAACGCGCAGCGTTATATCCACGAAGTTCTAGAACCCCATCTTTTACCCTATCTTGACACCCTGGCAGATCCAACTTTCCAACAAGATAATGCCCGACCACATGTTGCAAGAGTCACAATAGACTTCTTTAAACATAATGATTCCACATTGTTACCATGGCCACCAAGATCTCCCGACTTATCCCCAATTGAGCACGTGTGGGATATGATGGGTAGGAGATCGCTCAATTTGCAACGTCCTCCTCAGACTCTAGAAGCACTTCGAGAGGAGTTGGTGGTTGCCTGGAATGAGATACCACAGGAGGACATTGACCACTTGATCAGAAGCATGCCTTGGCGCGTTGGAGATTGCGTAGCACATCAGGGTGCATCCACACATTATTAAAGGTCAAAGGGCTTTAAGGCAGTGCAATCATTTTGAAATTTTTATCATTTACTTATTATGCTTCATTAAGTACTTATACAAAATTTTATTAAAATAAAACTATTTAAACTGGGTGTTCGGATTTATATGTCACTTAGTATATTTGAATAAAAAAATTAAAAAACCAGTTTCATCGCTTAGTTTACAAACCTCGTAGCATTTATTAACAGCAATATTCAACAACCTAGATCAAAACTCGTGTTTTGGGCATATGCAGTGCCTTTTTGGTCCAGCTAATACCTTATTCCAATTTGGTTTCACTGCATTAAGGCCCGAATCTTCAGTCATTCCTACAATTGTAGGGCGCGTTTATGGCCTCCTTGATTGTCATACTCTTTTCTCTCCTTCAAAAATTTCTAGACTACACTCGTCCCGTGTCAGCGTCGGCGCTCTCCTATTGGTAAGATATGTTTTCCTTTTAAATTTTAGGAAATTTCAGGCTGATAAAACTCAAAAGCAAGCACAATTTGATGTAAATAGATGTTTGTGACATAACCTCAAAATAGAGAGAAGTAGAAAACTATAACAATCAAGGAGGCCATAAACGCGCCCTACAATTGTAGGGCCGACTGACGATACGGGCCTAAGATACCCAATTAAAATGAGCAAAAAAGGGAATGTAGGCTCTAACGCCATCTATGAGACAGTAGCAGAACCAAACACTCTTTCCAGAGTAGATTTCTAAATTCATTTTTGAATTCTGCTAGTGTCTCGTAGATGTCGCTGGTATCTTTCAGATCCCTTTTTGTACGCCAGAATACACCGTAAGTGACTATCTCCAGAAGTACTACGTTAATCGCTTAAAGTCACGGATAACGATAATGATTATTTTGCGAGTCAAAATCGTATTTACAAAAATCCTTTTGCTTAAGTAACCTGGACCAAAATTACTTTCCTAGGAAAATCAGGTACGTGTAGATCTCGAAGGGGATACCAATTAGGTGTTGGGATTAATGGGCGACTAATTTTCTGATTCAAATGACTCTACGGCACAACTTGCTGCGAACACAGTTTTTGATCATACAGGGTCGACCAAAAAGACATACGAATTTCAAAGCCGCATTGCTCGTGACAGGCACGCGGGAGCGGGACACGTGTAGTAGGAATAAGTAGCTTGGTTTTCGGAAATTCAGTCGCCATGGAGCGTTTCACTGTGTTAAGGCTTGTTACAAAAATGGAGATTCGTGCACTATTGTGCGGCGTCTGTTTCGTCCTGAGTTTAGTTTACATGATCTAATCAATGTCCTAGTCAAAAAGGGGATCAGGTCGTGCGTCAGAAAGTTCGAGTCTACCGGTTCGACACTGTATCAGAAACTTGCGGGGCGTCCAAGGTCAATACGAACAGAGGAAAATGCCAGCAAATTTGCGAGGTCCGTACGGCGCGATCCACTGTTATCATCCCGAAAGAGATCAGCTGAGCTTGCCATATCAAGAACATCTGTAAAGCGTATTTTGGTAAAAGAGATTAAATTGCACCTACAGGGTGACTTTGAAGTTGAGTCATTAATTTTCAGATAATGATTGTAGAAGGAAGATAAACCAAAATATGTGTGTAAAAATAAAAAAAAAATGTTACATTGTTTAATAAAGTATCCTCCCGACAAGTATTTCAGTGCGGACCTGTATTTAATAGTGCGGTCTTGGAGCAGCATGCCCTCACCTGTGAGGTCTTAAGTCACCTGATTCACGAGCCCTTTGTACTACATTAACAAAGGCACGAGGGGTTGGTTGCACTCGATTGGGAAACCGATTCGCATAAATCCGTGATGCATCCGGGAGCATTTTGTAAAGACTGCCCCCCCGTAAATAAGAATCATGTCCACAAGTTCAGCATTTTCGTAAACATGTGCCATTTTTGATTTCGTTTGAACCACGCAACACACTACTATTCACTTACGCGTTATCGACTGACGAAAAACATCGTTTCAAATTCTTTCGCTTTTTTGTTTCCGATGCGATGAACCGGTCAGGCGGATTATATCCGTTGTCGCCAAACACGAGCATATAATAGGCAGGGCGGTACTCAAACTTCCAAAGGGCTATAACTTTGTTACTTTAATTTTACCAGAAAGATGGTAAAGGAAAAAAACATTTCTTTTGATCAGATCTACTCACTGTTAAAATAAATGACTCAACTTCGAAGTCACCCTGTATATACCCTTCAACTATACTAAGTGACATATAAATCCGAACACCCAGTTTAAATGGTTTTATTTTAAGTTGGTGAACGTATTTATCTTACTGTAAATAACAAGTGAAAAAATGTTCAGCCTTATCAGTTGCACATTCCGGTTTTTATACTGCTTTTTTTTAATTCACTAACGCTCTAAAAATAAATATTTCAGCCGCAGTAAAGAATCAACGTTGGCGGATTTTGGTTCTTGACATCCTTTACGATCGGTTACGATGCCTAGAGTACGGAGACCTGTACGATTTCGTCAACTTAGTGAGTTTGATAGGGGCCGTATAGTGGGACTTCGGGAAGCTGGACTTTCTTTTCGGGCAATTGCAGTTAGAGTGCAAAGAAGTGTAGACACTGTGGTTAGGTGTTGTCAGGCATGGCTTCGAGAAGGCCGTACGCAAAGAGCAAGGGGCACTGGACGCCGCCGTAGAACAACAGACCGTGAAGATCGCCGCCTAAGATTATTGGCCTTAAGGTACCGTTTCTCCACTACCAGGTCCATTGCAAATGAATGGTTTGCAGAACACGGAAGACCTATTGGCATGCGAAGTGTTTACCGACGAATGAGAAGTTTTGGCTTGTTTTTCATACCGACCACACTGGGTCCTCCCTTTAACTCGAGAACACCTTACTTAATCGCCTTGAGTGGTGCAGACAACGGTCACTCTGGGATCAGGAATGGAACAGTATTGTCTTTAGTGACGAGTCTCGATTTTGTTTAGGCATGCACGATGGTCGTGCCAGGGTTAGAAGGCGACGTGGTGAAAGGAGGAATCCACAGTTGCAAGAGTCACAATAGACTTCTTTCAACATAATGATATCACATTGTTACCATGGCCACCAAGATCTCCCGACTTATCCTAAATTGAGCACGTGTGGGATATGATGGGTAGGAGATTGCTCAATTTGCAACGTCCTCCTCAGACTCTAGAAGCACTTCGAGAGGAGTTGGTGGTTGCCTGGAATGAGATACCACAGGAGGACATTGACCACCTGATCAGAAGCATGCCTAGGCGCGTTGGAGAATGCGTAGCACATCAGGGTGCATCCACACATTATTAAAGGTCAAAGGGCTTTAAAGCAGTGCAATCATTTTGAAATTTTTATCATTTACTTATTATGCTTCATTAAGTACTTATACAAAATTTTATTAAAATAAAACCATTTAAACTGGGTGTTCGGATTTATATGTCACTTAGTATATAATTTATCCAGCGAACCTACGGGGTAATAAATCATCAGACCGGCACGCGCCTCGTTCCTACTGGTCCGTTTTCAGTAGATAAGCCCCCAAGTTCACAATAGCACATTAATTATTTCCGAAGGTCTGTGGCGTGCGGTTGAATTTTTTTTGTGTGCTTCGTTTATTTTTGTGAGACAACTTTTAAAAGGATATTTCGACATGAGTGCCTTATTAGACAAGGGCCAATTACCAAGAAAACGGACAAAAATAGCTTTGTCGGTTTCTGAAAAATAAACTATTATTTATAATAGTAATAGTTTCGTTTTATATTTATATTGGTATAGCTTCTCGGGAGCGCTATATCCAAATGAAACTCAGGTAGAACGTGTAGCCTTTGTTTCAAGAGCATCAGGTGAGGATTTAGCTTTGAAGTAGGTATAGTTTAAAATGTTTTGTATTTTGATGTATTATTCTAAATAATAGTTATTTTCTGTTAAATATCTTACCCACTAATATGATAGCTACTTCTATTGCACACATTTTAATTTTTAAAACTTATTTTCAACTATTTGTATTATTTATTAATGCATGGTTCATTGAATTAACGAATTTAAAGATTTAATGTCATATTTTAGTTTTGAGATGACCCCCATTCCCACGAGATATATTATACCAGCGAGTTTTCACGAATTTAAAGTCGAGGTTAAGGAGAGCGTACGGTCTCGATGGCTCACATATCTCAGTGATTTTATTTTAAAAAAATAAAATTTCCCTGTGTCTATTAAAAATATAAATTACATCCACTACGCTTTGTAGTTTTTTCTATGATTTTTTAAAATCCGCTCAACTTAGTGGCATACCCTGTATTTTATAGTCTCTCACAGTGCTTTCCATTTTCGTTGGTACACCCGGTATTGGGCTCTTGCCAAGTTGCCATTCTTTAATCAAATCCAAGCGAATAACCAAAATTTCTGTTATGTGCCGCGGTTATAATATGGTTCAAGATGACACACGGGTTGATGACGTCAGTTACACGAATCGCTTGAACGCGTTGGTTTTAACCGCGGTTTTGTTGCAAGTTGTTTATTTTAGAAAAGCGCGTATATAATCTCTGATTATTTTTATTATCACTTAATAATCGGTGCTTTTTCGTCTACAACTGTATATGGAAAGTTTAAATAAGAAACCTTTCATAATATTCATGGGAGAAATGTTTTTTCAGATTTTTTTTTAATGATGGAACCATGGCTTTGTAGCTATTATAACTTTCAATTCTCTAAATTTTTCCGCATGTCAAAGAAGACATTTATTGATTCAGCAGAAATGATGAAAAAAGAAATTAGCAAAACCGTATACAGGTGGATATCATTTAGTGAGTTTATATGGCCATATTTTAATATTCTTGTGGTACACAGGATACGTTGTTAAGCATATGAACTACATTTAAAGTGTCCCCAACAACCGTAATGAGTATAACTAATAAGGTGCTCCACTTTATGGTAAAACTGAAGTCAGCCTGTATCATTTTTCTCAAAAATGAAGCTGAAGTACAATAACAATATCCAATACCCGGCAAAATTCTAACTTGTCACATTTCAAATAATAACCAGAAATATAAAACTACTCTTGAGTTGGGTAAATACCACAGTTTTGCGGTGATAACTATGACATATAACAGCTGATTCGTGACGTCACGGATCTTATAACCAAACTGATAACTACACTCGCTTGAATGGATTGGTAAATACCAACCCAAAATGGTAAATACCATTTCCATTTGGTTATCCGCTTGAATTTGATTTTTTATTCTTTATACTTGTCAAATTAGGTGCGAGTCAAACTTGTCACATGTCAGTAAAAGAAAACATAACCTCATCCTACAAACGTACAATAAAATATTTAAAAAAATACAAAACTTCCTGTGATTAATGTTTAGGATTATAGAAATAAGTGTGTATATGTTGTCTGCGAATAAATAGTTGATAATGTCATCAGTTGGAAACGTAAACAGAATCTTTCGCATCCAAAAATGTCCGTACTCTGTAAAATGTCTTGTAAAACCAGACGAAAATGTACTAAACAGCATAAATAACGGCGTGATAAAGCCCCGAAGACATCCAGGCAGAGTGTTACCGAACTCGGTTTTAACGCCAGAATCATTCGTCAAAGCATCAGTTATCGCTTTGCGAGATTATCCTGTTAAAGCCTTGGTTGAATCTAGTCAATCAATGAATAGACACTTGAGATATAGAGTGGCACCAACAGAGAATGATGATTATAAAGAAATAGCTCAGCAGTTGCAAAATCGTGTTATAGCAAAGCACAGTGATTATGAAATAAAGTCTGAACAAGATGAGATAAGGTTCAGACAGATGGTCAAGGATAAGACTAAGGACTTACTGCGGGCGAAGGTTTACAACTGGAAGCCCATGAACTATGATGCACATAACTCTCTTGTCTATCTTTTAGGTAAGTGCTGATACATATACATACATGATACATGGATTTATATTCAGTAATAGACAAAAGTATATAGACAAATTAATATTGTGCTGTATTTCTTTTTTAACTGGTTTTATTAATACACAAACCTGTATACATAATTCTTTATAGCATAATACTCACTTATACATAAATATATTCATTAGACTTCCTTCAATAAAAAATTAATTGAAAAAAACTGGAACTATGAAGGACAAAAATATATAGACAAAGCAAAACAATTATAGAAAAAACAAGCAAAGTTTATTGAATTATAGAAAACCAACCATGTTTGTGTTAATATTTTGTAGCATAACCATTATTATCAATCATTGGCTGGCATCGTCTCTGCATAGACTGTAGAAGTTTCTTGGTATAAGGTTCATCAATCTGTCTCCACTTTTGCTCTAAAGTGACAAAAAGTTCATCCTTGTTTGAATAATTTTTATCTTGTATTTGCTTATCTAAGTATTCCCATAGATTTTCAATGGGGTTTATATCGGGAGACTGTGATGGCCATTTGAGAACTGGTATTTTTTTCATCCAGAAAGAACGTCTTTGCAAGATTTGAAGTGTCCTTTGGGTCATTATCTTGCTGGAAGATTGATCTTAAGGGCATATTGTCTTCCATATAGGGTAACATGACATGCTTTAGTATGTCTGTGTATACAAACTTATCCATAATGCCATCTATTCTATGTAAAGGTCTCATCCCAAACCCCAAAAAGCACCCCCAAACCATAACAGACCCACCTCCATGTTTGACAGTGGGCAAAGTGTACTTGAGGTTCAATCTTTGTCCACTAGGACATCTAACGTAATGAACACCATCTGATCCAAACATGTTGAAATCATTTAATCTTCTACTTCTGGTTTTTGTAGGAACACTGATAATTCCTTTTGTCATGATTTCGGCTTTTATTAGTCTTGGAGTTATGGGTCTTTGGACGAAATTACTTTTATTAATCTAACTGATCTAGCATTTAGTTTTCTAGGCCGACCACTTCTCTTAGAGGCTTCCAAGATACCTTTTTGTTTATATTTGTTCAATATTCCCCAAACTGCTTTATGCTTCAGCTTCAAATTTTTGGCAATGTTCACTTGATGCTGACCATCTTTGTATAAGTCAATGATCTTAGTTTTCACATCTAAAGAAAGTGCTGGACCACGCGGCATGGTTTTAAAATCACTCAACTTATTCCACAATACTTGATGAACACAAACTAATCCTCTTCTGACACGAAACTGTACTAAACTAATGTTTGAAAAAATTTGTCTACATATTTTTGTCCTTCATAAAAAAGTGCTTATATTCAGACTTTTATTGTGTTCATTGTAGATAACGTAAAAACAAGGAAATTAGTTTTTCTTCTAATAATGCATTTGTTTATGGAGCAATGAAGTATGAATTCGTTTTCTACAGGTATTTAGGTAAATATTCATATTTGTCTATATACTTTTGTCCATTACTGTATATGTATTCTTGGAAGCAGAAGCATATTTTACAATTCAGTGCACTGGGCTTCTTAAGGTTTGCTGCCCCTTAAATGAATGCAAAGCAAAAACTGTCGAGTGAAGCAGCTTAAGCTGTCACTTGAAGCCTGCTGCTTCGGACGATGGCCCTTTTGCCTCTGGGCTAAATACTAAGCGTACTGTTCTCATTAAAAGCAACCTGATGGCAGCTTAACTCTATTTCTTTATTTTTAGGCAGATCTGCAGCAGAATATGCAGTATTGGTGAAAATATTAGGAGAAATACAAGCTAGAGATCCAGAATTTAAACCCAACAGTCTGTTTGACTTTGGTTCAGGCACTGGTACAGCCTCTTGGGCTGCAAATACTTACTGGAAAAACTCTATCTTTGAATACTACAATGTAGATACATCGCGAGATATGAACGATTTGGCCCAACTGCTGCTACAAGGTGGGACATCCACTGGAGTTATGCCCAAGGGAGTTTTCTTTAGACAGTTCTTACCTGCCAGTAACACAACCTATGACCTAGTTGTTTCTGCATATACAATGTTTGAAATGCCTTCTGCACATGATAGGCTATCAAATGTTTTGAATTTGTGGAATAAGACTGAAAAGTACCTGGTTATTGTCGAACAAGGTATAGTAAAACTCATCTGTTCAATACAAAAAAGGTAAACACCTACGTATGTTTATCCGTTTTTAATAATTTTGGCATATACGTTCAGTATCTCTTACTAGTAAAATGATTAAACTTTCAGCTTGATTTGTCAACACTCATTGACACCCCTTGGCATTGTGCTGATAAGGTGGTCGATATCCTGTTGGAGTATCTCATTCCAGGCTACTGCAACTTCGTGAGTAAGAGTTGCTGAAGTCTGTGGAGAGGCAAATTCAAGAGCCTGCGACCTATCATGTCCCAGACATGTTCAATTGGAGATAGGTCAGGGGATCGCGGTGGCCAAGGTAAACGGTTGATGCGGTGTTGATCCATGAAGGCTAACGATGTTCTGGCAACATGCGGTCTGGCATGTGTTGCTGAGAAATCGGGTTTTTGGATGGTGTTTAGGTATGAAATCAGATGAGGCTCCACCACTTACATGAGCAATAGCACCCTATAGCTCGGGTCACGTCTTTCACCACGTCACTCTTGGCCGACCATCGTTCATACCCAGTCAGAAGCGGGATTTGTCACTAAAGACCACCTGATTCCATTCCCGGCCCATAGAATTCTTTCTCTACACCAGAGCAAACGGTTACTCCGATGTTCAGCTGTGCGAGGTAGCACCCATTGTGAGCGATAAGACATACCGTACGCATACCAACCATCCTTCCATGCTCTTTAAACCACTGATTAGCGATGTACTACTGAATTTATCTCTCAGAGCCAGAAGCCTTAACCGGCGGTCTTGTCGCTAGGTGGTCCCTATGGGACGCCCAGAATCCCTCGCTCGCTGTCCTCGGCTTTCCTGAGTCCACGCTCGTTCACACTGCAGTGTACTGAGTAAGGATCTGTTGGCCCTTCTAGAAACTTCTCTTATCGATAGACTGGTAAATGTACGAAAACTGAATGCTTTTTTATCGCCAAACAATACACGCAGCCACTAGAAAAATGTAACAGAAAAACTGGACCATTTTATCACTTCTTGTTCATGGCAAGATAAATCAATATGTAAAAAATTCTGGAATTCCAATAAATATACGTAGGTGTTGACCTTTTTTGCATAATTCTATTTTTGTTTTGAACTTTCAGGTACAAATGCGGGGTTTAAAATTATAAATGAGCTCAGAGATTTCATTCTACAAATACAAAAAGAAAAGAGCAAAGGTCATGTTTTTAGTCCATGTCCTCATGATAACATCTGTCCTAGGTTTGTGTTAGATGATGGAACACCCTGTAACTTTGAAGTAAGTTTTGTATTATGGTGGTGACAGTTTTATACTATTTGCACTAAACCTTTTTTACTGTTGGAGGTCAATCTATTGGAATTCAGTAGTACAGGGTGTAAACGTTACGGTAGTCATTATTGAAATGGGTAATAGTGGGGGGGGGGGGGTCAAAACAAGTCAAAAAGTTCGTGAGACCCATGGTCCAAAAGTCAATAGATTTTTGTCTAAATTTGTGTGCTTTATATCGACCACAATCTTACTAATTTTTATAATCTAATCTAAAACGTTTTTAAATTGGGTAATTAACAAATAAATGGCATTAAGTTTTTCTAAGTTAAGCCAAAATTTTTAGTCAGTAAGTAAATTTCATTAAATTGAATATTTAAAACACACATGACAACAGCGCGTCGGTCATCATCACTCTTATCGAACCTTCAATCGATCGCAAATGGTAACAGTGGTTAGTATACTTCAAGATACAGGAAGTGTTCAGCCCACTAATATTCGCACTCGTAAAAGACGGTTACTGTAGACCAGGAGGAACAAATTTTAAATATCGTGGAAATGTATGCAGATATCAGCATTCGGGAATTAGGCCGCCGCGTAGGACTATCGCATACCATAGTCCATAGAATCCTACGGGAAAATTTGCTTTATCCCTACTATGTACAACGAGTGCAGGCCTTGTTACTAGAAGACTATCCTCGCAGACTAACATTCTGTCAATGGTTTTTGCACAAAAACATTGAAATTCCGGATTTTTTTAAAAACATTCTAGCGACGGACGAGTGTACTTTTACGTGGGACGGGATATTAAATTTCCATAATACTCACACGTGGACCCAAGAAAATCCTCATACCATTCGTGAAGGTCATTTCCAACAACGTTTTAAAATAAATATTTGGGCGGGTATTCTTCACGGCCCTTGCGAGTTACCCCCAAAGTTGTCAGGAGAAGGATACCTTAGCTTTCTAGCCAATAACCTACCAGAACTTTTGGAACAGACCTTAGACAACATGCCATTACAATGGAGACAATTTGTGGTTTCTTCATGATGGGGCACCACCACACATTTTTAGAGGCGTCATTCAATATTTGAAAGAACATTATCCAAATCGCTGGATCGGTCGAAATTCTCCTGATCCTCGAAAATGGCCAGCAAAATCTCCTGACCTCAATCCGATGGATGTCTGGTATTGGGGAGAACTTAAACGGATGGTTTATGGGGCTGGTCCAATAACAACTGAAGCACAACTTCGCGAAAAAAAATTTAATGCGGGTGAAATAATAAATGGACAACTTCGAGGACTTAGAGTAAAAAGAAACTGGGTTCGTCGTAATGAAGCTTGTGTGGAAAGTGGGGGACGACATTTTGAACACCTTCTTTAAATACAAAAAAGTGGAGTGTGGGTTTTAAAAATAAAAAATAATGTATGTATCAAAATTGTGTTCCCTATTTATAAGTGGATTTTTTTAATACGTTCAATAAACTTTCACACACCAGGTAAAGCGCTGAGACAGTTAGTGGTAAGTCCGTTTTTTTAATTATTTGCATTTTACGAGTACATTATCAAATAATGAAATAATACCTAAGAGCCAAAAATAACAAACTCCCTCTTTATTTTCACTGCGTTCCGTCGAATTTACTTCTGGCATTGCGGCGTTGTCAGATTTTATTTGACTTTAAAGTCGCTTTTCTCTAAAAAATGCCGTTTGGACCCCCATGTTATATAAAACTTTTTGCTTCTTTTAACCCCCTGTATCACCCATTTAAATAATGACTATCATAACGTTTACACCCTGTATATTGGAACTGCTATTATTGCTATTATTTTTCCCACAAGAAAAAACTTGGTTTTAACTTCCGTCATATTCTAGGTCAAATACTTCACCCTTCCGATTGGAGCCTCATCTCAACAAAAAAGAGAACTTTATTCTTATGTGGTTTTGAAGAAAGGTAAAAGAAATGAAGAAGAGCCAAAATGGCCAAGGCTAGTGAGACCAACTTTGGTGCGATCAAAACACACCATTTGTAGAATGTGCAGTCCGAATGGGCAATTGAGGGAAGTTATTTTTACAGCTTCCAAACATACTAAGCCAGTTTATCATTGTGCAAGATCAACTAAATGGGGTGATAGGTTACCCATGGAAATTGAAGATTGTATGGAAGGGCCAAATTTAGATGTTGAAGATGAAAATAATAGTAATGAAAAAATGTGAATATATTGTTTTTAAATATTGCGTTGTATTTTATATATTCGAAATAAGTGCTTAAGAGGTTGCATCTCGTAAGTTATTTTTATCTTCTATCCTTTTCCCGCTCTCTGACAGCGTGTAGGTGTGAAGTCATTGGAAATTCCCTCTCGTTTTGTTTTCAAATGGCTCAGTGTGTAGATTATAGATGGCGCTTTAAACTGAGACTGTATAGATACATGACGGTCTTTGGTGATTGGTCAAATAAGCAATTTGAATTTTCAAAAAATTAAAATTTCAAACTTACGTTTGTCTTTTGTTGCTAAGCTAAATCGTCTTGTATTCCGCGTATGGACCAGTGGCGTAGCAAGGGGGCGGCGGTGGTGGTCCGCGCCGGGTATCGCGTTTTTTGAGGTGACAGCTACCCAGTGATTCAACTTTCTCAAAGTTGAATTCCAGACAAGATCGAAGTCTCTTCAAGAGCTAGCTTCATTGTTTGAGATCGTACAAACAAATACAGCAGACGCTCGATAATGTAAACTAATTTAATCCAAGTGTGGTTCACATTATCGAAACATTAGCGAACGTGATTTATATAATATTTGATTTATTAAAAGAAACGTTTAATACATACTATTTATAACAAAATAAACAAATATTCTAACAGCGATAAGTATTTTTTTAATTAAAAGAAAAATAATTAACAATTTTTGTCTGCGTAAATTTGCGCTTAGCATTGTCTTCCAATGCCTGCGCCCGTAATTTACGAAGAACTAAAATATCCGTGTATGAAACTTCTTTTCTTTCAGCCCAATCTAAAGCTTGGTTAAAAACTTGTATAGCTTGCGCGTCAGTCACTACACTTCTGACGTCAATGGGATCGTTCTCATCATCCTCACTGTCCATATCCTCCTCCTTATCAGCATAATTCGTTTGCTTATCTTCGTTCCATAAATTAATATCAGCAGGAGTACAAACAATGTTGGGATTCAATGTTTTCAATAAATCAACAACATCCAATGACACACTAATAACATTATCATTATTGGATCTCAAACTTTCTCTAATTACGCTTAAGGGGACATCGTCTTCTTCATCATCTTCATTATTGGTACAAAAGAGATTGTTCCAACATTTTTGAATAGTTTGCTGGTTAAGTTCATTCCAGGCCATATGTAAATCTAAAACAGCTTCTCGTAATGTTACTTTTTTTAAAGTTTTTTTAAGTTTTCAGGATTCTTTGATAAGACAGACGAAAGTAGAAACTTCCTATAGTATAGTTTGGAGAGTCTTATTACATTCTGGTCCATCGGTTGAATTAACGGTGTTCCGTTGGGCGGCATGTACACGACGAAAATTGACCCATCCCTGCTCCTCAGTTGTTGCTCAGGAGGATGACTTGGTGCCTATCCAATAGTAAAAACGCTTTTATTGGAAGCTTGTGTTATTTTAGGAAACCTTTTACCTACAAATTGAAAACACATCTTCAAATTATGAATAGAGCATTTGTGATAATTGATTGTCATACCTGAGGGACAAAGCACCTGTGGAACCATTTCAGGAATATACTGCTAGTCATCCAAGCGGTTTTTGAACAGTCATAATCAACAGGGATATTAACATTTTTAAATGAGCGCGGATTTTTTGCTTTCCCAATTACCAGTGGCTTTATTTTGTGTGAACCATTAGCATTAGTGCAGGCTAGAAACGTTATTCGTTGTTTCTCCGGCTTTCTTCCCGGGCAGATTTTTCAAATGATGCAACATAGGTTTTCTCTGGTAACATTTTCCAATAAAGGCCACTTTCATCTGCGTTGTAAATTTGTTCCATTCTTAAATCTAGCTCGGTAATTGTTTTCATCAATTTTTCTTTGAATGGTTGCACTAATTGTGGTTGTGCTGATAATTTTTCACCAGATATAGACAGCAGTCGAATTCCATATCTTGTTTTGAATCGTTGTAGCCAGCCATCACTAGCTACGAAATTTTCAGTTTCAGTTTTTCATTTAACAGTCTCGCTCTCTGTTTAAGTACTTCGCCACTAACTGGAACATGATTTTCCCGTTGTTTTAAAAACCACTTATACAGGGAATTTTCCATTTTAGGTGCCTTCGCATTTTTTTAAGTTTTTCTTTTTCCCGGACCTCCAAAGTTATTGCACGTTCTTTGTAAAATTTGAGTTTTCATACGCTTAATTTTACAGATTGTTGCTTTCGATACTCCATATTTTTTTGCTAACTGTTTCACTCCCGCACCTAGTGCAACTTTGTCTATGATTTTCACTTTCTCACTCAACTTTAAACACTTTCTTTTATAGGATGTGGATGCCATAGTCGTAAAATATATTAACGCGTGCAATGTATTCACTTAAGTTCAAAAATGAAATACATACGTACGTATAAACGTATCCTAAACGATCATACGACTGACCAGGTTTGTCGTATTTTATCGCAGAGGTGAATCCCTTACACTCTACATCATAAATCGGGGACTCGCCGACACCCGACATAAATTATCGAGGCTTCAGCATTTTACCGTCGCGCTGTTTCCGTGCGCCGAGAGTTGTTTACGTTATCGAGCGTACACATTGTTTACGTTATCGCGCGTTCCGTTTGATCCTATAGAACGAAGTTTGTGTTTACATTAGCGCAAGTTTTCATTATCCCGTGTTTACGTTATCGAGCGTCTGCTGTACTTTGCTTTTGAGGAATACTGGAGAACTGAAATTAGCTACATCGAAATTTACTGATTTCTATGAAACAGAATTACTTTTGGGGATACCATGACTCCGAAGACACTTAAAAGCCGCTAATGTCACAGTTTCTGATTGGGTATCTCTAGATAGAAGTATATTGTGGAATGGGATTTTACAGAATCTCTTCCAAATCTCATGATGGCACTAAAATTTTTCATGATGGTTTGCGTGTCCGTAGCTTCATGTGAAAGGAGTTTCAGTAAGCTAAAATTAATAAAAAACTATTTACGCGCCACAATTATCCGCTCGAGGCTTAGCAATCTTGGCATATTACACGAGGCAATATAAATTTTGATGAAGTTATTTCTGAGTTTGCAGCTGTCAAAGCTAGACAAAAGATTTTAATTGTGTGATATAAATACTTTTGTGTCTTAGTTTTTATTGTGTTTTGTTCAATATTTTAAATAGAAATATTAAATAATCCATGACGTTTATAAATCATATAATTTTTTTTTAATTTCGATGGGGTGACACCAACTTCCGCAACGGGTGCCACCCAAGGTAGCTACTCCAGTGCTTACTTTTATTCTTCGTCTTATCTCATTTTCCTGCTTTGTCAGCTGTGGCGTCATTAGAAATTCCCGCTCGTTTCGTTTTCAAATCCCAAATTAGCAATTTGAGTTTAAAGAGAATCTGAATTTCAAGCTTACGTTTCTCTTTTGTTGCCAAGCTAAATCGTCTAATATTCCGCGTGGGACCTAAACCTTAAATAGCTTTGATATGACGTACAGCTTTCAAAAATTTGCTGTACATTTATAAATCACAGTTTTCGTAGATAATTAATCGATCAAACGAACTTACCTGTGAAGTTCGATCGTAATTATATAAGGAGTCCACTCCGAAGATATTTTACAAGGTAGTAGGTGTCGACACCGAAGATATTTTACAAGGTAGTACGCCCCTGGTGTACTACCTTGTAAAATATCTTCGGAGTGGACACTGAAATATAATACAACTTCATATGTATAAAAAATTTGTGCCATGACGACAACTATATGTTTCCTTGTCTTAATTTCTACCAATCACAACCGCGCAATTTTGATTTACGAATGGTTTCTAGATGAAAAAATTGTATGACAGTACCTGTCAGCATTTTTTTCCAGTTTACCCGCGGCAAAACTTGACAGCTGCTGTCACCAAAAATTATGTATTTAGGTGAATGATCTTGAAGTGCGTGTATGTATATTTTGGTTAATAGTATGAATTTTTAACTAATGTCTAGATCTCTCATCTCATCCATACTTGCAAGAGAAAATGTTTGAAAATTATCAGATCCGTCCTCATGCCTGCGGTTCTCGGTTTTATAGCCGTTTTATGCCTATCGGCAAAAAATGTAAACGAATACAATATCGTTGTCTTCTACTATACAACGTTATTAAAATTCTCATTTATTTAAAAAAACCTAGGATGTCAACCCGAACACACAAGTGATGAATATGCAACGCTCACAGATATCCTGTTTTCCTCAGAAGAGTTGAAAGTAGACCTTATTTCTACTTTGAACACACTTGACACCCACGTGATGCGTGTAAGTTCTGTACCTCGCTGCGGCGATACGGTACGGCCGGGCAGTACAGCCTCGCCCCTTTCCAGCTCCCACTTCGCCCGTCTGCTCCCGGTCAACGTAAACATCGAGTCGCTTCACGATACTGGCAGATAAGAAAACGCAGACGCGTGGAGTGGGAGCTGGAAAGGGGCGTGGCTGTACTACCCGGCCGCACTGTATCGCCGCAGCGAGGTACAGCACTCACCTGCTTCAGTCTCTCGGCAACTGTCGGCGTAGCGGAATGTCCACGCGTTCACAGCTGCGTGCTGACCTCTCGGTTAAGCTATTTTTTTTAGTAGTGGTGTCCACTATAGGGTTCTCGATTTTCTCTCCTTGGTGTTTTTGTGTTGTGACGTGGGTGTTAAGTGTCTCCAAAGTGGAAATTAGGTTTACTTCCAACCCTTCTGAGCGAAACAGGATACATGTGCAGCAAAGTAGGTGCGCCTTGCATATTCATCTACTTGTGTGTTAGGGTTGACATCCTATGTTTATTAAATAATTGCGCACATTGCATACACTGAGAGATTAGTCATATACTAAGGTATTTGGGAAAAACTAAAATTTGGCTAAATCGTTTTTATTTTTGTCCGGGTTTATTTTGAGAAATGTCAAAAAACTAATGGCACTACATGATGGTGTTTTTAAACATTTAAAAAATTACGACCCTGTATCTAATAGCATCTTTTTCTACAACTTACGTTACCTTTGTTTTTTTCAAGTTATAAACAAAGGTGTTTTTTCTGTTTTTCATTTTATTCAAGTAGACGTTGCAAACAAATGCTTGGTGTAAGATTGTGTGATTACTGAATTTAACCTAGTCTGATCCTTATCTTGACCACCCTATACATTATTATAAAAAAAATCACAGAGATGTTCACTAATCTAACGTTCTTATAAGTATTCTTATGTACTTACATTCATTTCTGAAAAATCTCAAAGCTATTAGCAACAAAGTGTTGCGCAACGACTTCGGCAAAAATTTTCCTACGCATAGTCTTCTAGCGTCTAGTAGAATACATTTCAACAGTTGGCTTGCGTGGCCATGTTATATTTACCCGGACTGAAGGTATTTGTTAGATCATTACGACTTTAGGGATTTCTGTTTGTACTCAACAGTCACAAATGTGGAATGCTATGAAACATTGATGAAGTAAGAGTTGAAGGCGCTTCATTCCACTACAAACCCATGGTGATCAGAGATAGATAGAATATAGATTCATCTGCTACTCTTTTCTCTTCAGAGCATATATCTCGACAACTGAGTGCTTCAGGACAATGGCTAATGTGTTTCACAATTATGGCTAATGTAATTTTATGTCAAATTGAGTGATTTATAAAGCTGTTAGTATTGGTATTCTGTAGTTGATATGAGAAACTCTCGACAATTTCCATAGATTTCAATTTTGAATATGAACTTCAACATAAAGGGTTTTGATACTTTAGTAAATATGATACATGATGCTGTAAAAATTCCTAAATTATATAATTATATTATATACTTTTTGTATTCTAATTATCACTGTTATGGAAGTATATTCTAAAGTATAGATTCTTTTACTGTTGTCAACATTTCAAATAGCTAGGATATATGGATGATTTTATAATGGCCTGTGTTATTGACGCAGCTACTTTAACAGAAGGACTATCTAGTTGTCCAAACAGCAAAAATATGTTAATAACACATGTGACATGTCGTTATAAAGTCTTCCATATATCATTAGTAAATGTCCAATTTATAATTATACAAGACTCTCAGATTTATGCACAGAGCCGGCAACGTCGCATGTGGCGTTCCTGCATAATCTGGCATCCAGAAAAAACGGCTATTGACACTGACATAAATCGACCGTTTGGTCCTATGGATAGGACGTGACTAAACCTTCTTCAGTGTATATGTTTTGTGATATTCGAAAAACATGCGTTCTTTCTGACGGACCCTGTACAATCAGCGTTGACGGCACGTTGTCAGTCCTGAGTCCTATCCTATGGGGTCTGTTCCTTGCAAACATAACTGTCGGGTAGGGCACATTTTCTGGAATTACTGATTACTGATTTTAGGAACTTTTACTTACAGATATATTTATAATGTGTAACTCTTGTTTAATCTATGCGAAGCATATCAATTTTAGGTTTCATTTAAACCGCTCCCACACGATATGGCGAATGCCTTACAACATTGGACACATGGCAATTCGGCACATCGTGTGGGAGAGCGCTGACGGATTGCATGTGTCCAACGTTCACTACGTGGCACGTTCGGGCTCTTGTCGGTAAATTTGACCCGCGTGAAAGGACGTTACAACGTTGGAAGCCTGGTTCGTTATGCCCCCATAAGAGATTTTAGGTCAGAACCAGTGGCGGCGACAACATTATTTATTTGTTTCCTGTCATTATGGTGAAGTAGTAGTATGTGGGAGGTATTTTGATATGAATACCTGCCTATTCATTAATAATGTATGTTCAGCAACTAACTTTTGAGAAGAATGAATTAAATTAGTATACATACAAAACGTAGGCTGTCATAACAGCACTTTTTTCATATTGCCAATATTTTGAACGTTCGCAGGTGAGTTATGGCTGGCCTAAGGATATGTATTTTAATAAATTATAAATTATCAAGTGCTTACAGTTGTTTCATTATAATGTCCTGTTGCAATGCAAGACTAGTTGAGAAAATATTGACTTGCATTTCATAACTAACAAAAATTATTAAAGAAATGATAACTCTGAAGGTACTATCACGATTTTGATGGAATTTTGACCCTAGGTTACTACTACGGAAAGCTCTGCAGTTTTTGAATATCGGTACAGTGGCGGTGGAGCTGTCGTCAAAAAACGGTCAAACTTCGTTTTTCGACATTTTTGAGGCTTCTGACAGACCTAAGTCTTGATCGCTGAGGACAGATCTGAAACTACTTTTCGGCGCTCGAAAAAATTGTTTCATCGTTCATTTTGTATAATTTTTCCTTCAGTTGTAATGGCGCGACACTGACACCGATAATAGACGTTGGCACCACCATGCGGCGAACTTCGGAGACTAAAAAGTTCATCCCATCGTGTAGGAGATACACTTGCCAATGGTCGGGTGTCGAACGTTGTAAACAACGTTGGAAGCATCGTGTGGGACCCGCATTAGGTAGTCTGCACTGTTCCAGTAAATTTTACTCTGAAACAATAATGGAACAAGCCTACGGAAAGTTCGAGAACTATTATGTGTTCTGTGGCGAGAAGACAGATGTCAAAATTCTGGAAATTTTTATTTTTAAAGCCGGAGAAGAAAATCAGTTGAATTTGAATAAACTCAAAGTGTTAATAATCAGAGTGAACGGTGGTGATTCACGAACGTAAAAGTGGATTTAAAATGGTATTTAGCTTATGTGTTTCAGGACGGCCTATATAATACATAAATTAATTTCCTATACCTCAAATTGTTTACATTTCTATTAAAAGGGTTTCTAAAAAGCTTTGAGGTGCTCTGCTACCTACCAGGCTAATATTTCATATTTGTAAATGGTGCATGCAAAGGAACTCGAAGAGTCTGGCATGCCTATGAACGATGTTCAGTCATTGATAAATCAACAAACTGGATTCTGTAAGTAGCCTAACCTTTCTCCTGTACACGTCTTTGATTTTTAAATTCTTCCAGCTAAATGGAGACAATCAGATGCACCGATCAAAAGGCTAAGGTGCAGTAAAAAAGACTCGTATACTCACCTGCTATCACAAAGAGAAGACAGTGTTCTGTATAGGGATACTCCAATATTTACTTGTAAATTTTCACCCCAGCAGAATCATGAACATCTTTTAGCATTAGCAAATGAAGATGGAAAGTTGGCTGTGCATGATAGTAACACAGACGAGAGGTAATTGCTTTATACCCCAATTGCAACAAATTACCTGTTGACATTTTGTATCAGTGAGGGATAAATGCCTAGTCATTCCTCAAGGCCTCCTCAATACTTTCACTGCTCGCTTCTATGATGCAGAGTAACCCAGATGTGGCTGTATTTTTTTCTAAAATTTTTATTTTTTAGGCTTTATAATTGTCTAAGTATATATATGAGCCCCTTCCCACTTCAGTTGGCCCACTTCAAGATTTGTACCAAATAAACTAAACATGACAAAACTATTTATTTCTAAAACAATTTATTTTCTCAATAACATTTTAGGTACACTCTAGTCATAAAAAATACATATTTGAAATCTCTTAGGCCCGTATAGTCAGTCGTCCCTACAATTGTAGGGCGCGTTTATGGCCTCCTTGATTGTCATAGTTTTCTACTTCTTTGTGTCAGCGCTCTATTTTGAGGTTATGTCACAAACATCTATTTGCATCAAATTGTGTAAAACAATCCCGTATTTCTTGAAGTGTTTGTCGCATTTCGGTGATTGTACGAGCAGGATGTTGTCCTGGAACCTTTTTCATCTCGTGCCACAAAGTTTCACCCATTTCAAAAGTGGTACATTATTTTCATCCATCCATTTTATACCCTTTTTTGAGGTATGGCACGCTGTACCATCTTGCTGAAACAGAAAATCTTGGCCGGATGTCAAACATTCTTCCATCACTGGTAAATGTGAATCTTCTAAAATTGCTAAATATTTGTTTGTATCCACATTTCCATCAATAACATGAAGTTTTCCTACTCCTTTTGATCACATACTGCCCCAGAGAATAATGGATGCTGGAAATTTCACTTTTCTCTTCAGGCAGTCAACATGGAATGCTTCATTTTTTTTGCGTATAACTCTACTGCGACTGTCACCAACACAAACTTCTCACCACTCCATTGTATTGCACACCATTGTTGAGGTGTCCATTGTCTATGTTCTTTAGCCCATCTAAGCCGATTTTTCTTTTGCAGTCGAGTTAATAGTGGCCTTTCTTTGGCCTATGAACAAGTTGTGCCACTTTAGGGTTTTTACTTCACTTTTTTTTATAAGGAAACATACCTTGCAAGTGCTAAATCCCAGTTTGTGGGCCTCTCTATGAGTTGTGGACCTCGAAATTCTCCTTCCAACAGTGTCACTCCACAGAGCACTTAATTGTAAATAATTGGCACGCCTGTTTTTCACGATTATTCTTCTTAATGCTCTTCGGTCGGCATTTGTGATATTACTTTTTTTCACATATCGTGGCTTAATACTAACTGAACCAGTTACATTATATCTTCTATCAATACTTCTCACACTGTACCAGGATAAGTCTAACAAAGTTGCAATTTCTGAGTTTGATTTCCCAGAATTAAAAAATTATCAGTAACCGAATTTTCTCATTAATAACTTTTCCTGTACCCATTTTGAAAACCTTAACTACCCAAAACTATTTTAAACATATTCTGACAACTGTGATTAATAAAAACAATTGTCTTGGCTTTTATTTCTCACAGCCACCTATGCGTTATAGACTTATTTTGCATTGAAATGAAAATAGGTTGATATGCTGTAATTGCAACATGTGTTATTTTTATGCTGCAAATTTGATTAGGGAGTGATAAAGTTGGTGTTTTCTACTATATATTATCAAAATATTCATTGTTAATATTTTAAATCTATAACAGCCTGCTACATTTGTGTTTGATAAGAAAAAAACTAAGATTTCAATAGTTGGGCCAACTGAAGTGGGAAGGGGCTCGTATATATATATATATATATATATAGCATGTGTGTCATTATATTTTTTTCTGTTGGAAAGGTTTTATAAAGCCAAATTTATAGAGAAAATGGTCAGATGTAACGCAAGTGTGATTAGCAACTGGCCAAAAAACTGAATGTCACTTAAGCGTGACATCGGCAGTGAAAGTGTTTATATATAATGCCAATGCAAATATTGGATCTACAGTTTTTACTTCCATTTACAATTAACTTTACTCGTTTGAGTATGTTATTCATTCATAACTGTTTACCATTCCAAGGTATGGTATCCATGCCCATAACAATGCAATTTTTGACTTGGCCTGGATGTTCAATCAGATGAAATTAGTGACTGCCTCAGGAGATCACACATCAAAGCTGTATGATATTGGTAATGGAGAAATCAGAGAAGAAAAAGTATTTTGTGGTCATACAAGATCTGTTAAAACTGTAGCTTTTAGGAAGGATGATACCAGTGTTTTTGCAACAGGAGGTAATTATTATGCATGTGTCTTGTTATCTTTGAGGTACATTTTTTGCTACAAAAGGAATGTAAAAGAGTAGAGTTGCTCAACTTTCATTCATTGTCCATCAAGATCAAGCCTACACCAGGTTTCCATGCTTGACTATGTGTGGTCAGACAAATGAAAGCTATATTACTAATTTTTTTTTAAACCATTATTACAACATATTTTTACCAAAATCAATTTACAGATTTTGATGAATTGGTAGTAAATGTTCTTCTCCAGTAGACTAGTGTATTTATTGTTTGCATTACTTTTTTTTATTTACACCATAATATTACTAGTCTTTCATAAGAAATGCTGTTAGTCTTGTACTGCTAGCATTAAAGCAACAGCAAAAAGCCATGCTCAATTCTTTCATTGACGGCGGCGTAGGTAAATCTGAAAAATATTTTGCAGGAAGAGATGGAAACATCATTGTATGGGATACCAGAACTGATATTAATAGTTTTGTAGGAAGAGCTGACAGAACAATATCAAATTCGCATACTGCAAAAATATTTACGCCGACTAAATCAAGAAGGAAGTTCAGTTCACCAACACCATCAAGTGTCAAATCTGTCACTGGTTTAGCCTTCCAGGGAAACAATACACTAATATCGTGTGGTGCTGGGGATGGCATTATAAAAATTTGGGATCTCCGAAAGAATTATACAACGTATAAAAAGGAGGCGGCACCTAAAAGCGTTATACCATATCCAGGAAATACCACTAAAAATGGATATAGCAGTCTCATCATTGATAATGAGGGCATTAGGTAAGAAATACCATTTATAATATTTGAATGTTATTTTGATTGTGGATTATTTTTCAGAATATATGCAAATTGTCTAGACAATACAATATATTGCTACAATGTGGCAACTTATCCTACTGAGCCTGTGATGAGGTACAGAGGCCATCAAAACAGCACTTTTTATGTAAAATCGTCTCTTGGTAGAGATGGCGAGTATCTAATTAGTGGTAGTAGTGATGAAAATGCTTATATTTGGAGTACAAAACATTCTTTGCCTTTGGTTAAACTTTCAGGTATGTCAGTCAATTATTATTCACTGTATATATTAGCGCTAGTATGCTGGAAAATGCATCTGACAACCTAGTAGAAACATGGTCAGAAATGGCATTATGTAAAATGACAAAAGTATTAATCTTACCAAGGTTTATACCGAAACTAATCAGTTGCGAATATCTGTATTTTACAGTCCAGGATACAAATTCCGACAATTATTTTTTTCATCCAGACAAGTCTTTTTAGGTTTTTTGGCTGATTCTAAACAAAAAAGGTTCTGACGAACTTTTCTCTAAAGTTGATAGTTTTCGAGATATAAGCAATTTAGTATTTGAATAAGGTGCAAAATATGCCATATTGCGCATCGAAAAACAATATGAAGAACGAACATTTTAATCTTGCCAAAGTACCTAAATATCCATTTCACATGAATGAAAAAAACCCCTCACCATTTTAGGGGGTATCGTTTTTGTAAACCATTGTTTTTCATTGTTAATTAGAGGTTCACGCAGAATATACGTTGAGTGCGAGTTTGATTAACATTCAAAAACAAAGGCTTACAAGTACGATACACCCCAAAATGCTTTTTGATCTTGTTGATGGATGTTTGAAGGATATCTAGGAACTTTAACAACATTAGAATTTTCGTTTTTTCATATTGTTTTTCGGGGTCAAAAATGGAACTTCTCCAAATATTAGATTGCTTGCATTTTGAAAAGTTATAATATACAGCAGACGCTCGATAACGTAAACACGGGATAATGAAAACTTGCGCTAATGTAAACACAAACTTCGTTCTATAGGATCAAACGGAACGCGCGATAACGTAAACAATGTGTACGCTCGATAACGTAAACAACTCTCGGCGCACGGAAACAGCGCGACGGTAAAATGCTGAAGCATCAATGATTTATGTCGGGCGTCGGGGAGTCCCCGATTTATGATGTAGAGTGTAGGGGATTCACCTCTGCGATAAAATACGACAAACTCGGTCAGTCGTATGATCGTTTAGGATACGTTTATACGTACGTATGTATTTCATTTTTGAACTTAACATCCTATAAAAGAAAGTGTTAAAAGTTGAGTGAGAAAGTGAAAATCATACACGAAGTTGCACTAGGTGCGGGAGTGACACAGTTAGCAAAAAAATATGTAGTATCGAAAGCAACAATCTGTAAAATTAAGCGTATCAAAACTCAAATTTTACAAAGAACGTGCAATACATTTGGAGGTCCGGGAAAAAGAAAAACTTTAAAAAATGCGAAGGCACCTAAAATGGAAAATTCCCTGTATAAGTGGTTTTTAAAACAAGGGGAAAATCATGTCCCAGTTAGTGGCGAAGTACTTAAACAGAGAGCGAGACTGTTAAATGAAACTAAACTGAAAATTTCGTAGCTAGTGATGGCTGGCTGAAACGATTCAAAACAAGATATGGAATTCGACTGCTGTCTATATCTGGTGAAAAATTATCAGCACAACCATCAATTAGTGCAACCATTCAAAGAAAAATTGATGAAAACAATTACCGAGCTAAATTTAAGAATGGAACAAATTTGACAACGCAGATTAAAGTGGCCTTTATTGGAAAATGTTACCAGAGAAAACCTATGCTGCATCATTTGAAAAATCTGCCCCTGGAGAAAGCCGGAGAAAGAACGAATAACGTTTCTAGCCTGCACTAATGCTAATGGTTCACACAAAATAAAGCCACTGGTAATTGAGAAAGCAAAAAATCCGCGCTCATTTAAAAATGTTAATATCTCTGTTGATTATGACTGTTCAAAAACCGCTTGGATGACTAGCAGTATATTCCTGAAATGGTTCCACAGGTGCTTTGTCTCTCAGGTATGACAATCAATTATCACAAATGCTCTATTCATAATTTGAAGATGTGTTTTCAATTTGTAGGTAAAAGGTTTCCTAAAACAACAAAAGCTTCCAATAAACGCGTTGTTACTATTGGATAATGCACCAAGTCATCCTCCCGAGCAACAACTGAGGAGCAGGGATGGGTCAATTTTCGTCATGTACATGCCGCCCAACGTAACACCGTTAATGCAACCGATGGACCAGAATATAATAAGACTCACCAAACTATACTGTAGGAAGTTTCTACTTTCGTCTGTCTTATCAAAGAATCCTGAAAACTTATCTGAGGCTTCAAAAAAAGTAACATTACGAGAAGCTGTTTTAGATTTACATATGGACTGGAATGAACTTAACCAGCAAACTATTAAAAAATGTTGGAACAATCTCTTTTGTACGAATAATGAAGATGATGAAGAAGACGATGTCCCCTTAAGCGTAATTAGAGAACGTTTGCGATCCAATAATGATAATGTTATTAGTGTGTCATTGGATGTTGTTGATTTATTGAAAACAGTGAATCCCAACATTGTTTGTACTCCTGCTGATATTAATTTATGGAACGAAGATAAGCAGACGAATGATGCTGATAAGGAGGAGGATATGGACAGCGAGGATGATGAGAACGATCCCATTGAAGTCAGAAGTGTAGTGACTGACGCACAAGCTATACAAGTTTTTAACCAAGCTTTAGATTGGGCTGAAAGAAAAGAAGTTTCATATTTTAGTTCTTCGTAAATTACGGGCGCAGGCATTGGAAGACAATGCTAAGCGCAAATTTACGCAGACAAAAATTGTTAATTATTTTTCTTCTAATTAAAAAAATACTTATCGCTGTGAGAATATTTGTTTATGTTGTTATAAATAGTATGTATTAAACGTTTCTTTTAATAAATTAAATATTATATAAATCACGTTCGCTAATGTAAAAATTTCGATAATGTGAACCACACTTGGATTAAATTAGTTTACATTATCGAGCGTCTGCTGTATATATTTTTGGCTAATTGATTATGCAAACAACTGGTCCGTTACGTTTGTTAATGTCTTGTCATTGAAATCTAAGTCAGTTGCATTTTCCCTCCATTTTGCCAGATGGGTCTCCCTCCATATAAAAGCACGATATAGCGCCTGTGGCCATTGTATGGTACCAATTTTATTTATTATATGTTTCATAACACCTGTGATATGATCTGAAAGTGCGTATAATAGATACTTTTTTAGGGCATACAGCTGAAGTGACTTGTGTCGCGTGGAGTGACAAAAACTTTGTACTGATCACTTGCTCAGATGACATGACTCACAAAATCTGGACGATTGGTCCGGAAGAGTTGCCCGATGATTGGGACGTGAATGGTAGGGGATGTGCAGAGGTTGTTCCTATTGTTAAAAATACTGAACGAAATTTCACATTGAAGAGGATACTTGAGGAAGTCGAAGTCTCTACGCCAAAAAGAATGCTTCTTCAATGTGAAAGGTAAGATCTCCAACAAAAAAGGTTTGTGTTACTGAGAAGTAATATAAAGTTGACGACGGTATATATATATTTTTCTGCCTCTCTATCACACACTTAATAGTATGATTATTTTTTGATTCAGCTTCGAATGATTGAAACTAGTTTATCTGTATGGATGAAATACTACTCAAGTGCACCAGCAACTTTTTCACTTAATTGCCACAGTGGTAATACCTGATTCTCTCATACGAGGAATGTCTTTTAAGTTTTTGCATATGGAATACACGGTAGGTAGTTTTAAATGACTTCATTGTTTTTCGAAGTATTCTCCACGAAGATTAATACACATCTGCATGCGCTCGAACCAATTTTCGAAGCACTTATTCCACTCGTTTGCTGGCAGATCCAAAACGGCATTTTTGAATGCGTCAACTACTTCGTCTGGTGACTGGAACCTTTGACCACGCAGTCTGTTTTTAATTTTCGAGAAAGTAAAGAAATCGTTAGGACTTAGATCGGGACTATATGGAGGATGGTCCAATAATTCCACGTTTTCTTCCGTTAAATACTGCCTTGTTTTTTGGGCTGTGTGCGAGCTTGCTTTGTCTGGTGGAGGATGATTCTTCTTTCGGGGTTGACTTTTCGAAGCTCGGTGATGACTTTTGGCAAACAAATGGTGGTATACCAATCCGCAGTTACAGTTCTTTGCTCATTAAGAGGAATTACTTGCAATATGATCCGCTTTTGACACAAATGTCGCGACCATCGTTTTCGAAACACTTCGAGAACGGATGACTTTTGTTGGCTTTTCTTCACCTTGGAACACCCAAACAGCCGAACTGTCGTTTATTTTCTGGTTCATAGCAGTAAATCCACGATTCATCACCACTAACAATGATGTACACATTTTTTGAGGTTTCCGAAATTGAAACGGTCAAGCGTTTTTTGACACCAATTAACCCTGGCTGCTTCTGCTCTTTTGTCAATAGGTGGGGTATCCAACGAGAAACTAATTTTATTACTCCTAATTCTTCATGTACAATTATTTGAATTGAGGTCTTTGAGATATTCAAGGACGCCTCAATCTCGCGATATGTCACATGTCTATCTTCAGTGATGAGTTTGCGCATAGCATCGACGATTTCCTGGGTGACTGCCGTTTTTGGTGCACCGACCCTGGGATCGTCGCTAAGACTCACCCGTCCACGTTTGAATTCTCCATACCAATCGGAAATTGTCGATGTGGCGCTTCGCTGCCGAAAACAGACAGTAATTCAGCAAGGCATTCTTGTTGCGATAATTGTCTCTGAAAGTTGTAATAAATTATGGCGCGAAAATGTTCTCGGTTGAGTTCCATTTTTCTAATGACTTGGTGACACTTAAAAAGTCACTGTAGTGAGAAAACTGCACGAATTGTTGTGAAACTTTGAATTTAAGTTTACTAAACAGTGAGGTTAAGAATCAGTACTGACTTGAACACCTCGCAAAAATGCAAACATACTCTAATTGATAACATTTGCAGGTGTTCGGGAGTTTTTACAACATCATGCAAAAGTTGTCCTTCGTCGAAACGGAAAAGTGATACTAAACTGGACAATGAAAACGTAGCAACTCACACCGAGTTCGGGCCCAAACGCTTGTTCGTCAACAGTACCAATGTAGCCACCACAAATGAAAATGAGACTGAAAGTTCAGCTACAGCTATGTCTAAGACTTCCGATTTCAATGAATACGAGCCGCCGTGCAAAATGTCTCGAATAGGTGACTTTGAGATGCCAAACAACCATAAGGTGATCATAGAAGATATATCCGAGGACACTGGGTGTGTGCCGCTGTCGGTTATCAAAGACGATTCAAATCAACAGACTAGACTTAATAGGGACATGAATGACGATATGGATTACGAACCGCCTGCGAAGTGTCCGAGAAACAACATCGAAAATTCCCCAACTGTGAATCTTCCTAATTACATTGTAGATGGAGTTGCTCCGCATTTGAATTACTCTCCACCGAAGAAAAAGAATCATGACTGGCTGACGAGGCTCAGGATAGAAAATCAACTTCGAAGGTATGTTCTGGTAGCCTTTTACTTTTTGCGCTATAAGTAAATTAAGTCTCGGGTTTTTCACGGGTTTTGGTGAGTATGTATCATTTTCATATGACGGTACCATGCGCTGAGCTTAACTTTTCTAAAAGTCCGGGCAATATCTTCGCATCTGATGGAACAAATTTTCGGTATCCGATCTTTTGCATAATCTTGATTCTAAATTTGCGTCAAAATATTTTTTTTGGGTCATTCCTAACAAAACAGCTACCTTGGAATTCTCTAAAGTTACGCGGAAATACTCGAGTGCGTCAGATGTTGGTACTGTATATGCCCCACTTGTCTTTGTGGATTCTTGGTATAAATCAACAGGTGTTGTCTTTAATCAAATTGCCAACGTTTCGGCGTTTATTTTACGCCTTGCTTAGTGTAGTGTAGTAATGTTAAAAAATGCGTTAAAAAATCAAAGTTGTAAAACAATGAAGTTGAAAAGGCCAGTTACAAAGAATCACTAAGAAAATAGACAAGAATACGAAAACTACAGATCAAACAAACCAATGACAATAAACTTGTGTACATATTAAAAGTTATCATATGATAATTCAGCAAGTAAAAAATGTTTTCTTAGCCAAATCGTTCTTATCTTTTTACATAACAATGCTGCGAACAAAAAAAAGACACTGACGACCTTAGTCAGATTTATAACTTCTTCACCAAGAACTTTATTTGAATTAAACACTAAGCAGTGTAATGTTCTCTCAGAATTGATGATTGCTCCTCGTATACATATATCTGAGAGCAACAGTCCAAAAATGCAGTCGAACTGACATTTTTTTTCATGTTCTATTTATTTTCATTGTTGACCTGAGGGGTGGTTGTTTTCCTTGGGATGTGTTTTGCATGTGCCATTCAACAGGTAAGGACGTTTTGGTTGCTACAGTTTTGCATACTTGTTCGTTGTTGTTTTTAAATCTGGTTTTTAATACGCTTCTTCATAATGTCCCATTTTAAAGAAAGCATTTTTAATTTGTTGGAGCCTGAATTATCATATAACTTTTAATATGAACGCACGTTTATTGCTATCGTTTTTATATGTTTGCTATGTAGTTTATATACTAAGTGACATATAAATCCGAACACCCAGTTTAAATGGTTTTATTTTAATAAAATTTTATATAAGTACTTAATGAAGCATAATAAGTAAATGATAAAAATTTTAAAATGATTGCACTGCTTTAAAGCCCTTTAACCTTTAATAATGTGTGGATGCACCCTGATGTGCTACGCATTCTCCAACGAGCCTAGGCATGCTTCTGATCAGGTGGTCAATGTCCTCCTGTGGTATCTCATTCCAGGCAACCACCAACTCCTCTCGAAGTGCTTCTAGAGTCTGAGGAGGACGTTGCAAATTGAGCAATCTCCTACCCATCATATCCCACACGTGCTCAATTGGGGGTAAGTCGGCAGATCTTGGTGGCCATGGTAACAATGTGACATCATTATGTTGAAAGAAGTCTATTGTGACTCTTGCAACATGTGGTCGGGCATTATCTTGTTGGAAAGTTGGATCTGCCAGGGTGTCAAGATAGGGTAAAAGATGGGGTTCTAGAACCTCGTGGATATAACGCTGCGCGTTCATGTTACCTCTGATGAAGATTAAAGGTGACCTGGAACCATAAGCTATAGCACCCCAAACCATAACTCCAACAGTGTGATGAACATGTCTTTCAAAAAAAACTGTGGATTCCTCCTTTCACCACGTCGCCTTCTAACCCTGGCACGACCATCGTGCATGCCTAAACAAAATCGAGACTCGTCACTAAAGACAATACTGTTCCATTCCTGATCCCAGAGTGACCGTTGTCTGCACCACTCAAGGCGATTACGTTGGTGTTCTCGAGTTAAAGGGAGGACCCAGTGTGGCCGGTATGAAAACAAGCCAAAACTTCTCATTCGTCGGTAAACACTTCGCATGCCAATAGGTCTTCCGTGTTCTGCAAACCATTCATTTGCAATGGACCTGGTAGTGGAGAAACGGTCCCTTAAGGCCAATAATCTTAGGCGGCGATCTTTACGGTCTGTTGTTCTACGGCGGCGTCCAGTGCCCCTTGCTCTTTGCGTACGGCCTTCTCGAAGCCATGCCTGACAACACCTAACCACAGTGTCTACACTTATTTGCACTCTAACTGCAATTGCCCGAAAAGAAAGTCCAGCTTCCCGAAGTCCCACTATACGGCCCCTATCAAACTCACTAAGTTGACGAAATCGTACAGGTCTCCGTACTCTAGGCATCGTAACCGATCGTAAAGGATGTCAAGAACCAAAATCCGCCAACGTTGATTCTTTACTGCGGCTGAAATATTCATTTTTAGAGAGTTAGTGAATTAAAAAAAAAGCAGTATAAAAACCGGAATGTCCAACTGATAAGGCTGAACATTTTTTCACTTGTTATTTACAGTAAGATAAATACATTCACCAACTTTTATTAAAATAAAACCATTTAAACTAGGTGTTCGGATTTATATGTCACTTAGTATAGATTCTTCTTGTGTATTGTCTTAGTAAATCTTTTTTTCTGACTTTTTGTTCACTTGATTTGAATTTTTCAAAATGTATTTTTCCATTATTTTTGGTAGCTCTCGCTTCCAAAATTTCAGAAAAATTCTTTTGGTCCTGGCGAACTTTTTCCGAGTGAATAAGGTTTCTGCTTTGTTAAAATAGAAAATAGTATTTCATTGTAAATCTTGTAATGCTATTTTCGTTCTATAATTCCTATAATAGGGACATGCAGGAGAGGACGGAAGGATGTACCATACCAAAACCACCCAAAGTGGAATCTCCGAGGTGTAGAAAATTCGTTATGCCAAAAAGTCCGCTGCTAAAGTACTTTAAGGTGACGAATAGCACTCAGAAGTGTGAAGGTGGTTCTAAGTTGCACGACTGCTCAAGTGTAGATGCCGTAAAATATTGATGAAATGTGATATTTCGCTTAAGGTTTCGAGGATTAGTTATGAAATTGAATGAAATGGATAAAATCCGTGGATTACTAAACAATATAGACCTCTTGATTCTTTCATCAAAAATCAAACGTTCGAAGTGTGATCCAGTGGCGTAGCATATGATCGATATTCGAGGTCGTAGTACGAAAATTTCATTTTTGAATACGAGTATTATTCAGGCGCGAATTTATGAAAAAAGGAGAGGTCGGCATTTTTTCAAGTGAACCCACTTGTTCGGTACATCCTATAAATCAAGTGACAAATTGTTAAGATAATTTGTTTTATTTGATACAGTAACACAGAATCCTCGTCTTGTTTTTCGGTGAAAAAATGCTACTTCTCAATAAGGCATTGAGATCAGTAATGATGGCCATTTCACGAGTTAGTAGTGAAACAAATTTTCATTCAGATATATACGAGGGTGGTCCCAGAAGTACCCGATCCAACGAAGAAAACACAAAAATTTTGTAAAAAAATGCATTTATTCCCAGTGATGTTCTATAAGTTCGATACCCTTTTTATAATAAGAACTGTCTTGCCCCTCAAAACGGCCTTTACATTACATCGTTGGAAAATATTTGACTACTGTGCCATTTTTTCAAGTTTCGTGGGGGCTAAATCTGGTGAATAGGGTGCCTGAGGTAGCAATTCAAACTTTAATTCGTTAATTTTGGCAATTTTGCAATAACGGATTTGTGAGCTGGTGCATTGTCTTGATGAAACAACACTTTCTTCTTAACCAAACGCGGCCGTTTTTGCTTGATTGCATCGCTCAAACGTTGCAATAAGTTCGCATAATACTCGCCGTTGATAGTTTTACCTCTTTCAAGATAGTCAATGAAAATTATCCCACGCGCATCCCAAAAAATCGACGCCATAACCTTGCCGGCAGATGTAACCGTCTTCGCCTTCTTTGGAGCCGGTTGTTCCTTTTGAGTCCATTGTTTTGATTGTTCACTTGTCTCGTTTGTGAAGTGATGGACCCATGTTTCATCCATGGTTATGAAACGACGCAAAAAATCTGCTTTGTTGCTGTGAAACTTCGTTAAACCGTCAACTGAAACATCTTCACAACACTGTTTTGCTCGATTGTAAGCAATCGCGGCACCCATCTTGCACACAGCTTTCTCATGTCCAAATTTTCATCATATGCGATGAACCGCACTTTTTGAAATGCCTACTATGTCTGCTAGCTCGCGCACTTTCAGTCGACGATCATTGAGTACCGCTTTGTGAATTTTCTTCACCATTTCTGGAGTCGTCACCTGATTTGGTCGACCACTGCGATGCTCTTTTTGAAATGCCTACTATGTCTGCTAGCTCGCGCACTTTCAGTCGACGATCATTCAGTACTGCTTTGTGAATTTTCTTCACCATTTCTGGAGTCGTCACCTGATTTGGTCGACCACTGCGATGCTCGTCCTGGCAGCTCATACGGCCTAGTTAAAGCTCTGCTACCCAATATTTTACTGTTGTAAACGAAGGAGCAGACTCACCCAGAGTAGAATCCAGTTCAGCTTTTATATTGCTTGGGCCTTTGCAATAAAAGTGTTGTACCACATAACGATGACCAATTTTCTCCATTTTCACAAATTCACTGAAAACGTTCAGTATTGATGGCTGCCAAACAAATACTAAACAACGTGGCGTCTTTAAACTTGACACATATGCTTTATAGGTTGCATACTTTCTAATACGATGATATTTTTCAAACAAATATCGCCATCTCTAGGTCAGGCCGGGTACTTCTGGGACCACCCTCGTATGTCAGATCATGCAGCTCTCTTAATATGATTGTAAGCATCTAGGTGATAAAAACGTCAACTTTACAGTCACCACTAATCAAATAATTTGAAAATACTGAGATTCCTCAAAAATAAATTAAACATGAATCTTGCTGCTACTTCAGGGATTTGATTTCCAGTATCGATATGTACAGTTCAGATTTAACAAAATAACAAGTGGAATGAAGAGAAAAAATTGTAACACATCATATATTGCGCAAAAATAATGTCCGCATAGAAAAAATAATATCAGATGTATAAACCGGAGTCGAAAAGCATTAAAACTTCCAACTTGGCGTCAGTGAATAACAATCACGCCACTGGGACCCGAAAATAAAACAAACATAACTTCTATGCCAAGTTGTTCCGTCAACAGAAAAACTCATAATGTCACATTCGACTTATGAATAATAATATTTATTACCCTTTAGACATGTATAGGGTTCGTCAACAAACAATTTACAGTATGTAGATACATAAAAAAAACAGTAAAATGACAAGCAACAACATACAATAGCTTAAATTAGATATTTTAAAATGGACACCATAGGCAAACAACAGCAGATAAAATAGATTAGCTTTCCAGCAATTAAAATTAATAAATTAACGTAAATACAATAAAAAATGTATAAAAAGACAAACAATACGTGGATAACAAACAATACAAAAAAAGAACATCTAAATATCCACAAAGTCGCTGATGGCGTAACAAGTCTTATTAATCAAGTAAGTTCTTAACTCGGCTTTAAAATTGCTTAATGAGCTAATTGTCTTAATATACTCAGGCAGCTTATTGAATACCTTTGGTCCTAAATAGAGGGAGATCTACTACCCAGCTTACATCGAGCAAAGGGTAGATGAATGTGGTGCTGCCTACGAGTATTGAATGTATGTATATTACTATTCAAAGTGAAATTAACTCTGTTAATATACGTATATATTGCAATTTCATAAAGAAACAACGAGGGCAGTGTGAGAATTTTTAATTTCGGGAACAAGTCACTGCAACTGTATATACTGTCAACACCTGCTATGCACCTTATTAATCTCTTTGACTTGGAAATACCTTTGAAGTATTCACCGAGGAACCCCAGAAACACAATGCATACCGCATTCGCGACTCGATATGACTGTGATATAACATCAAGAACTGGTCGCGTGTAAAAGCTTCGCAGACAATGTCCTTTAAAATTGAGGCACTCATCCAGGTGCAGTCCCAAGAATGTTGTGCTCTCACTGATGGGCAGGGCTGAATTATCCAATGTAAGCTGCAGGGGAGGTATTGATTTTTGGGCATTGTGGAATCTTATTGCTGTAGTTTTTTCACAGCTTAGATGCAGCTATTGATGCTATGTAATAAGCTATTACAGTCGTTAATTAGTATAACGTCATCTTTATTTGATAGAATAATCGATGTGTCGTCCGCGTATAAGGTAAAGTGTGCTCTGGGGAAGCACTGCTCAAGGGTATATACTGCAAACAGAACAGGCCCCAACAAAGATCCTTGTGGACGCCAACATCCATATTTATCCCACTAGAACTATAGATAGAAATCATTTTCGGAGATATACTAGCCTCCATTGAGGTACATGCAACATGGTAAATTTCCGAGATGTTTGCAAAAATCCGAATGTCTATATTTTTTAGTAGTCAGTGATAAAAACGTTGACTGCTGGTGTTTGGTCAGGCTGACGCCTGACTGACTATTTGAAAAAATACAATTTGCAGAGCTACATACAGGAATTTCCACATTAATGTGCTATCCCTTTCTTCAATTTTCACAATTAAGTTTTTAAACTAGGATTGTAAGAAAGAAATATGTATATTTTTTACACCCACAGTGCAAGTGCATCAAGTATAATTGGATGTAAGAGCTTTTATAAATTGTTGCTTTGTGTTTTGTTTATCAAAGACTGTGACGTATTAGTGTCAGCATTCTTGTTTTAACTGTATTGTGTCAATACATCAAACATTTTTTTTGTATTCTCTACACTACAGGGTGATCCAACTGTACGTCGACAGATTTTCAACTCCAACTCACAGTATATGTAGACACGATTTTATTATGTTTAGGATTACACATGAAATTATATATTCAAACATTTTCGTAAATTTGACTTGGTAATGGGATGGATATCTTATGTTTCTTAAAGCGAGGATACAATATTTGAAAACCTTTATTTTAGGAACAATATTGCGATAATGCATGGTTGGGTCACACTGTATAGAGTATGTTTTAATTGTATAGAATATGTTGGACTAAGTATTCCATTATTTATTTCTAGGCAATAAAGTATTCTCATATTATGTTTGTTTTTTATATCGAAGCAGCCGCCCAGGCAGAAGCCTAAATACCAGGGTACAACTGATGCTATGAGGCACTTAAACATTTTTTTCCGATTTTTAACTGACTAAGATTAGTAGAACTGAAAAGACCCTCTTCAGGTAGATTGTTCCACAATTTCGATAACTTAGGGACAAAGGAACGTTCGTATATCTTTTTTTAATGTGGAATTTTAGAAACAATATAATACTTTTAGGTAATTTTAATTTAAATTATTATGGTAAAAGCATGAAAACAAGAAAATTGAAAGAAACTATAAACAACTATGGGTTCAAGCAAAAAATTGAAGAGAGTACCAGAATAACATCATTATCAGAGATTTTGTTAGATCTTGTTATTGTAAATTTCGAATGTGCAGGGATTAAAGCTGTACATACACCTAAAGTTAGCGATCACAGTTGGACAATGCTGCCCTTGGTAGGGCATTTTTCTGATACAAAAATTAAGAAAATCGCAAATACTATTAAGTACGAAAAACTTGAACGACAACTTGCTGGCTGCTATTGGAATTTTGGTGAGAATATGGAAAAAATATATGACAACATAATAGGAAATATAAAAACTTGTTTAGATCTTGCAACTGATAAAAAAGTGATTTGCTCGACAAAAAATACACCCTGGTATAACAAGAATATTAAGGCAGCTCAAAATTTGAGAGACAAACAATACAAAAAATGTATATTCACAAAATCAAATGATGATTGGGAGGTATATAAAACTCTTAGGAATAAATGTGTACATGTAATTAGAGAAGAAAAAAGAAAATTCTACGATAAACAAATCGATAATAACAAGTGCGACAGTGTAAAGATGTGGAAGACTTTAAAAAGACTGATCAATGCGAAGCCGCATGATTGTGTAAATCAAGTTCAATTCGAAAACGGTACCGAAACAAATTCTTTGGTGATTGCAAACAAACTAAATGAATATTTTGTGGAAAGTATTGTTGATATTGTAGGTACTGCCAATGCTGCACCTGACTATATGAAAATCAGTTTCCAGGGGGAAATGTTGCATACACTTTCAAAATTTCACAGCGTATCATTGAATTATCTAAGAAAAAAAGTAAACAGTTTAAAATCAAATAACAACTGCGCCGAAATGACTACTAAAAACGTGCTGAAAAACTGTTTCGAAATTTTGGGATATCCTGTATTAAATTGGATCAATTGTTCACTGAGAAGCAGTTCTTTTCCTGAAAATTTGAAATGCTCTACAATAACACCAGTTTCCAAAATAAAAATTTCTAAAAGATGCAGCGATATGAGACCAGTAAATGTGTTACCAGATATTGAAAAATTATTAGAGTCCATAGTGCATGACCAATTAATGCAGTTTATAGAAGAAAACAAAATTTTAGTGGAGGCGCAAGCAGGCTTTCGAAAAAAATATTCCACAGAAACAGCTTTCCAGTTGGTAACTGAGAATTGGAGAAGAGCCATAGACTCAGAAGAAGTTGTCATAGCAGTATTTTTGGATTTGAAGAGGGCATTTGAAACGATTGATAGAGATATTTTGTTAGGTAAATTGAAGGCATATGGTATAACAGGAAGTGTTTTAGATTGGTTTAGAAATTATTTGTCTAAAAGGATGCAAGTTACAAAAGTTAATGACACTATTTCATCAAAAATTGAAAATACGTTGGGTGTTCCACAGGGCAGTATCCTGGGACCACTTCTTTTTATTTTATACATAAATGATTTACCTGCCATAGTCAAAAAATGCAAAATTCAAATTTTCGCCGATGACACTATGATTTATATAAGTACTAAAAATATTCAGTCTGGTATCTCTTATATAAATGAAGACTTGAAGCTTGTCTCAAAATGGTTAGCATCTAACAGACTAAAATTAAATGCAAGTAAAACGAAAGCCTTGTTAATCGGAAAAAAACAATGTACAAATGTTCAACTGAATATTGATGGTGAAGATATTGAATTCGTAGAAAATTTTAAATACCTGGGAGTTGTTGTTGACTCTCGATTAATTTTTGATATTCATTATGAAAAAGTTATAAATAAGATTAGTAGTAAAGTGGGATATTTATCGAGAGTTTCTGGATGTCTGTGAGTTCATATAGCAAAAAAATTATCTATAATACCATCATTCTTCCAAATTTCTTGTACTGTTCAACTATTCTATATTTAGCAAATAATTCCATTTTTGAAAGACTGCAAATTTTACAAAATAAGTGCATGAGAATAATACTAAATAAAGATAAATATGCTCCAATTAGGCAAATGCTTAGCAAATTAAAATGGCTCAATGTAAAAAAATTTATCAAATATCTTGTAATGATATTCATTTATAAAGTAAAAAATAATATATTTCCATCAAGTCTAACTAATTTAACATCATCAAATGTCGACCATCATTTACATAATACCAGAAATAAAGATGACTTCCATTTAATGACCAAAAGTATAACATATGCTACAAATCTGTATTCCATCAAGGGTTGATTGAATATAATAAATTATACTCGGAGATAAAAGACCAGAAAACTTTGACAAAATTTAAAGTAAAATTGAGAAATCACTTGTTAAATCTACAATTATAGGTTGCCCAGCATTTACATCATACACCATATGGCTTGAATTTACTAGTTCTAAGTTGTTTACAATTGTTCTGTTTATGTAGCCAAATGTGCTAAATAAATCTTTCTACTACTACTACTAGATACGTCAGCCTCGTCCATCGTCAGAAAAACGCCAAAAGCTGCAAGAACGTGTAATCCCACCTAGACCTGTCGATTAATTATTATGCAATCTTCAGCTAAAATGTAAATGCATTGTTGCGTTCCGTCTATATAATCAAGCGTAGACGGCTATCAGTGCAGCTCTGCTCTTGAAAGCAGACCTACTTATTTGCTTTTCGTTTGTTTTTTTTTTCTCCAAGAAGATACTACACTGAAGAGTGCTAGAACATGGAACGGTGCTATCTGCGGTTGATCATGGTTACCAATGTGAAGCAAACTATCCAATTCAGCATGTGCCAATTCATGAAGAGGAAACCATTGCTGGTTTGCTTTGATTCTTTGTATTTTGGGTACTTGATGGATTGACCGTGATGCTGGTACGCCATCTATCTGCGTTTCAAGCAGTTCTAAGCAGAGGGCGTAAGAGTCTTTGTCATTTTCAACGTATGGGTCGAGGATGAAATCAGGTTGGCGGAACATTAGATTTCTCACGTGCTTGCGCATGAGATATTGTTTTTGTTGGCGAGTGATTACAAATAATTTTGCCCCCTTATGGAAAATTGTGTACTTTAATATTTCATACGATTCTTAATACAGTTCGTTATAACCAAGTCCATGGAACTGATTTAGCTACAGTAAAGACTGATCAAGGTTAACGTCTTTTTTTTTAAAACGATGTGCCTGCCAGGCAGACCCGCGTTTACTGATTAGCAATTCGTATCTTCTAGGAGTCCTATGCATCATAGCAGCCGCGGTGAAAAAAAATCTCAGCATGTTACGGGACCTCTCACCTTTTGTAGCGACACCCTGTATAGGAATATACAAATGAAAAGAAAAAACAAACTTAGTGGTGCCACCTGGAAGAAAAATATATTGTCAAAGTCATTGTACTGAAGAAATTCGCTGTTGTGACGGAAACGTTTTCAATAAAGTAAAAGGAAAGACTGTTAAATATATACATTGTTTATTTTTCTGTATTATATAAACAACAACTTTTATAAATACTAAACTAAAAAATACAGGGAAAATATATGACCATTACAATAATTAAAATATATGTACTACCTATTTTACAAGAACGTCTGCATAACACTTTTAAAACGAAATAGTGAAATAATGGCATGTATGTCAAATCTTTAAATGCAAAAGTATTGCTATGTATCACAATATTTATAAATGAAAATGTGATTCTGTAAATATCAAAACCATAAAGAAACCAAGCAGTGTTATATTATATAGAGCGTTTATTGAACATAGGGCAAAAAATGCAGGGATTACTCTCTCAGAATATTTTGTCCTTCAATGATTTTTGAAAAGAAAGTTCAAACTGATCGAAGTATTTCAAGTATTAGGGGAACCATCTTGAATATTACCCATACGATTGATAAACTCTGTATACGTGTGTGATGATCATTGGGAATCTCAATTACATTGTGAAGAAAAATATATGCAAATGCAACATTATCCATATACAAGACGCATCTCATCACAAATTTTTTGCAGTACAAGCACATCCATATAAACTGAAGTTCTGCTAATATTTCTGTTACAGTCTTGTGATAATTTTCTACTGATGCCTTCGTTCTATACCAGAACAAATAAACCCAACAAAAAAAATTAATTCGCATATAACCATTATGATAGAATATACAATGACATCAAAATGATGACGCATCTTTTGTTACTTCAAATTTCAGCAAATTAATATTTCCATCCTCTCATGCCGTAAGTTTCCATTTATGTCAACTTTAATTCCCAATAATCATTCTTCTTGGCAAAAATTATCAACGCAAAGTATTTTTTCTCAAAATTGAAATTCCAAATATTTTTTTACATTGCTGGTTTGAAACTGGAATTCTGAGAAATTCTAAATTTTATCTTAGACCATATAAAAAAATCCGAAAACCCTTTCCGAAAATTAAAAAACCGAATTCGGTTCTTTAACAATGCGAACATTTAACAAACCATATAATAGATGAAGCAGTTCGAATATGGTTTCGAACTCGGTTTTCGATTTCTGGTAGTCAGTCATTCGGAGTTTAAGCAATAATTTTGCACCTAATAATGTCTAGCGGTGGTCAGGGGTAGCCGTTGCTTATTATACAGTGCAAAAAGTCCCACCCTCACTTACTTTTGTTTTACCGTAAAAGTGGCAGTTGAAAATTGTGCAATTTTTTTAAATGGAATGGGGGTCAACTGATACTTCAACCCGCCAGTCCGCCATTTTTAAAATATTAAATTTATACTCTATTGCTGAAAAGAACTCGTAAAGAGGTTCGAAATGGGTCATCACGTGACCCCCATTCCATTAAAACAGAATTATCCAAGGTGGTGCCCAGTCGCCATCTTGAAAGGTTAAAACACCTCTTTCGCGTATACATTAATATAGTACTCGTGCACGAATTTCATCATCCGGAATTTCAGCTCGCTAACTTTAGCAGTTCAAAAAATAAAGAAGAGGGATTTTTGAAAAGCACTGAATAATTATTTCAACTGTAGCAAATTTAATCTCAGCTTAGATCAACCGCCATATTTGATTTTTAATATCTATTCCATCCATTAGTATGGAATTACCGTAAATAAGTTTTAAATCTTTATTACAGAATTTGAACCATGATTATTTTTTCATATCGTAACTTATGAATCTGTTGTTTTCACGCTTTATTGACATTTCTCCGTTTTTTTAGATCGCATGTCCTGAAACAGGATTTCAATGTTGTAAGTAGTTCTTTATCGATATTGTAATGAGTTTTGTAGTTCAAGCAAAATTCTTGTAGCACGTCCAGAAGAAAATGAAAATAAAACATTTTCGAAAGCTTGACATTCTGCATCTAAAAGTTTTTAAAGCAATATTTTTTTGTATACCGGGTGTGTCAGAAAAGTGCTATCGAATAGAAGTTGTATTTTTTAAATGGAAAACCCTGTATATTTTCAGGTGAAAAAAGTCCCTCTTCATCTATTCCAAATATATAAGGATTGTAGAACTTATTTTTATTACTTCTGTCAAAAATTTGAAGCTTCTATATCATTTAATCATATCATCATTTTTGATGTAAAAAACGTAATCATTCAGCAAGAGCATGGATCTTTTCCGAAAAGATGCCTGGATATCAATTTGTAAAAACGTCGTTTCCGATGCTTTCGACAAAAATTTCAAAGTCGATGCTATTTATACCGACTTCAGCAAGACTTTTGATATCAACAAAATTTGCTGAGGCTGATATATAAATCCAGAGTCGTTACTCTATCATCGAGAGTTCCTCAGGGTAGCCACCTAGGTCCATTATTCTTCTTAATCTACATAAATAATATCGCACAATCTTTCAGCGATCGCCAGTTTCTTCTTTACGCAGATGTATCGTATAGTTGAAAGCCTTGAAACCATAAATAAAACGGATGCTTGGTTTTAATATTAGGTTGATCGGAAAGTTCTTGCTGTTTTTATTTATATTTTAAATGACGTATTTTGCACTAAAATTTATTTATAATACTTTGACTTTATACATATTTTAAAGCGCATTTTTCGCTCTATCTAGTCGTTAGATTCTATTTGTTTTACGATAATTTATTTTAGAAAAGTTGAATCGAGCAGAAAAAAAGGATAGGTAACCCGAGCAATACGTATTTCTGCTTATTGACTTCATCAGGCCAGAAATAAATGCACATATGCAACCACAAAAGTTTATATACATGCCCATACATCTGGATACGGGTGTAACCTGAGGAAAGAAAAATGGAAAAGAACTAAACAACATACGAAGACACCAACAAGAGCCATCCCACTCTTTTGTAGTATATTTGCCAGAAAACCTCGAGTCCTCAAGGCGACACCTAACCACAACTACGCGGCTGGTTATAGCCACTTGCCGTGGTACTTGAAGCTAAAAGGATCTACAATATATACACATATATTTTGAATAAAAAAGAAGCGACTGTAATTTGGCCCAAAATATAGAGGGATTTCATTTAAAAGATATCCGATAGCACTTTCCCGGGGCGAAAAACAATATTATATGAAAAACCTCGTATTAGACCCTATAACTTTTGTATAAAACTTTTTTTCTGAAACGTCATATAAAAAAGTTACATGGGATGTTAATTTAAAGCCGCAGTCCCCGTACAAACTCCCATAGGGGCATAAACTGTGACTGTACCTGAACCATGCTTTAAACCGCCCAACCACCGCCATATAATAAATTGAAAAATGACCTAGAATGAAACCCAACCATTACTTTACTTGAGTTTTGAGATGTTGCAGGAATTCGTGATACGAAAGCGCATTTTCCATCCTGTCCTCCACCAAACGCTGGTAAAACAACACCCTATTGCTGCTGTTGTCCCTAATGATGTGCAACGGCGCCGAATACGGCTTGTCCTCGTTCAGGTAGTAGATGAAGAAGTGCACCCGCTGGTTCCTGAGATTGTTTAAAGTCGGCAATTCGTAAAGGTCGTCAGGCATATGCGCGTAGCTCGGCACGTTGAGCACGTCATTTAGGAAAGCTGTCGGTGCATTCTGGCAGACCAGCATTATCATCTGGTCGCCGGCGTCCAGTAAAAAGACACCTGAAAAGGGAAAAGTTGAAGTTACAGAACATGTAAACCAGATTCACGCATTCTAGTACGTGGCGCCGAACCTCGATGATAAAATCAGGAGTCAGAAACATAATGACAACAAATTTATATTATGATTTTGCGAAGTTATATCACTGATTATTTTTATTTTCATTTTATTTCATGGTTTTGAGTGATACCTTAATAATAATTTTAGTGGGAAGTTTTTGATTTGAAAAAAACAGTTATGAGTAGAATACCTCAATACAGGAACACCAAAGACCACAGTATTATTCGAAAACAACATAACCTGCTTTAAAATAACCTAACTATTCATTTTTCAAATATGATCGATCATGCAACATGAAAACATCGTCTACCTTTGTCGGATACATGCAAAATAGCAATACAGTTTGTTTAGACAATAATATTCTGTTTGTCTCTGTCTATAGTTGAAATCACGAAAGATGACGTCATCATTTTAGTCTGTAGTAAAGACAAACGACAGCGATTGGTGAATATTTTTAATGAAGTTTCAGATATGTTAGACAGAGACAAACAGAATTTTATTGTCTAAATAAACTGTATTGCTAATTTGCATGTATCCGACAAAGATAGTACGACTTTTTCATGTTGCATCATGGATCATATTTGAAAGATGAATAGTTAGGTTATGTTAAAACAGGTTAGGTTGTTTTCGAATGATACTTTGGTCTTTGGTGTTCCTGCCTTAAGATATTCTACTCAAAACTGTTTTTTTTTCAAAACAAAAATTCCCCACTAAATTATTATTAAGGTATCACTCAAACCCATGAAATAAAAATAATCAGTGAAATAACCTAACTTCGCAAAATCATAATAATGGGTGATTTTTTTGGTAGTATCTTTTTGGCAACACTGTTTTTGACAGATGACGCGTGAATCGTGTCTTGTGTCATTGTCAAACTTGTTCAGTTTGGTCTATAATTTAACCATGAATCGACTTACGAACGAACAACGCTTGCAAATTTTACTATCAAAATTCATGCTCGGTTAAGAGCACTGCTTCCAATTTATGGGCAATTTGGTCGGCCTACTGAGGGAGCTATTCGGAAGCTTGTGACTAAATTTCGAACCCAGTTTACATTATTGGACATTAAACCACCAACACGCAGACGTAGAGTGAGGACTGAAGAAAATATTGCGGCTGTATCCGCCAGTGTTAGTGATGACCGTGAAATGTCGATTCGCCGCCGTTCGCAGCAATTGGGCCTCTGTTACTCCACTACGTGCGACAGGATTTGGGTGTAAAACCTTATAAGATGCAGCTGGTGCAAGAATTGAAGCCACACGACCTCCCACAACGTTTCCAATTTGGTGAATGGGCGCTGGCAAAGTTGGAGGAAGATCCACATTTTTATCGAAAAATTGTGTTCAGCGACGAAGCTCATTTCTGGTTGAATGGGTACGTTAACAAGCAAAATTTCTGCATCTGGAGTGAAGACCAGGCAGAAGCATTGCAAGAGCTACCGACGCATCCCGAAAAAATCACTTTTTGGTGTGGATTATGGGCCGGTGGCATCATCGGGCCGTACTTCTTCAAATACGACAATGGCGGGAACATAACTGTGAATGGCGAGCGCTACCGTGCGATGATAACAAACTTTTTTGCCCAAAATGGAAGAGCTGGACTTGGCTGACATGTGGTTTCAACAAGACGGTGCCACATGCCACACCGCACACGAAACAATGGCCCTATTGAGAGGCGAGTTCGGTGAACAGTTTATCTCACGTTTGGGGCCCGTCAATTGGCCGCCTAGTTCGTGTGATTTAACGCCGTTGGACTATTTCTTGTGGGGCCATGTCTACATGGATAAACCAGCAACGATTGACGCACTGGAAGCCAATATTGAAGCATTTATTCGTGAGATACCTGCCGATATGTTGGAGAGGGTGTGCCAAAATTGGATCTTGTGCATATGGCCATCTAAAGCGGAGCCGCGGCCAACATTTACATGAAATAGTGAATAGTGGATCGCTGGTGCCGGAAACCATGCTGCCTTTTACTTACCGCTTATATTTTGACAGAAACATCATACATTCATTATTCGAAAATTTGAAATATCTAAATGAGATTTACCTTTACTATCTAACCATCTAGCTGAAAGTTGAAGCTTAGGTGGTAAAGATACAGACTCCCCCTCGAGTTCAAAATAATTTCTTGGTTCTCCAAGTCGTGTACTTGGTAGAGGTCAGGATATATCATTTGCATGAGCAAATAAAGGGGTTTCGTTTTCATATCAATCATTGCCATTGTACGGTCATCTATCCTGGTTGGAATTGCTGAAACAAGAAAATAATGATAATATTTATCGGTGTTAATGCGCGTGATGTGCTTACACAGGTCAGAGCAAAATATAAAGGTATATACTCAAATAACAAACACCACTGCAAAATTCAACTATTTGCTGATGATACATTAATATATACATATATCAAATAAAGACATTGAAACTGTAAGTAGGCTCTTAAATCGAATCATTTAAATATTTGGGCATATACGTAGATTGTAAATTAAAATTTGAAGGGCACTATGAATATATTATTTCAAAAATATCCAAGAAAATAAATTACTTTTATAGGATCTCGCATAGCCTAAGCGTTTATTCTAAAAAAATTGGGTACAACACTATCATTCTTCCTCATTTGTTATATTGTTCGACTATTTTGCTCACTGCAAATGAAACTGTATTTTCAAAATTACAAAATCAAGCTATGAGAATCATCTTAAATAAAAATAAATATACTTAAATAAATTTTATGCTGAAAGAACTACAATGGTTAAATATCAAAATTTCATAGCCTACTTGGTTTTCATTTTCATATTCAAGTTAAAAAATCATCTCTACCAAATCACTTAGAAAATTTTATTGTATTGAACAATGAGTGCCACAATTATTCTACTAGAGGAAGTATAGACTTTCATTTACAAAACTGCAGTAGCAATATAAGAGCAAGTCAGTATTTCAAAAGGGATTGTACGAATTTAATAAATTAAGTAATGATATCAAGATGTGTGTCAGTTTGAAAATGTTCAAAGGGAAATTGAAAAAATATCTCATGGAAAACCAGAATTCATAGTAGTAAAATTTTGTATAATAATATGTAGTCTTGAAGACGTAATATATTTTGTGATATACTGTGTAATATGAATATTGTAGCATTAATGCTAAATAAATCTGAAACAAACAAACAAAAATACGACATTATAAATAAGACGAACAACGGCAAAATATAATGACTAGAAGGGTAGCAAAGAAATAGGAAAGCTATGTCAAAACCGAGAAGTCGTAAGTCATAAATTCATGGATATCAAAGAAAGCTCATGATAAAAGTAATTCTTCATAAACCCACTAAAACCGTCATATCTTCTCTGATGAGGTAAGGTACTAAAAGTTTCAAGCCATTTCGGGTTTTAGTGATTCTGTGATGATTTATGTAGTAGTTTGACTAATTTCGAATATTGTATGAGTGAATTTCTTGGTGGGTTGTATATGCGTGACTCTTGACATGAATGAGACCGTAATAAATGTAAGCACAGGGCAGTCATTAATTTTATGAATTCTTATCCAACGGGGATCTCTGTACTTCAGGCTTGCTATGTACCAAACACACCTCCTCTGTAGAGCAAAAGCTCTACAAATACAGGGTGCGCCATCTTTTATGTCGGTATGTAAACATGAAATGACTTTGAAAACGAAAAACTGATTTCTGTATATCGGGTATTTTTATTAAATATAGTGCTTTACAATTTATTGGGACTAGTTTTTTAACACAACGTCTATCAAGTGGCCACCTTTATTGGCCAAAACAAAATGTGCCCGTTTTGCTGCGTTTTCCATTACTTTTTCGAGCATCTCTGGTGGTATAGCGGCGATTGCGGTACGAATGTTTGCCTTGAGTTCTTCAGTGGTCTGGGGTTTGCTGGCGTACACTTGACTTTTCAAATAACCCCACAAGAAGAAGTCCGGTGGGGTCAAATCTGGAGACCTGGGTGGCCAGTCAATGTCGCCTCTTTTTGACATCAGATGTCCAGGGAATTTTCGTTGCAGAAACTGGATTGTTTCATTTGCAGTGTGGCATGGCGCATCGTCTTGTTGAAACCAGTAACCATCAAGATTTGTGGGCAGACATAATAAGCCAACGGCCACCTATATCGATTTCCATCGACTGTTTCGTTTTCGTTAGAGAAAAATGGCCCAATGATGGTTTTGGCGCAAACGCCGGCCCAAACAGTCACTTTCCGGTCATGGATCTCATGTGGATTTTCCGTTCCCCAAATGCGACAGTTTTGCTTATTAACGCCGCCAGAGAGCGTCAAATGGGCCTCGTGGGCCATCACAATTTGCTTCCAAAAATCAGGTTCAGCATCAACCATGCGATCGACTGTTTCGGCGTATTGCAAGCGACGTGGACGGTCAGTTGGCAATATTTTTTTTGTTAACTGCACCTTATAAGGAAACAAATGCAAATCATCCTTCAAAATGCGCCGCAACGTGGTTCCACTGATGCCAAAATGCTGAGCGCGCTGACGATACGATACTTTTGGGTTCTGGGCAACGCTGTCTCTGACCGCTTCAACCAATTCAATGCAACGTCTTGGTCGTTGATGAACGGTATGTCGACGATCTCCCACTGTCCCGTACTCTAGAAAATTCGAAACCAAACGACGGATAGTGTTGTCTGTGTGCCTGTTTGCCACGATATTTTCGACGATATGCACGATGCGTTAATATAACCGAACGACGATTTTCAATGTACATTGTGACTATTTCGGCGCGTTGCTTCGGTTTAAAGCGATTCACGACTAAAATTGTAGTAAATTGACGTTTCAGAAACACGTATAACCTAATCACTCGGTTGGTACATATCAAAGTCATTCGATGTTTCAATACCGAGATAAAAGATGGCGCACCCGGTATACGGTGAATGGCCAATATTTTTTATATGTCACCTTGACATTCAGTGCACAG